AAGACGAAAATAGAAATGAGTAGGAAGTTAGTGCTCGAAGTACCTTCGTGTAAACTCCTTGCACCAACAGACCATTACCGACCATGAAGGCTTCATCGTTGCTAAAAGTAGCTTCATCTTGTGGGAATTCCATCCATAGCGGACGTAAAACAGGAACACCCGTAACATTTGCTTCTCTGAACAACGTGTAGAAGTATGGGAGCAGCGAGTAACGAGTGTGTATGGCATCTCTCATGAGTTCTGTATTCCGTTCACTGAAACAAAATGAAATTGATTTGATTCGAATGAGAAAGTGCAAAATTTATGAGCCAGCAAAACAAAGGAACTGCATGATCATTGATTGTCACTTCCCTAACTATAACTAGACTTGATATCCCTTTTTGTTTGTCATCCTTCAAGCAAATATTCATAGACTAGAACTGTAGCGCTTATACTCGAATAAAACATCTTGACACAAAAATGGACGAGGACAAGAAGAGTAAATCACATCTTACCCAAACAACCAAGGTTCTCGCCTTTTGGTGTCATGATGAGCATGACCCCTGAAAAATGGATAGTAAGCACCCACTTGATACCACCTAACTAGTAGTTCTGGTTCAGGATTTCCAAAGAACCCACCAATATCAGCTCCTAGAAAAGGATAAAAAAACGAACAAAAATTCCATTAGATTTGAGGAAGACAAAAAAAGAGCCGCCAGTAGAACTTGAACAGAGAAATTTTCTTGTACCCGAGAATGTAATTCCAGTAAGACCAAGTGTCAACAACATTGGAATGGAGACTCTAAGGTGTTCCCATTCGGCTGTGTTATCTCCAGTCCAAATTGCTCCGTATCTTTGAGTGCCAGGAAAGATTGCTCTTGACAATACAAAAGGCCTATCCTTTCCTTCTCCACGCATAACAAGTCCATCGGAAGTCGCCATGTGAAAGTAATATCCATAAGCGTTATGAACTTCCCTGTGTTCAACGCCCCCAACATGTAACGAATCCCTTGGCATAGTAACCTATTCAAAAAGAAAGATAGTTAGTCAGTCTTCTTTCTGTGTCTGTGATAAACTTTACATTAATGATAATTATGGGAATTTTCTCTACGATAACTAATAAACTACCAAATGACTGTGAAGATAAGCAAACATATCTTACACTCCATTCTTAAAGAAGTACAAAGATAGAGATCCAATGTAAACCACATAAACATTAAAGGGATCTAAAAATACTTGCTTTCGTAGTGCAACATTTGATAAAATGTGTCAGTTCATGCGAAATAAGTAAATTCTAACATAAAATAACCAATGATATATTATTATCCACAACTGCTGTATAAAAAAAAACAAGGGATTGCTATGTTTGACCGCAATCCCAAAATGCATGTGAGAACTTGAGCTATAGATATTATAGAAACACATTAACGTAACAATCAAACACCAAACAGACAGAAAGTTATACCTCGGGACCGTTGAAAACGGAAGGCTCATTCATGTCATTCCAGATGTATAACGACGGGGTTGAACCAACATAGTTCTTATACGAGAACCTTCCACCCCACCATTCCCTAATCTCTGGACTCAACATATCAATATATGACGATGAACCAGGCCAGCACCAACCATCAAAGTCTTTTCCAGATGAATCCTTGACATAGTATCCCAACTGAGTAGCCTCCTTATGTAAAAAGTAGGAGTCATCCCTCTTGATATGAGGATCCACAATGGTCACCATCCGCCTACCCTTTGCAGCCAATTTCTTTTGCATCTCCTCTGGATGAGGAAACAACACATTATCCCATGTAAAGTATCTCTTCCCATCTGTATGCTCGATGTCAAGCCAGAGAACATCATAAGGGATATCGTGCTCATCGAATTTCGAGTCTACCTGAGCCACATCCTCCTCATCTTTATAGTTCCACCTACATTGGTGATAACCAGTAGCAAACAACTGAGGCATCGCTGAAGTACCAGTCACACTTGCATACTGCTTCACGACATCCTTCGGCTCAGGCCCGACAAAAAAGAACGTGTCCACGATTCCTGCCTCACTCATCCATAATGTGTCAATCCTACTCTGGCTGGACGGCAATGAAATACCACTCTCTACATCCCACCCATTAGCCAACACATCGATCTGCATTTCCGCAGCATTCAGCCAGAAAAATCCGGAGGTTTTACCAGATTTCCCATGTGAAACCATGAATGGGATCGACCCGTAAAGCCCAAATGGTGATTCATGGTCGTATTCAAAAACATCAAGGTTAAATAACCGGTAGGGTTCTGATTCCTCAACTCCAGGACCCTTGGTAGGCTTTAAGGCGAAGCTAGTGGCGTGTTCAGGGATTCCGTAAACGAAACTGGAATCGTAAAAGGAAACGTCAAAGCTAATGGATTGAGGACCAGATGGTCTCGAATCTGTATGGGTTCTAAATTTCTCTTCCCAGTTATCTCCGTCGCTTTTCTTCCCAAGCTGCTCAAAGTCAAATAACCCATGAGAGTTCAACGACACGACGCGACGGCGATCACCTGATTTCTCGCGCACAAACACCTCAAACGGCTCGTGCCGCACCACCGCCTCGTAACCATCGGATACGTAGACTACTGAAGACGGGCTAGTGTCTCCAGAGATCGTCTCCGTCGCTACTTTCTGCAGCCAGATCTTCTTCCCCTCGAACTCGGACACTACCACATCAGGAACTCTGAACCTCTTCTTCGGCGGTTCCAGCGAATGGTCCTCATCGATCCTGAGCCGCACGATCCCATCCGTATAAACCGAGAGAGAGAGTACCAACGGCTTGATCTGATCCCCGTCGCCTTGATTAGCAATTTTCGGTAGAAGCTTCGCTACAAGATCTCCATCGGTGATGGAAACATCGCCTACAATCAGAGAACACGCACCTGGAGTGCGAGATCGAGCGCGTTTACAAAATGGAGTTTGGTCACAGCTGCGAAACTCCTCCTTCTTCCATGAAAGTGCTGTTTGGGATCCTACGCAAATGAGTGATAGTATAAAGAGAAGAGATCTCATTTTGGTTCCTCGTTCATGGAATACTTTAGATTTAGGAAGGAAAGCGAAAATATAACACTGAGGAAAGACGAACTTTCCGGGTCGAATATATTCACCTGGATATCTGACCCGCTTTATCAGAACGATAGCCTAGGACAAAAGGCTCAATTAAGGCCCATAATTCGGCCCAAACTTGGTTCACTAATTTGTGTATCTGATCTGTCTTCTTCAAACGATAGCCTAGGACAAAGGGCTCAATTAAGGCCCATAATCCTGCCCAAACTTGGTTCACTAATTTTTGTATCTGATCTGTCTTCTTTAAACGATAGCCTAGGACAAAAGGCTCAATTAAGGCCCATAATCCGGCCCAAACCTAGTTCACTAATTTGTGTATCTGATCTGTCTTCTTCAAACGATAGCCTAAGACAAAGGGCTCAATTAAGGCCCATATACCCATATTCAAGCCCAACCCTGGTTTACTAATTTGTGTATTCGAGAGTTCGGGTCTGTCTTCTTCAAACGAAACCCTAATTTGAAATTGTGAGAGTTTCTTAAGGTTTCTAAAGGATGATGCCGGAGAAGACGATTATTACATCGGAGACTACAAATTCTTCTCCTTTAAACCCTTCTTCCTCGCGGATCATATGCCATGTGTGTAATAAGCAGTTCTCGCAGTACACTTGCCCTCGATGCAACCTCCGCTACTGCTCTCTTCCTTGTTACAAATCTCACAGTGTCCAATGCACTGAATCCTTCATGAGAGAGAATGTGGTTGACGAGTTGCGGCAAGTTCGATCTGATGACCAAAACAAAACGAAGATGCTCGAAATTCTGAAACGATTTCACTCGGAAGAAGAAGACGAAGATGGTGGAGTTGATAGCATCACGGATGATGAAGGCTCGAATTTGACTCTACCGGAGGAAATTATTCAGAAGATTCTCGCCGGAGATGAGATCAGTCTCGATGATCTGAGCTTAGAAGAGAGGAAAGGGTTCCAAAGAGCCTTGGCGTCCGGGGAACTTAGCAAAATGATTGAACCATGGGATCCTTGGTGGTTGCGACCTTCTGCTCGAACGATATCCCTTGGACTCGGAGGTACACAACTCGTACAGTGTGTTGCAGAAGAAGAAGAAGAAGAAGAGGAAGCTACAATGGTGAGCGAAATCCCTCGAGGGCCTGATACACCTTTGATCTCGATAAGCAAGCTTAGCTCAACGAATCCATCTCCTCTCTTACCGCTCCATTTGGTTGACATCGTATACAGCTATTGTTTCACTCTCCGTATCTATAACGGAGAGTGGCAGTCTGATTCGTTAGGCTCAGCAACAATGGTTCTGGCTGTATCATCAGTTTTGGGTCAGAATGCACAACCTGAGACGATGAAGGAAGTGTTTTCCTTTTGCTTGGAACAGACATGCTCTCCAGCTTATAAAAACCTAGGCGGTGGTCTGAAATTCGGATTGAATCTGGTCGATGATGTGGTTCATTTGCTTTCTCTTGGCACTGCAGCTCTGGTTTGCTTGCTCTGTGATCTCCAACGGTTGGTTCATGGTGCAATGCAGGAAGTGAAGTCATCAGGGCGTGCTCTGAAGAAGAAACTAAAGCTTGCAGATAGGAAAGTGTTCTTCATGATGTGTTGGGTCAACGAGCAGACTCCGGAAGTGTGGCAGGCTCTGGAATCATCGGTAAGGGCAGAGAAGAACTCGATGGTTGAGCTCAATGATTGCAAAGGGTTTCCAGAGGTGAAGAAGGAGAAAGGGCATATCCGAAAAGGTGGTGGCGTTGTGATTGAGGAGATAGAATGAGTTGTAATGTTGTAGTTATAGCTTGATGATGAAATGTGTGTTATAACAAATGGAGATCTTGTTTATCGTTTTTTTCGAGTTACACAATAAAGAAATACAAACAAACAAAAAACAATCTCTTGCTTGGCTTCCATTGGTAACATCTGAATCCCCAAATCTTCTTTGTAGCTAAAGTTTTGCATTCAATCTTTTAACTCTTTGGTCACACCGCCGAGACTTTCCTTCTTGAAAGCTTCATCTTTAAGGGATTGCCGCCTTTCTCCTCGAAAATCACCAGCTCATTCCCTGAAGCCTTAAACCATGATCGTGGAACATGATACCTAATCCAAAAACCATGAATCAGAGTTGAACAAAAGAGAGATGTGGAAAACGAAAGATGAGAACTTTAATGGCTTTTTATTAGGTTTAACCATCTTTGAGATGGCTCTCCACAGCCAGTGTTGCATTTATCCGGCATGAATTTGCCTCTGTAGTCACATTCTTTAACGCATTCGTCATTGGGAGAGTTCTTTCTAGCAATCCTGGGCCAGTATCTTCCAATCTCTTCACCGTTTAGCCAAGCCATGCCTTTCCCCATACTCATCATATCAAGCCCGACCGGTTCACTCCCAGAAGGTGGGTCTATGATAACCTACCAACAAAATAGGATCACATCTCTTAAAGAGAGGAAACAAGAGTTGATCTTCTACAATCTTGGATCTTGCCTGAGAGTTGTATTACCTTATACCAAGTTAAAGGTTGTTTCTTGGGAGGTTTTGCAGTCACGGTCCATTTGACACCCCCGGAGTTACCTGGCTTGAACAGACCTAGATGCTCTCCTTGCACGCCGAGCTGCAAGATTTCGTAGGATTTGACTTGAGAAACTCGTTAAAGAAAGAGAGACATCACTCAAGAGCACATGCATGAGAGGTTTCTAGGTAAGAGTTATGTAACCTTGTAGGACCATTTACTATTAGTCAAATTCAGTGTGCCATTGTTGAGACCTTTGATTGAGACGCTTGTAAGACCGGCTCCAACCCATTCGTAAAAGGATCCTGCATTCTGTTAGCAGAAGATTTAACCAAATGCATGAGTGCGGATGATTATGCAAAACCAAAATGAAAATACTTTGGAAACTCTCTGTTTATAGAGAATTACCGAAAGACCAACAGTCATGCTAAGCAGATCGACATTGTTTTCTCCCGCTTTGAGAGAAACTGATTTCTTGAGTTTGAAAGGCACATGAGTCCCATTCCCTGTCGCAGTTCCTAGAAACCACCAGCAGTCACATTTACACGCAACCAATTAGAAACTCGAGTGCAAGAACCAACCAATGGAATCAGAGGGTTTTGAAAAAGCACCTAAGTACTCCTTGTTAATGAAAACATGAAGAGTATGCCCCTTTGATTCAATGAAGAGAACCGGGCGGCTTCCCTTCTTGAGAAACTCTTCGTTATCACTCACTGTTATACTGCAACAGATTGAATACATTTGCTTCAGATCTTTTCTCAACAAACTTTACCCTGCGGCAATGAACAGTGATACTGACCTTGTTGTGTACCAAAGATAGTCAGTTGTGTCCTTTGTGGTGTTGATATGATCAACAAGTTCGTTCTTCACAAAGTCTGCTTCTCCCCAAATACCAGGTTTCTCCGAGAAAACTTGCCATTTGAGACTTGAGGCAGACTTCAAATCTTCAGGTAACATCTCTACCTTAGAGGACTTCGAAGTTACCTGTTGCAAGTTTACAAATCAGTTAATACTGAGTTATCCCAGGTGTCATTGTCTGAATCAGTTTCTTTTCTTTTTTTTTCTTTTACCTTTGCTGTGTTAAAAACCTCGTTCTTGCAGTCAGGTAGAATGCTAACTGACCAAGCAGGTAAGTGGTATGACGTGTTCCGAAACACAGCAGTCTTGTCAACTTTATCATCCGAGTTTGACAGAAACGCAGCACAACTTCCTGAAGTGTCTGTGTACACATCAGCCTGAAGATGAGGAAAAAAAAACAAACCATCAGAAGGAACATTCCGACAGAAACAGAAGTCTTTTTCCCTGGCGGGTTAAAAAAAAACAGAACATGTACCTCGAGTGAGGGGCCTAATGTAAAATTCCGATGCTCGCCAGTGATTAGCATGTTTTCAGAGAGCATTATAGCTTTATGGAGGTTCTTAAGGTGACCCCATTTTGGTAATCTTGGCAATCCTAACAAAGGGACAGAAACAAACATATAAGTTATTAACCGCTGAAGAGTTTGTCTCACTCCATCATAGTTTGATCTCTTTGTTACAAAACTCACCATACTCATCGATCGGAGCTTCATAGTCATAGCTTGTTGTGATGAATGGTCCTCCTGAAGTACGTCCAAAGTTTGTTCCTCCGTGATACTAAACTCAAGAAGACACAAAACATAAAGCTACATTTAGTTTACAAACTGATAATCTAATTTGCTCGTCTTGAAGAAACTAACTACTTTATACCATGTAGTAGTTGTGAACACTTCCGCCTTTCTGGAAAAAACGAGCAACAGAGTATGCTATGTCCTCTGCTGGTCTGTGTGGGTCTCTGCCTCCAAAAGTTTTAAACCTTGAAGAACAAAATAAGAAAAACTCAATGATTTAAAAGACTTCAACTTTATACAGAAATGAACAAGATACTCCAAAAGACTCCAACTTTATACAGAAATGATTAAAAAAAGGGGGCCAAAGATCAATCTTGTTACCATCCAGGCCAGTTCTCAGTCCAGATTTTCGGTTTATCCGGTGTATTAGGTGTGAATACGTCACAGTAAAAGCCATTGCAGGTACTGATCTGCAAAAGGTAATAAGATAAATCAGCAAAACAAGTCGCATTTATACTTGTGTATCACAAAGCATCCGCTAACAGCGAACATGTCGATGAAGGTGTAAAGAGAGATCTTGTGTTTCGGATTTGGATATAGACTTTACCACAGTGGCAGGAGCGTCCCATTGCTGGCACATCATCCATGGAACACCAATGTTCTGTGAAACAGCCATAGAAGCAGACCATTGAGCATACCGCTTCCCTCCTTCTCCGTAATCGCGCTCATAGTACCCGTACTCGTTCTCCACCTGGTGAAAAATCGCCATTTTCAAGAACAAACGTTCCAATATGAAACACAACGATGCTGGAACTTAATGTGTTGTCATAAGCGTCTTGCCTGAGACAAGATTATTGGACCGCCCTGTGGTGCGAAAAGCTTCTCTTTTTTCAACTTGTCTACAATATACGCCGTGAAACTCTTCATGTAATGCTGAAACCAAAATCCAGAGAGAGAGTAAATCTCCGATTAACATAGCAAACAGAATTTCGCAGATTGTGTTTGCTACCTTCCATGGCTCGTTATCCGCCCTGAAGACTGTTCCTGGCACATAATGCAACCAAACCGGGACTCCCCTATAACCACAAGATTTCAGTTACAAAAGCTACGACCCTTTCACTTCATATCTAAAAAGAGGGAGCAATTAGTGAAATAAAGGCAATATTTTCTCTAGAAAGAGCATTACCCGTAATTCCACTCGGCCGCAACAAAAGGGCCAATTCTCAGAATCATATGCATTCCAGCTTGCTGAACAGTTTTGATGAACTTCACTATATCATACCGTCCACCAAAATAGTACTACACACCAAACCAAAAAGAAAAAAGAAAATCCAGATCTTGATTAGCAAAAATATCGATGGACACAAAGCTCAACAAACACATTCAGAGATATTTATTGAACTTCCAACCTTCCCAGGAGATGGCTCATGGCCATTCCAAAACACATAGGACTCAATTGCGTTGCAGCCTCCTTCTTTTGCTGTTTGAACAAGTGATGGCCACATCTGCAAGAAAATCAAGTTCATCAGCAACAAAATTCTCAAGGGAGGCATTTTCCAAATCAACCACAATCATAGCTAAGAACCCAAAACTCATAACCAATGAAACTAAAGAACTGAATGCCACACTTTTACAGAGGCTGAAATGGAAAAAATTTAGATATCCCCAAATCATTTGCCATCAAACCCATTGTTCAAAATGTATGCTAACTTGCCAAGAGTCTGATTCGATAATATCCTCTGTGAAAGTATTAACTAAACCCTTACAAGCTTGAAACTTTATTCGATTATAGGTAAAACCCAAGAAAGAAAAAATCAAAATAAATAAAAGCACAGAGCACAAATCCGAAACAAAGCTTCTAACTTTGGCATCGCCAGACTGAAATCAAATACTTACGAAGAAGAAGAAAAAGGCAAAAAGGAAGAGGAATAAGTTACTAACAGCTGGAACACTTCTCGGATAATGAATGGCGGCGGAGATAATGAGCTGACGGCGACCGCCGATTGAGAGAGAACGGTGGTCGTAGGTTACATTCGCCGCCGCAATAGCTCTCAACGAGAAGAGAAACACAATCGCCACCACCGGAATAACCGAGGAAGCAATGCTTTTGGTAACTCGCTTCATTTCGTTGTTTACGATTGTTGAGCTCTTCTTCTTCGTTTCGTCAGTATCGAGTGTTCTTGTAAATGTCCTTTTTTTTTTTTTTTTGTCTAAAACCCTCTCTTATTCCAGTTTTAGAGGGAAAACAAGATTTATCCCTTTAAGAGCTTCCAGAAATCTTTCTTGGTTTGTGTGTGCGTGTGAGAGAGAGAGAGAGAGTGACCAAATCACTCGTCAGTGTGAATTATCGTTATTTACTTAGTAGATTGTCTCTTATAAGATTTTTTAATGTAGATATCAGATTCCATTTACTTGTGCATCATATTAATACATTTATAGGAAAAAAAAAACGAAAAATGGTATTCTAGGATTATACAATTTGAAGAAAACTGAACTGAATGTCTCATATCCTCTTTGATACATGGTATTTTAATTTACCTTTAATGCGTTCGGAAAATACGATAGGAAAGTTAGAAACTGCAACATTATGGATGGCAAGTTCTATGAAAACTACGAGAAAAAACCTCATCAAACTAATGAGTTTAATAAATAATTATACTTTCAGTCATCATCAAAAAAATTAAAAAGTATTTTTTTTTATTCACTTCACGTGATTTTTATATTGTAGGTATGCCTTGAAATGAACGTAGAAATAACAAAAACCTATTTAACACCAAGAAAACAAAAGAAAATCGATGATCTGTGGTATTGTGGCGTGGCGCTTGAATAGATATATTCGTCATGGTCCATAGATTAGCGAAGAAGTAAAGCAATCTTCAAGAAAGAAAAAGACATACGAGAAAGCGAAGTCGTTAGCTTTTATATATGTAATCCTCTTAACCAAATTTGACTTTTATACAAAAAGATGTTTAGCCCTTTCTCTGTTTTCTCACCACGTAACGATCGTGGAGACAAAACAATTAGCATCACATTTTCTTACGAGAAAAAACTAACAATAGTAAGCCCTTTGTCAAAAAAAAAAAAAAAAAAAAACTAATAATAGTATTGGTTATCTTTTCTCTTTTGATAAATCTTATACTAGTTATTTAAATTTGATATGTAATCGGTAAGTACTTTTAACTTTTATCACCACCATAAGAAACATATCACATGCACAGAATAAACCCAAAATTAAATGAAGAATGGATACGGCAGATTTTTAATTAACACAGATTGTTCAAAAACGCGGCACTCCGACCAGTCCACGTTTTCTGGCACCTTCGTGTCTCATCTATAATTCTATATAATAACCAACAAATTTTCTTGTGCTTTTTTCCGGTAATTATTTGTAGATTTGTCATCTGTGTTTGGAATCGGAAGCGCTTCCTCTGATCGTATGAGATTATAAACTACATGTCACTATGTCAGTTCAAATAAAAAAGGAAATCTGGTATTTTCTTTAAATATGTTACTAAAATGTACTAGGGAAATGCTTTCTCAATTATTATTCATAGAAGAAAAAATAATTCAAATCATTTAGATTAAATTACTAACAAAATATTACTGTGGTGAAATTCCATAAGTATTACGGTCGTAATTCCCAACAAAACCAATGCCGAAAGAGCTGAAGTCTTAAACTTCTATGGCCCACGTCCGTGTCTCTGCTTCTTCTCCCTCCCACGTGCAAGTGCAACTCTCGGAGCGTGGGTTAGACGGAGGATCTCGGGACCGCGCGTGGCTTTCATAGTTAGAACGGCGCGTGAACTTTTGCGAGTTTCTTCTTGTGTCGGTGATGAGACAACTGGATTCGGCGGACCAACAAAGTCTCAGGCTCTCAGTTGGATCTTTAGTACTTCGGGATACGAGCCAGATCGGTGATCTTTCTTTATTTCTTTAAACTATTTATAAGAAATTCTTCTATATATTTTTCCTTGGGTTATTTGTATATATTTAGCTCTTAGATTAAAACATGTACTGTATTTTAATTTCATATCAAAATGACATATAAAATATGAATATTTTTATTGATCATTTTGGTTAAAGAGGACCTTTTGATTACCAACAAACACTATTGAGGCCAACAAACAATATAAAAAAATATTCATGAAAATTGAGATTGAGATTGAGCTTGGTTTGAACCAACAACCGATATTGTATTCAAAGAAATCCCAAGAGGATCACCACCTTCCTCTTCCAATACCACCAATAAATTTCCAAATTGTTTCAAAAAGGCCCTTGGAATATGATATCTGCATCAATCAAATCCAAATCATACCAGGGAAAATAAAATAGTGTTCAGTTAAGAAATTATACTATTTTTTCTTCATTCAGAATGTGCAGCTAACAAGCCTGTGACAACTTACATAGATTGAGAAGGATGGCCAGAAGGAGTTAGAAAGGAGACCCAATAACGACCAATGCTTTCGCCATTCACCCATATTTCTCCTTTACCCATACTACCCATGTTTAGGCCCACCGGACCATCTCCTTTCGGCCCATCAAACGTCGTCTGCATATTATTATTACACAGCTGTGTCACCCATACACATTAATCTTAGTTGTTTACAATCCTTTGATATAGGCATACTGTACCTTGTACCAAGCAAGAGGGCGGTTCTTGATGAGTCCAGCGTTATTGGTACTCCACTTCACTCTCTGTAGATTCCTCCATTGATGTAACTTAACTTTTTCCCCAAGCAAGCCCACCTTCACAAGACATACATGTTAGCTTATGTATCAACACAATCCTCGATCAGATCACACGACTTTAGAAATTTTTATATTACCGAGTAGCCCCATTGAGATCCACTCAAATCGATGGTTTTTGTTCCACCACAGCTAATTTGAACTTTGGTTAGTCCATAAGATTTCCTCTCCATGTAAGCTCCAGAGTCCTTTTATATATTCATAGGGTCAGGAAAATGTGTTATAATTCAACTATTTTGTTTGATGCAAGAAAAGAATAAACCGGGTTTTGGTTAAGCAAACGTCTTACCGGTAGACCAACCATGCCGCTAAGGATCGAAATGTTGTTTTGTCCATTGACTAAGCTAACCGGAACTTGGAGTTTAACTACCCTTATGTCTCTGCTTCCATGTCCGGATCCTGCAAGAACACGCTTCCAAATTGAATAAACTGGTAACCAAACTATAATAGACTGTAAAATAAGTATATTACAAAATAAGTACGATGGACTGTCGACAAAACCAAAGTTTGTAAACACTTTTTCCTTCACAGGTAAAATTCCAAAATTTGTGTACCTGCAAGTGCATTGTTGACGAACACGTGAACAACATGTCCTGATGATTCAATATAGAGAGACGGTTTCGCACAGGGTGAATCCGGCTTAAACCTTAAATTCGAAAAGCCAAAGATGCGTTAGAAATAAGAAATAAACATAAGCAATGTAATTTGAAATGTGTTTTATATTACCTTGAAGTGTACCAGAGATAATCAGTTTTGTCCTTAGTTAAGTAAGTATGTTCTAACAGAACATTTTTCTTCAAAGATGCTCCTGAGAATGTTGGGATTGTTTCTCTAAATACTTCCCATTTGTCCGGATCGTTAAAAACTTGAACCGGCGTTGTAACTCTTATGTTCTTCGCCACGCTAACCTTTAAATAAAGTAGTTTACATGCTTAATTGGTAAATTTTAACCATCTGAAACTTGCCAAGAAGTAGTAGTAGAAGAAGGAGGCGTACTTTTGCTGTTTCATAGATTAGGGTTTTGCAGTTCTGAAGAATACCGATTGACTTGGGACGCAAGCTATACGCATTGTTTCTAAATTTCATTTGAATGACTTTAGTCGCGTCGTTGTTTACCAGAAACGCGACGCATCCACTGCTCGGGTCTTCAAATACATAAGCTTGTTGCATTGGTCCCAGGGAAAGAATCGTTTGCTTCCCTTGAAGCAGAGGATTTGCAGATGATTTTATCGCAGCATGAAGCTCCTTCAAATGACCATACTTAGGCTGTCTTAAAAGACCTGCAACCACAAAACAAGATCATAATCAGATTAGTTATCGGATTTTGTTTTGGGATGGTAAGTGATCGATGCAAAGATATGGCTTTAGGAATTTAGACCGAACCGTATTCGTCCAGAGGAGCTTGATCATAGTATCCTGTAATAAAATATGAAGATGAAGTCCTTCCAAAGTTTGTTCCACCATGGTACTGTATAAAATTAGGCTTCATGAGCTCTTTGATGATCATATCACGATTTTTTTTATAAAGAAACATCAAATCTTGTACCATGTAATAGTTGATATAGCTTCCGTTTTTTGCGACGAAAAGAGCAGCATGGAAAGCAATATCCTCAGCAGATCTAATATAAGGCTCTGATCCGTAAACCTGAAAGCTTTATTCATCACAGAGAAAAAGTCAACCGAGTTAACTTGTTGAACAAGAAACAGAATCAATGTAAAAAATGAAGTAACCTACAAGGATGTCCAGTCCTCAGTCCACATTTTCGGTTTATTGGGTGAGTTTGGTCCTGGAAATGTCTCGCCGCATCTCATTCCGTTGCACGTGTTGATCTACATATTGAAACATCAAATCTTTAAGAAACAAGAAACATTGACCTTAGATAAGTAAACCGGTACGGTACGGACCACCGGATCAGGAGCGTCAGGCTGTTTGCACATGATCCATGGCACGCCGGTCTTAAGCCCCACAGCCATTTGACCTGCCCACTTGACGTATGATGCTCCTTTCTCACGAAAAGCCGCCTCCACGTTCCCGTACTCGTTCTCGATCTATACAATTATAACCACAAGAGCCAAACCCCCCCCATTCAGATCGTAATAATTTAACCGGTTCCGGTTCCTATATGATTTGAATTTAAGTATGCAACTGTGGCCTGTGGGATGATCCTTGACCAAAATTTTATTCTAATCGGCTCAGGGACCATGAACCGGTGATGATTATGGGTCATCATCAACGTGTTGCCTGAATTAAGGCAAACTCTACTAGTTTGGCTCCAAATTTATAAAGGTTTAAAGTCACTGGTTTCTAAGCTTTAGTTCGGTTGAGGTAACTACTCCTAGGTTTTGTTTGGCTCGATTCGGTGACATCGAAGCATATAAACAATCATAAAGAAAATTACCTGGGAAAGAATAATTGGACCTCCTTGGGAAGCATATAAGCCCTCTGATTTCATCAAATTTGCGATTTTACTGGTGAATTGTTGCATGTGGAACTTGAAGGGCTCATTGTCGGTTCGATAAACCATACCGGGTACATCCCGTAACCAAAATGGCAATCCCCTGGTTCACCAAACCGGTTGTCAAAATCGAATTAACACCATTTCTCAATGTTAATTATACGTTGATTAACATTTTTAAAATGATTAGTACCCGTAGTTCCACTCGGCTTCGATGAACGGTCCAATACGTAGACAGACATAGAGACCTTGCGATCTAATTTCTTTAATAAACTTCACCAAATCGTTTCTTCCGCTAAAATCATACTGAAATATTCGTTTTATTCCAAGAAATATAATGTTAATTTTGTTTGTTTTATCATATCTACAAAGTAACAAATATTAAAAATTCATATAAAGAAATTAAATATATAAACCGACCTGTCCAAGCTTAGGCTCATGGAGGTTCCAGAAAACGTACGTTTGGATCACATCGATGCCTCCTTCCTTTGTCTTTTTTATTAGAGACGGCCACATCTGCAGAAAAAGAAAATAAATGCGTTAATTTTAAAAACACGAAAGATTATTCGGATAATTGAAACGATGTAACGAAAATAAAATTGGCTGTCTTTGGATCCCATTGATTAGAGCTTTTAATGAAATGAGATTTGTTCACGTGATTGAGTTAAAGTTGTCAAAGACCAAATGATAATAAGACGCAGAATCAATGATCAGCACATGTAGTTCAATAAAATATTGTTATGTAAGTTGACAACAAATAAATTAACTAATTACAGTTGTTTTACACATTTTGACCTTCTATTTGATATGATTAGCTTATTCATTTTATTGCTGGCAAAATGATGCTACTTTTATTTTTCTTATCGAAACCATGAGAGGAACATTTCATGAAGCACAGAGAACGGATCTGTGTCCAATTAGTTTTAGATTATAAACGAATTAATACGCAACTTATTTTTATTTAGTCGACCGTATTTGTAGTTTCTATTTAATGCTAAATCTGAAAGTACAAAAAGAGTTTAAAAAAAGAAGTAGACAATGACAAATTAGGAAGGAAGGAATCATAAAAAGAACCGAAACGGTGTCGTTTTCAGACCCGTGACTTTTATTTTCAGTACGGTCAAGGAGTCAAAGATGTTGTGTTAGATGAAATCTCTGTCTTAGTCTTGATAGTGAAGCTCGAGAAATCTTGTGAACCAAACGATAACATATTTTTATAGATAATACTTTCACAGATCAATTTCGCTTCAATAATGCATGTCTTTTTCTTTCTTTTATATTGTTTTATTTAATATTTTCATATTTTTGAATATAACCTTTCATAAAATTAACAAAACTAATTAACACGTGTATATACAGCTTTGTGATTAGTGTATGCTCTCGAAAATCGATTCCCAGTAGATATAGGTTATTTTCAAAATATGAAACTAAATTTCAAATAAATAATTAAAATTTCAAAACAAAAATTGCCAATAAATAAATATTCCGCGATTTTTATTTTTTTGGTTTTGTTTGTTCTCGCCAAACAAAGAGTTCCGCACGCAACACAAAGTACATGAAAAGCGAGAACAAATGTAAAGGAATCGTGAAAACAGAATTCGGTTACGAAGTTTCGATTTATACAAAAGCCACCATATTATTTTATTTATTTATTTAAAAAGATAGGCCAATTACATAAACTATATAATACTACTCAAACCGGCTACAGTTTTTTCAAGCAACCTCTTTTTTTTTTTAAATCTTATTATTTTCATATATATCCAAAATTTACACACTCGATTAATTTTGTCATATATATACTTCGCTTTTCATAGCAGGGTTTTGTCATATTACATCAATATGACTATATGAGTCATAATGTGACACAAGTTTTCGTCCAACCATTTTTTTTACATTTGCCAAAAGTTTTATAGTCATATTCATATATCGCATTACCACACCTATATATATATATATGTGTACACTTAGAACTTCTAAGTAACTATTATGCAATGAAATTTGTTTACCTCGGGTGTGCTGCGAGGATAATGAATTGAACCGGAGAAGAGAAGTTTCCTCTGTCCATCGATAATCAAAGACCGTCCGTCGTACGTTACTCCCTTCTCCGTCGTAGCACCGCCGGCAGCAACCGTGTGGAAAACAAGAACCGTGCCCAGAAGAATCAAACAAAATCCGACCGGACCCGACACCATCTTCTTTCTTCTTCTTCTTCTCTTCCTATTTGATGTTTCCTTTACTGATTGCTGTTCGAGCATGTGTGTGTATATATACACATCAGGCATGTGGGTGTATGTATAATTGATGCATTATATAAATCCAAGGAAAATTTATGATTAGAAAACAAGTGTGACTACAATATGTAGGCGTTAAATAAAGACTTTTGAGATTTGAGAGCTGTATATATGCAAAAACGAAATAAATCGCAATAATTGGGAAGTTTTGGGAGCAGGCATCTCTTGAGGTTTTTATAAGCCTGGAAACTGCATTATGCTTCTCCTTTTGTCTTACGACTCTATCCACTTATTTACTAAAATGCCCTTCTAGTTAGACTGCCTTTATATTATTTTCTTCTTTTGCCAATTGCTGGATGATAACAGTTCAACTAACCTAGTACTAACCAACAATCTATATATGTAATGGATAGAGTAGCAGCTGTTTATATTAACATTTCCAACAAATAAATTAAAAAAATCAATTTGATACATGGTTAAAAATTAAAAATTTATTATGAAAATATTGACTATAATAAAGTATTAAAGTTTGCATTTCATAGTCAAACAATAAAAAATATTCTATTTCAATTATTTTGATTTTTTTCAGATGTCGAGTATTTAATAAACTTTGTAAAATAATATTACATCAACCAACGTAAATAATAACGTTATTTTAAAGAAAATCATAGGGATAGCAACATTGACAATCTGAAGATTCGTTATGCCCATAATCATTTTTTCATAAATTATATTTTCTAAAGTGAAAAATCTTGTTCCTTTTTCCACACTAAAATTATATATCTGACATTTTTAATTTAACAAAGTATTGATCAGTTTAGGACGCTAGTAAAGAGAATCCACCACCAAACTGATCAACCTGACGGCATCACATCAACACACCGGTTTGGTAGACCGGTTAGGAGACTTCCCCTACAAACCTGCCACCATCATTTCCAATACCTTATTTCTATGATAAACCGACCCGGTTTAATCCGGATCATGACTAAAAAAAATTGGGGGTACATGACAATCAATATAAATTCATGATTATGGAAAATAAACAATTGGACATGAACATCATTAAATTGGTGGTCATATCATTGTCTTGGTGATACTCTTGTCAACATTTTCGGCTCTGACCAAAGCGAACGGTGCATTATGTGAGCCAAAGAGACTTCAGAGTTGCTTCGACGCCATTAGGAAAAGTAATATGGACGGAGAGCGACTGTTGTCCAAATATTCAAAAGCAAGAACCAATGGTTCTGATTTCTGAACCATGTATCTGTGGTTAGTGGTTACCTTATCAGCCTTGGTTATGCTATGTAGTTAGTATAATTTGTGTTTCAATTCGAAATGTTATTGTGCTCGGAGTTTAATATTAAATGTACGTTTGTTTTTTTTTGTTAAAAAAAGAGTGATTGGTGTCTGACGCTGTGAAGGAAGAGTATTTTCGTCAATAAAGCAGAATTTGGGAGGAAGTTTGATAACCAGATAATGATTGGGGTTTACCGTATACGACACAGAAATTGGAAACTTGTAAGATGAGACTTGCCCCAACACACAGCCTTCACGTAAAGATACCAGGAACTTAAAATGGGTCTCAAGTTATTTTTAAGACCCATATATTTGGGCTTCACATTTTGGGTGCTTTTAGCTACGCATCAAATTTTGTTTGTTCATGCAATTATCTTCCTACTTAATTAACTTTTTTACAAAATTCAGGAAGTAAGATAACCTAACGAATGTACACTGCTTTTGTCATGAGAAAGACGAGAAGCTGAATACTTTTTTAGTAAACATAATTATTTATGCATTGAGTTAAACATTTTCTTCTTCTTTTTAAAAGCCTATTAGGATCCGTTAACCATCTGTCTCAATGCCCAAAGATATCCTAATATAAGTTGTTACTAATTGTAACACAAGATCAGTTACTAACTACGAAACACCATTCTTTCTTTAATAAGCAATCAATAAAACATTGTTCTTTCTTAAAAAAATATAAACTGTCGTTTACGTGGAAATGTTAGTCCAAGAAACTGTCGATTATCGCATCTTTCAGCTTTACGAATATATAAGCAGGCGTGCGACTAAGATGACGTCACTCCCATGACATGCGCAATTAGATGAGCAGAGAATAAAATCCTGTGCGGAGAAGCGTACAGTAATACTCATCACAGTCCACTCACAAGCCATAGCTTATATATACTGGCCAGAGAACAACGTGCACAAGGTTACACCGAGAACCAGCAGATTGCCACCATCCACAAAGGTTCATGCGGATGACGGAAGCAATGACATCACACATACTCTGTATGTCGATCTCCCAATTATTCAAAGCCACGTGTACATCTCAGCAGGCTGCGCGGTCAACGTTGAAAAGAAAACGGTTGGTTTAGTCACACGTGTCAGAAAGCCACCCACGTGTGGTTCATGAATCTTCCTCTTTATAAAACCTCCATAGCCTTACTCTCTTCCCCTCGATTCCAATCTCCGATAAAACTACAAAGATCCGATCAATTTTTTTTTGAAAAATCGAATCTTGTCCAAAAGAGAACAAAGAACTTTCCCAAAATGAAGGCGGAGCTAAATTTACCGGCGGGATTCCGATTTCACCCGACGGACGAAGAGCTCGTTAAGTTTTATCTCTGCCGGAGATGCGCATCAGAGCCGATTAGCGTTCCGGTAATCGCAGAGATTGATCTGTACAAGTTCAATCCATGGGAACTTCCAGGTAAAATTTATAAAGAGTCTTTTACTCTTTTTATGATTTTGAGTAGAATTTTCAACATGGTGATATGTATGTGGTTTTCATTGATTTTGAACAAAATTCGAAATTTTGTTTCAGAAAAGGCTTTGTACGGTGAGAAAGAATGGTATTTCTTCTCACACAGAGACCGGAAGTACCCAAACGGTTCGCGTCCAAATCGGGCAGCTGGAACCGGTTATTGGAAAGCGACTGGAGCTGATAAACCGATCGGTAAGCCGAAGACATTAGGGATTAAGAAAGCACTCGTCTTCTACGCCGGAAAAGCGCCGAAAGGGATAAAAACGAATTGGATTATGCACGAGTATCGTCTCGCTAATGTTGATCGGTCTGCTTCTACGAACAAGAAGAACAATTTGCGAGTACGCTTCCTTAACTGACTTTTAACTCTCTTTTACTTTTTGATTTCAGTCTTTAATTTTCGATTCATGTGGTTTGTTGAAAATTTGCAGCTCGATGATTGGGTTTTATGTCGGATTTACAATAAGAAGGGAACAATGGAGAAGTATTATCCGGCAGATGAGAAACCGACGGCGATGACAACTACGTCGGACTCGAAATGCTCAAGTCACGTGATCTCACCGGACGTCACGTGCTCCGATAACTGGGAGGTTCAGAGCGAGTCCAAATGGGTTGATCTCGAGGACGCGTTTGATGCGTTTGACACGTCCATGTTTGGTTCCATCGAGTTTTCGCAAAATGACGCTTTTGTCCCTCAGTTTCCGTATCAGTCCGACTTCGCCACTTCCTTCGAGGACCCGCCGGAGCAAAAACCGTTCTTGAATTGGAGTTTCGCTCCCCAAGGATAAGTAAAACCGGAAAGAGCATAAAAAAAATTGAAGCTTTCCGGAGTACTCGGCCACCGCACCGGAGGAAAAGGATCCGTGACGGATCCTGACCCGGAAACCAAGTTGGGTCATACAATCACGGAGTTGGGATTTCTGAGATTTTCAACTTCCAGTTATTCAATATCCTGATGATGGGTGAAATGGGTTTCGACTGGTTTATAGTACTCATCAGCAAGATTCAATTTTTTGTTTTATCTATAAAGATATATCAAAGTAGGTACAAAAGAACTGTAAAAGCCATAGTGACCATTATAAATCATATATATTCCATTCATCATAATCAATGAGCATGAGCTTATTTTTCTTTAATGAAGCAATGTACATTTTCCTCCAAGAGAAGATTACAAAGACTTATGCAGAGAGAAGAGAGATGATGATGATGATGGATTCAAGGGTTATTGTGAGAAGCATTCGAACGAGAAGCCCAAATACCAAACACAAGAAACCAGAAGATGAATAAGATTGCCCAGTAGCGTGCAGGACCATACCTGATTCTAGTGAGAACAACCTGTTTTCAAGTTTTGGATTAGTGTAGGAACCATGAGAACCTGTAATAAAATGACATGTCTTAGATGAGTTACTTACGAATCTGAAGAAGATGACTATTGTTAAAGCACAGAGACCCCCAAGAAGGATGTGACCTCCGCTCCTAGCAGTTTTCTGCGCGAATTAATATAAATCATTTAGCCAATAAACGCTACTAATGTGACAGAGAGGCTTAGCAACACGGTTAGATCGAAGACATACCTTTCCAACACGAGGAGCAATGAGCCAGACCAAAGTCACAGTGAGTAAACCGGTAGCAAGTAGAATCCCGGTACCTTCCACGGCCCACTTAGTTGCACGGCTTTCCATAGGCAAGATATCAAAGTTCACTACACCCAAAGCTTGTTCTTCAGGCGTAACCTGAGAAGCCGCAACAGAGCTACTGTTGTTGTTGTTCAGGGAATGGGGACCAAACCATGAAGATATCTCACCAAGTCGCTGCCTTCGAATGGCAGCAACTTCATCTGACTCTATGGTTGAATCCGGTAATACATTGTTTGGATCTCCTCCTTCAGCGTTTCCTTCTCTTAGTGCCGTATAATCTCTCAAGGCAATGACCACTTTGTTGAAATCAGCAGTTTTTATATTTTCCGCAGCATTCCCACAGATTTCACAAACGGTGGATCCATGGTTGAGAAACCATTTAAGCGCGCAAGCGTAGTGTACCAAAGCAAGCTCGTTTTTGCAAGAACATCCAAGCTCAAGCAATGCATCCTGATGCTGCTGTATTCCCATTTCGATATCATTTGTGCAAATGAAAACTTCCCCATCGGGACCTGCTATTTCGACGAAGCCAGATTCCACCCCATTGCTTTTGACGACGGAGCTCTTCTGCTCGGCCTCTGTAGCTTTGCCGACCTCATCACCGGTTTCCTCCGCATTGCTTTTACGAGCTTCTGTTACCGGAGGAGCAATCCCCAAAATCCCCAAGGCAGCATCTCCTCGTCTGTCGGACTCTGCAGAATGGCAGACACGACAAGTTGGTAAACCCGAGTCGCTGTCTGTACTGTAACGCGCCTCGTCTGCTGTTAGTTCCTCGTTCTTGACGGGTGGACAATCGTGATCATTGACTCCACAATTTGCTGTCTCCAACTGATTCTCTTTACCCATCAAGCCCGAAAAAGAAAAAAAAGTTCTGTTTCTTCACAAGACCACAAAAAAAAGCTCACGTAGATGATGTATCCAAGGAATTCTAATGTACAGACATTACAACTTAAGATCCAATAAAACAAAGGACCTCGCTGTATCTAGTATCGCACTCTAGAACCACGTTGAAAAAGAAACAATCTGCAATACAGCGACAAGAGAGAAATGGCCTATTTTGCATTCTTTCAAACGAGCTCCTGCAGTGAAAACATTATAAGGTGTCATACACATAAAGTGGAATACAGGCTTATGGTAACATATCACTCTAACAAGGGCATAAAAGGTGAATTCAGGAATGTAGAAACACACAAACAAAAGAACAAAAAACGGATCCAAGCTTACTGCTAAATCCTGATTAGTGATTTAAGGTATCAGGCTGAGAATGTGATACTTCATTTATAGTGAGTTTCGATCACAGATCCACCCAACCTTTCAGATATTAGAAGAGCCAATACATGCTGAGATCAATCAAAACAAAAAGAAAGTGACCAAAAGACATGACAAAATGATGTCTGAAGCCAATAAGATGATTACTCAGCAGGTTGTACCTGAGCAGGATACATTGCAACAAATCCAAACAAAAGAAACCACTAATAAGTAAATAAAAAATATATATATGCAGAAGCAGATTAAAGCAGCCATTACTCCAATTGGTTTAACTGAAGCAGATTAAGCAGCCATAACTCAAATTTTTTGACTGAAGCAGCATGAAGCAGCCATTACTTTAATTTTTTTTTTTAACTGAAGGAGATTAAGCAGCCATTGCTTCAATATATAATTTCTTTTTGATATATATAGCTTCAAATATTTTAACAGAAGGAGATTAAGTAGACATTAATTTCAATTTTTTAAGCTCTCTACCAAATTCCCACCACTGATTTTTAGTGGACAGAAACTCATTGAAAAGACAAAATCAGCAATTTCGTTTTCTCATAGGACTCACGGGTCACCGACTAAAACAGAGATAAAAAAAATCACGACATCAAAGAGTTAAACGATCTGCAGAATGAGAGATCAAACATGTCCAAATCTGAGCAGATTTAAGCATTCTGGAACAACAATAAATTTGGCGGAAAAAGGCAGAGGGACTTTCATGAGCATAGAAAAAGGAAAAAATGAATCTATAGGGTTTGAGTGAGCAAACCTCCGCAAAATCTGGATAGAGATCGATTGATGGGCAAGCGAAAATTTAGAACCTTTCGAAAACCAAATCTCTTTTCATTTCTCGGTTCCTCGAATTCTGGGAATTAGGGAATTAGGAGTTTTCTGGAAAATGCTCGTCTTTTTTGAGCTAAGCGTTCAGATTCGAAAAGAGTTCTTGCCACTACACCAACCTTCACATGGTGCGGAGAGCTGAGTGGTTTTAGATTCTTTTTATTGTTTCCACTATATAACGTTTTTTCAAGAGAACAAAAAACTGTCCACATTTCCCATAAAAAAAAAAACCCAAAAGAAAAAGATAATGATGGATAAGTAATAAATGATATCTAAAATTTTGGATTGAAATATTATTTTTGATTTTCGTTATATATAAGATTTTGGGGAAAAAAATCTTCACTCCACACGTAGGGGATATAACCGTTTTGTTTTTCAAATACATGGAATAAATTTGACTATAATCGTCGTCTTTCTATTAAAACAAAAACAAAAAGACTACAATCGTCGTAGTCAAAACATTTATTTTCCCAAGAAAATTATCTTAATCTTTGACTAAGAGGTCCTAATAATCTACAGAATATAAAGAAAGTTTTCTAAATAGTAATAATAATAATATTAAAAAATCTCAACATGGACAAAGTACTACCCGGATAATATTTTTGCAATCGTTATTTTTCTAAATTAATGAAAACCCTATGACATAAAAAAAAAAAATCTATCCAGATAATATAAAACCAAATGACATGCCTCTTTTTGGCTCTAATTTTTTCTTGAGTTTTTTGTTCTGTTGTTTTCTGTAGATATTTCTTTTGGTCGCAGGATGGATGAAGAGAAGATTTATCCAGTTCGAGAACATAATTAGAAATATATTAGAAATGATAACGAAGCTAGAAATGAGCTAAATCCATTGGGTGAAATTTTCCTCATTAACTTAAAGTTTTAGACCATAAAAAGTCTAGTTTGAAAATACGGGTCAGCATATTATTATTTGTTGTAATTGATTTTACATAACTAGACGTTTTCTTCAAATGAGAGTAGTGCTGGATAAGCTCAAATTTGAATGTATAAGTAAATAATAAAGTTGAACGGGTAATAGAAGGAGGGATGATCAGATTTTAAATTGTATTGACCAATAAGTACCATTGTATAAATTCGGCGACATATATTCGGTTGACTAGAAATCAGCTGCAATTGTGTAAACACTGTTAAACAGTGCAGATTCTGTTGATATACATTTAGAATAATTTAGCACCAGATCAGAGAGGAAGCTTAAAAAGTGGGATTGTGGCAAACTCTATCGTTAAATCTGTTTGAAAAGATATAAAAGTTAACCCTTGAACCTGTAGAAAGAGGGAGTGGATTTGAGAGTGCAGTTGTCCAACCAAATGCTTCATCAACTAAAAATCTAACCAAAGGTCCTCTTGTCTGATTCTTATACACGTAACTGAAACTTATAGTACAGTACTTTTTGAAGCCAATCTCAGTGGCTTTCGTATGGGCACACTATACAATTGACACTCTTCACAAAGGGGAAAAAAACAAAAAACAAAAGTAAGGGTAAAAAAAGCAAAAAAAAAATCTCGTACCCGGGTTCTCTAGTGGGTAAAAGTCAAGATTGTAAGTTATACTCTTCCTGTTAAGCCAAAATTTGGTGAGAGGATATATTATATTTCTACGAGAGATGTAGAGCCATTTGCTGAAGAAGTACTTTCTTCTGAGATGCATTTATGACTCCTTTGCATTCTGCATCGAGCAACACCTCGTTCATTATGGCTGCCGCATGCCCTCGAGGTTCGTCCGATGCTCTTCTTAGCATAAATACCTGCATTTTAAAACCAACCCTCAGATCTACATCAGAGTCCTTAAGTCTTATGATTGATGGGAAGGAGAATGTATGTACCTGTCCGTGGTGAGTTATCTCCAAGCAGCCCGGTTGCTGTATAAACGGTTCTCCATCTATTTGTACAGGGAAAGGACTAGAAACATGTATTCTTATGACTTTTCCCTGTGCCAGCCTCCTCGCCTGAGAAAGACCCACCTGTTAAGAGAGAATAACAAGTTGTTGAGTCAAATATCATATAAACCTTTTACCCCTAGAACTTCGTATAAACCTTTTAGCCTCACCTGTAGTTTGCCGAGATGCCAAGCTCCACGGACACATACCACCTCAAGTGTCTTGTCGTGCATACACTGAATGCTAAAATTATCATCATGTTCGTAATCATTTTGCCATAGATCTACTCCACCCATATAGCTTCCAATGTTTAGTACTATTAGGCCCTGTGAATCCTGAAGGGATATACAAATTATGGCCCATCAGTTCCCAGAAAAAAATATCATAGCATTCTCCCGGTGGGAAAAATGACAACTATGGCTTTTACCAAGAGATTATGAACACACCACACAAGACGGAGAAAGAAGGGCAAAGACGCGGTATTGATAAACGCGATATAAACATCCCTTTAAGAACACAAGACGGAGATATAAGGACAGTTTGATTTAGAGTAAGATACCTTGGGGATTTCAATGTCTTTTCCATCAACTTCAAGCCATACTTGCCATGGTAAATCGGCACATGCTCGATCCATGATATCCCTCGCACCTTCTTTAGCATATCTTAATTTATTTACAAACTGCAGAAGAAACAGGAAATACAAATATATCAGCCAAATAGTTTGCTTCTCAGATTAAGCCCCAATGTTGTCACAATGATATGTAATATCATCCATATTCTGGTGCTCAATATTATCATTAAAAGTTGCAGCACAACAGGAGTACCTGACTACAAAACTTTTCAGGATTTTCTTGCCGCATCATGTGAAATTCATACGCAACCTTGGCATCGCAGCCAATACCTAAACAAAAGAAACGTCAGCTAGTGTTCATGATCCATTTCAGGGGAAAATAAATAGATGGTTAATAGGTATACCCAAGTAATTCATCATAAACTTGTGGCCTTCTCTTGCTGGAAAATTTTCTGTACTCTCTTCTTTAATCTTTACACTCCAGCGATCAAGCATTGTAACTGCAGCATGATCAATGTCTTGCAAAAACGTTCTTAGACTCCCCTGTCCATCAACTACTGAAACACCTCTTCCCCACTGCAAAACTCTAGATAAATCATTTCCTGTGCCTAGCGGAAGGATGGCGACAGGTGGAGGGGATTCGAAATTTCGCTTCTCTATGGCATCAAGCACCCAAGCAACTGTTCCATCTCCCCCACACACCAAAACTCTAAAGTATTTCACTTTGCTACATAGGTCTAGACCAGCATCTGGCCCTTGACAAGAGCCAAGCTCAAAGACCTGTAATTCAGCAAAGCGGTTATCATTAGAAATATTATACCCACGAGATTCAACATGTTTATGAAGCAAACAAACTTCTGAACGTCATTAGCTACACGTTGAGATCAAATTAGGAATTATACAATATATCTAAAGTGGAGAATGAAGCTCATTTGTTTACCTGTACTGGATTTAATAGCATATTCAGTCTCCTATGAAGAAAAGGACCGTGTTGACCTCCACTCTTGGCATTAATAAAGACCAAAAGCGGTCTTGCATCCGGGGGCAAATCAACCAAGCTATACTTCTTCATAAAATTAAAAGCAGCAGTTTTACTTCGTTTGGGTCCCCCAATACCATTCTGCATTCCCTTACCATTAGGCATATCCGGTATCTTCTTTAAGCAATCTATGCTCCTATCTCTGCGTAGTTTCTTCACTACAAGGCCATTAACTAGGCTTTTAACAGGATTACTGGCTGAATCCTCCAACAGCTTACCACTAATCGATTGGGCATTCCCATTTTTACCCCTGTGGCGTTTTCTTCTCACATGCCCTCGTATAGATGCTAACTCGTTTTTAATAGTACTCAGTACTCCATCTACGCCATTTTCTTCACTGACTTTTACATGCACTGGAGAGAGGATCACCCTTCTGAGAGAGCCAAGGTCACAAGCGTCACCAGATTCCTTGGACATGATCATGTGACACTTCACATGTATGAGGCGCTGGCACCAGAGACAGTGCCACATTGGAGAAGCTTCAATGAAAGGAATCCCGCATGGTTCATCGCAATAGAAGCAAAAAGCAGACATGTCAGCATTGTCATCCATGTTAACCCACCGCTCAGACCAGTGATGCCTGACATAGTCAGACCCGGCCTGCGCAACACACTTGCAGTCTTTTGCCGCAGAGCCTGAGCAATAAAAGTGAGCTGCTACACCGCACACAGAGCATCTGTGGACGGGAATACTCAGAGCTGCCTTGTTAGAAACGTTTTGGCCTGGAAGAAGCGAGTAGAGGCAAACGCAGCAGGTGGATGGCTGCGGCCCACAACCGTAATCATCCGTCCATTGATGATGAGAAAGTGGAACTCTCAGTCTTTTCCATACTTTCTTCTTCTCTCTAGCAGCAGCTTTAACCCAATTTAAAGAAGTTTTATTCTGCCATTTAAGAAACGTGTACACAACAGCTAGAAGACCAAAGGATCCAGTTACAAGCCATCCGAATATAAACGGACTATCAGCGCCAGAACTTATCAACCACTGAACAAGAGAGAACCCCACTTCCATCATTACAGAAATCTAATAAGCCATTTCCTATATTAAACTTGCAGAAGAGAAGAAACCTGCCAGACAAAAAAAAACATCCGTAAGAAGATATGGCCTTGATAAACTTGTAGTACGCAAGAGAGTGACTATGCCAAGGACAATCACAGATTTAATGTAGCTACTGGCATAGTTCGATTCCTAATTCCCATACCAAATCCTAAATTGGGTTTGTAGCTGTGTTTCATAAGCAAAACAACTAAAGGAAATGGATTAAATTCAAAAATTAATGCCAATTCCACATTGAATAGCCTTAAGCCACAATTCGTCTAAAAATCCATCAAAACTAAACGAGATCAAGCAATTCGGAGGAGAAGAAATCAAATCAAACAACAAATGCAGAAAAGCACGAGACAGAAACAGGTCGTCATGGGAATCGAGTACCGATCTAATCGAAAATAAAACAAGTAAGTCAAAATTTCAGATCTGACGCGAATCCGAACCGACGAGTTAAATTCAAAATCCATACCAGGTGAAAAAATAGAGAATCGGATCGAAATACACGACGGAGATCGGAAAAGGTAAAATTAAAACCCTAGATTCTCCGAGCACCAGTAAAAGTTTCTCCAATTACTTTTCCTCCTCGAAGCCAGCGAGAGGAGAAAGAGAGAAAAAAACAGAGAGAGAGAGAGAGAGGAAAGTTTTTATAACGAAGGGTGAAAAGCAAAAGGCGGGATTTGGGCTATATACGCTACAAACGCGCCTTTCCTCGAGCGAGCAGTCTCTCTCTCTCTCTCTATCTCTCTTCCCGAGCCGGACTACGTGCGGGCCACGGGTTCGTCGGCGTTGGCTTCTCATTGAGTTTCTCTTATTGATTTTACCGTTATACCCTTGGTCAATCGTTGTGACGTCACTTGCAAGAGAAAGAACCAATCACAGTGCTGGCAATTGCTTGGTTGTGATGTCACTTGCAATTAAAAAGAACCAATCGCATCGCTCCTTTTGCTTAGCTGTGACGTCATTTGAAATAAAAAGAACCATACACATGACATGATGATGCCCTTAATTAGGACTAAGAGTATCGACTTCGTCAAACAAAAACAAATTTTAATTTTGACGCTTCAAGTCAATATTTATTTAATCATTTATATATTTTTGACTTTTTGTTATTAAAGTGATAATAATAATCGTAGAAAAACGAAGACTTATCAACGAAGAAGAATATTATTCTTCCTTTAAAAAAAGAAAACTTATCAACGAAGAATTAAATAAAACTTTTTAGAATGTTTATTGTTTAGTAGAAAGATTAATGTCCAATGGGCCAATAAATTTCCTTAATCTGCATAAATCTTGCAGACGCCAGGCGGTGAAAAAGAAAAAAAGGAAAACCCTAGATATCCTGCAGATTACAGAAGAAGGATATCTCTTTGCACTACTAAGACGATAACCTCTGGTGCTGCTTCGAGTCAGTTTCTTTGATTGAGGCGCAAGCTATCGGTAAGCCTTATCCCTATTCCTTGTAAGTTCCCTTGCAATTTGTTGATTTGTTCTTCTTTCTGATATTCGTCAATTTCAAGAAAGCACTATGGAGGACGATCGAGAGAGACCCTATTCTGTTCTAACGAGAGATGAAGTTAAAGAGAAGATGGAGAAAAAGGTGGACGCTATCTCCGAGATCTTTTGCGTTTCAACATCCGATGCGACCGTGCTCCTCATGAATCTCCGATGGGACTCGCGTCTGCTTTCGGAGCGTTTGAGCGAAGACAGGGAGAAACTCTTGACGGAATCAGGTTTGAAACCAGTTGTGATTGATTCGAATCGAGACTTGTCTGATTCAGCATACGATGTGTTTTACGAGTTCGATGACGATGATCACGATGGTGATGAGAAAATCTCCACGCCCTTTTGTTCTCACGAGTTCTCCACACGTTATTGGAGTGGGTACCTTGAGAAGAGCTTCTTCTCTCTGGCGAAAACCCTAACCGCAATCTCTTGCCCTGATCAAGATTGCCGAGCTGCAGTTGGACCGGTCACGATCGAGAGGCTAACGGCACGGGACAAGGATGCGTACGATGCGTACGTTCTGAGATCTTATCTCGAGGGAGTCAAGAAGGAGATTGTCAAGCAGTGTCCTGCACCGGATTGCAACAACGTCATCAAGTTTCATCGGTCGAGTGATGTTGAGGAGCATGGTGTAAACGTGGTGTGTCTCTGTGGTCATATCTTCTGTTGGCGATGCAGCCTTGAGTCACACAGACCAGTGACCTGCAACAACGCCTCTGATTGGTTGGCTAACTTGGAAAACTTGTTGGAGAAATCAGACAAGGCATTGAGCCGTTCCTGGATCGACACCAACACGAAGCCTTGCCCTCATTGCCTTTGTCCTGTGGATCTTTCTGGTATTGGAGGATTCTACCGGTTCGTGACTTGTGCCTGCAGGTAGTTAAAAAAAAAAAGAATCCCGTTTTTTGCAAATCGTAGGGCAATATAACGTTCTCTATGAATATACTAATTTTGCTTTTCTCTTGTTTCAGTGGTCGATTCTGTTGTAAGTGTTTGCAGCCAGAGGAATCCCACAAACAAGGGCTCTATGGATACTGCCCTGAACCGGAGATACCAAAACTGGAAGATTTGTGTTTGGATAGCTGCGAGGAGGAGGAAGGTCCTGTAGATTTGAGTGTGCATAGCTGGGAGGAAGCTCAGGTCGCAATGATGGATGCTAAATCCCGTCTACAAGCTTTCGAGAAATCCATCATCATCGAGAAACCGAGTACCTTGACCGAGGAATACATAAGGATTGTGAGAGAAGGGTTGATGCTGATTGTCCAATGCAGACAAGTCCTTAAGTGGAGCTTTGTGTACGACTATCTCCACACAGAGTATGAGACGTCGAAGAAGGTGTACCTGCGATACCTGCAAGAACACGCAAGCACCCTTGTCCAGAGCTACTCGGACGCTTTGAAGGAGGAAACGGGAAAAGACTTGAGTGCAGCCACTTTTGAAGATATTGTTTGCTTCAGGTGTAAGTCATCCACCGCTACAAGCAACATTGGTAACTACTTCTACCACTTCCTCAGGACTTTACAAGATGGTTTAGCCGATGTGAAGGTCAGGTCGTACGACAACTTTGGTGGTCCTTACTGGTTCTGCGATCGCTGCACCTTTAAAAACGATTGGCTTCGTAGGGCGTGCAAGATGTGCTGTGATCCTACTGCATCTCCTGTGGAAGAGCCGCCAAGTGATTCATCTGGTTCTGATCTTAACTAAGCTAGGTTTCTTCCTTTAAGAGAGAGCAAAAGATTTGGGAGACATTGAAACTTGCAGCTTTTAAGTTTTTTGCTTTTCTCTGGCTCTGTTAATTTCTTTGACCTGTCTCTTCTTATCTACTTTTGGGACTAGTTTCCGTCATTTTCTTGAACAAATAATGTCTTTTACCTCATTTTTCCATCGCCCTGTGTTTAGAATTCCTTTTTTTCTGTCATAAATGCAAATCAACGTGGAACCAGTCAGAAAACAAAAATCAAGGTAGACTCGAGTTTAAATATATTCTTATAGGCTGTTGTAATTAATATCGATCACAATTTTTAGAAATATAGGGTCTAATGGGTCAAATTTCTTAATAAAAAGGAAAGAAATGAATTATCAAACAAATAATAAGAGAAACAGAATAATTGTGGTGTAACTCGATATCTTCTTAGGAAAGTGAAAAACTGGGGAAAAAAAAAACCTAGACAGTAGAAGAAATAATTGAGGAAACTCAAAAGACGATAATTTTTCTCTTTACCTTGGAGTCAATTTTGTTAATTGAGGCCCAAGCTATTAGTAAAGCATTTGCCCTATTCCTTACTAGTGTTATCCGTCTCTCTTTGGTACTCTGTTGATTATGTGATTCTGATTTCTGTCTTTCCCAAGAAATCAATGGAGGACGATCCACAAGGACCTTACTCTGTTCTAACGAGAGATGAAGTTAAAGAGAAGATGAAGAAACAGATCGATGATATCTCCGAAGCCTTTTGGGTTTCAAAATCTGATGCGACCGTTCTCTTCATGTGTCTCCGATGGGACTTGCTTAGGGTTTCCGAGCGTATGGGGGAAGACAAGAACAAGTTACTGACAGAATCAGGTTTGTGTTCAGTTGTAAGTGATTCGAGTCGAGATTTATCTCATTCATCTTGTGGGACTTGCTCTACGAGTGATGATCAGTTTTATGATTTTGTTGATGATGATAACGTGAATGATTCGAATCGAGTTTTATGTGATTCATTTTGTGGGATTTGCTCTAAGACTTGTGACGGGATTGATGATGAAGATTTAATCTCCACGCTATGCTGTTCTCACAAGTTCTGCACAGCTTGTTGGAGAGAGTATCTTTACAAGAACTTTTACTCTCTGGAGGAAAACCAAACTGTAATCTCTTGTCCTGATAAAGATTGTCGAGCTGCGGTTGGACCGGACACGATCGAGAAGCTAGCAGTACGGGATAAAGATATCCACGAGAGGTACATTCTGAGATCTTACCTCGAGGACAACAAGGGACTGATGATCAAACAGTGTCCTGCACCGGATTGCAACTACGTCATTGAGTTTCATGAGGCGAATGATGTCGAGGAGTATGGCTTGAACGTGGTGTGTCTCTGTGGTCACACCTTCTGTTGGAGTTGCAGCCTTGAGTCACACAGACCAGTGACCTGCAACAACGCCTCTGATTGGTTGTCTACAAATGAATCGTTGAGCCTTTCCTGGATCAAAACCAACACCAAGCCTTGTCCTTATTGCAATCTTCCTGTGAAGCTGGATGGTCGCCAGTTCGTGACTTGTTTCTGCAGGTTATAAGAAAAACCCGTTTTTTTTGCAGATCAAAGAGTATTTGATCAAAACTAATTAAGCTGTGTGTGTTTCTTGCTTCAGGTGTCGTTTCTGTTGGAAGTGTTTGCGGTCAGAGGAAACACACACAAAGGGATCAGGATTCTATAGGGCCTGTTCTCTACCGCAGACAACTAAGAAGGAAGAAGTGGAGATTTCGTGTGTGGATCGCTGGGAGGCGGTTCAGGTTTCAATAGAGGAAGCTAGATCCGACCTACGAGCATTCGATGAATACATCATCAAGAAACCAAGTAGCTTAAAAGAGCAAGACATTAGGGTTGTGAGAGAAGGACTAATGCTGATTGTTCAATGTAGACAAGTCCTTAAATGGAGCTGTGTGTACGAGTACTACCACACGGACTATGAGATGTCGAAGAAGGAGTACCTCCGGTTCCTGCAAGACATTGCATCCAAGGCTCTCCAGGGTCACTTGAAGACCTTACTAGAGGAAACAGAAGAAGCCTTCTCCGCATGTACTTACGAAAACCTTTGCACGATGAGGCATAAGTTATCCACCGCGACAAGCAACCTTGGTAACTTCTTCTATCATTTCATCAACGCTCTACAAGATGGTTTAGTAGACGTGAAGGTGAAGTCCTACGACAACTTCGCTGGTCTTTACTGGTTATGCGATCGCTGCACCTATGGAAACAGTTGGCTTGACAGGGAGTGTAAGATGTGTTTTGAAGCTTCTGAATCTCCTTTGGAGGAGTTTAGTGATTTATCTCTTAATTAGGTTTCTTGAAGAAAGCAAAAAACGTTTTAGGAGACATGAAACTTGCAACTTTAAGTTATTTACAACTCTTTTCCTCTGTTATTTACTTTAGACTGGTTTTTTTATTACTTTTCGTCATGTTCTTGATCATTATTACACAAATAATTTATTTTTCCTAGCTTATCCTGCCCTCTGTTAAGAAACTTGACACCACCTTGTCGCTTACGCTTTTTCCACCACTTTTTTTTCCTGCCAAACTTGTGTTTTTGTTTCTTTGAGTGTCTTCTTCTATGTCTCATCAAGCCTTCCACTAGAGAATGGAAATGCCCACCTCGTTGCTTATGGGTAGTCACTGCTCTGGTTTCTGTTTTCATCTGTCTCTCAACTGACTTCTCTTTGTGTTTCTGGTGAAACTTTTGCAACTGCTTCCAAGCCGATGCCTTGACGACTTCACCCTTGGATTGGTGGTGATGGTGATGGTGGTGGTGATGATGGTGGTGGAACACTTGACCTAGCTTCTCTTTCAGTCTTTTAAACCGCCCTATCACCTTCTTCCTCTGGTTTGAGTGATCCCTTGATCCGTCTCTCCTTTTATGTTGAGGAGAACCACTGCCTTCAGAGCCATCTTCACTCTGTGGTGGATATGATGAGTCAGACTCGTTGACACTCTCTCCCTGAGTTTCCCAGCTTGAACCAGAGGTCGAACCGGTTTCATCAGACGCTTCTTCCGATTCTTGATCCGTAGAAACTAGGTCTTCCCCTTCCGAGTTTGTCTCAGACCGTGTGTTTACACTCTCTGTTTCGACCGAATCTTCATCCCAAGCCTCGGTTACTTGATCCAGCAGAGTTGGTTTCATACTCGCCACCTTCCGTGACGTTGTGCCACTCTGGCTTGGCTTCTCGAATGCAACGGATCTCACAGGACGAGGCGGTGACCTGACCCGAACAAACTGATCATCGGGAAGACAGAATCCCTGTGACGGAGGAAACAAAGATGGATCATCACGGCTTCGAACTGTTGCCTCTACAACATTGTTGACGCTTCTTAGGCTAGGTACATTATTCGTGGTTCTTGTAGCCTGGCTCATGTGCTTACTCACTGGGATGTTGTAACTGCTCCTTAAACCAGACAAAGAAGCTTGATAGCTTTGGCTTGGTTCCATCAAAGCTTTCTCGTTCAACTTTTGGAAAGGCATCCCAGAAGATGAGTAATCTTCCATGGGAGGCACACTAGGAGATTTACAGAACCTTGTTCTATCAGCACGAGAGCCCACACGAGTAGAACAAAAGCGAAAAGCAGAAAGCTGCGTATCGATTCGTTCGATTGAGTCAACGACATCCTCTGTTAAACCAGCCTTGCTAGGCAATCTGATGATACCACCACCCCTTGAGATCGGTGTAGAAACCCTATCTGGCAAACCCAACTGTACTTGTGCAAGTATCTGTAACCATAATATTTTTCAGATTGCAGAAACACGAAAAACACAACAAGAGTGATGATGAAACGAACATTGCAGATAACAAGAGGCCAACGAGATATAGATATATACTACTAACCTTGGATTGTCTAGACAAAAGTTCCCCAGTCGCAGAATCGAGCAAGCGCTTTAGTAGGAACTGTGTATTCTCATCTAACTGCGAATTTCAGAGGTTACTAATTGTCAGACTACTCGATGATTGAGAGGCTGTAAGACAGAGAAACCAAGACTCACCAAAAATGCTTGGGGTATGGATTCGTTGTTTGCATTTGATTGGAGAAGAGCGTATAGTCTTCTCAGGGATTGAAGATCGCACTCAACGTTATGAGGCTCCATCAAGTCGACAGTTATCAAGGAAAAAAATATATAAAAAAAAAACAGAAGAAGGGTTAGGTCTTTTCAAGAACAAAGAAGAAAAAGTTAGGGTGTAACTTGGAAGTCTGTTTTTGGTATGCTATGAATACAATGAATTAAGATAGATGGGCTAGTGGCAGTTACATGGATCAAATGAATGGGTTCAAATGAATGGGTCGTGTTGTTTTGACGAATTAAAATAAATAAATAAATTTATATAAATACTAAAAGTATATAATATTTTTTTAAAAAACAAAACTTCTGCCTTTCGAAATCAAATACCATATTATATAAAAATTAAATAAAATAATACAATCTCAAAACAAATAAAATGATCACGAAAGTTTTGACCACTTCAACAATATTTGACTAGAAAATTATCACGAAAGTTTTGACCACAACAACAAATAAAAACACAAAATAATAATAGACTTTTTTTATCACGTATACGAAAGTCAAATTTTTTTTTTTTGAGCAAAACAAAAGTCACAAATTCAATATCTTTGTTTTCATCCTTTCCATATCATTTCCCTTTCATTACTCTTCTATTTAAGTTCAGAATGATATTGAACTTGATTTGTAATTTCTTCCCATTTACCACACATGTATTTGTGAAATCAAAAACTTATTTTTATTTTCTTTTTAAATTTGACTGGTAAATTTTGAATGGGATTTCACATGAATGACTAGCTGCTATTCCACACAGTTTTGTCCATTTCAACTTGACGAGACTTTTAGTGTTGCGGAAAGCCATCATTCACGTGCAAAGGTTTCTTTTTCCTTGTACTAAACCTTCTTCTTTTTCTTTGCTTTTTCCATTAACTTTTCAAACATACTATAAGATTTGACCCCTAAAAGCGTATAATTAATTAATAAAGTTTTCTAGTATATATATTAAAATTTGAAAGGTTGGAAGAAATCATAAACGGAACTCATAGATGTGAAAAAAGTAAAAAAAAAAAAAAAAAAATGGCGAATCGACAAGATTATTGTTTCATGATTATGTAACGTCCTTTTCCGAAAGTTATTATGAATGAATATCAAACGTTAAAAAAAGGTACCATGAAATACCTCTGAAAGTGTATAAAAAAACAAGATTTGCCTGCACAGATCCAGATTTCTTTTGTTACTTTTTTTTTTTTTTTTGTTATTCTAATAAAACGAACGGCTACAAACCCTGCGTTAGACAGACGCCCGAGCCCCTTAAGGGGAAACAATGAAACATAGATCGAAAAATGATGTGTATATACATAGACAACATATGAAGAGTTTGTTAGTGTCTCAACCGTTAATTATATAAAACGAATCTAGATCGCAACGAGCTTCAGAAAGTTCGAAACATATGTATGCAAGACAGCATATTATATAATCTATACCATTAACCAATAACCGAGGTGATGCAAAGAAAGTGAAATTTTTGAGGGAAATGCGATAAATATAGGTTGAGGGGAATGAAGCCTGGTCCGAGAATCATTTAGAGTTTTGTGTTTCATTCAAGAACTACTCTTCATGACCTCGAGCCAAACAACATTCCTCTAAACCCTAAATCGCTTCACAATAAAAAAGAAGATGAAGAAAGTGATCAACTAATTTATGAAAGAAGAAGAAGGAGAAGGAGAAGGAAGGAGGCATGTGACAGGGCAAGAGGCCCTCGTAGTTACTTCTATTTATAGAGAGGACAAAGATCTAAGCCCTAGATTTTTCTTTTGTATTTTCTTTCACTGAATTAGTAATTTTGGTTTAATAGTTTCTGATTAATTTTGGTTATGGTCTTTATATGGTGTGTGAAGGGTTACCTGAAATAGAATTTTACAGTGGATTCCAGAGTGGTAAAATCCGACATACTCCAAGTTAGTACATTCAAAGTTCAAACCCTTTTCGTGATTCAAATTAACTTGCTTCGAAGAAAATATCCAGAATTGTCTTTAATTGTTTCTATTTAACTTCCATTTAATAACCGTCATTTCCGAGGCCAACAGCAATCTTCCTCTTATTTAAAATCTCTGTCAAGTCCCAAACTATATCTGCATATGTCTATATATCAAGGGCTGAGTGTTTGCAATTAGTCCTTGTTACTAAACGAAAGTAATTTGAATTGCATAATTCGAACCATTAATTTTGTTGTAGTTTCTAGACTGAATACTGATTTTCACTATAAAAGTTACAATAAACTCAACTTTAACAACATATAAAGACATAAATAACGGTAAATGTGTAGTATAATATTTCTGATGTATTGAATGCAAGACAAGTACCTTTGTCCCGATTTTATTATTACCTTATTATTACTATTGGCTCCACCTCAACGACTTACTAAATTTTGTCCTTTTAGTTATAAATTAAAGTAGTTGTATGCTTTTACATTTCTGAGGTCCTTTTTACCAATTCATGTAATGGTACATGAATGACTTGCGATGACTAGTGACCAAATTTTGTTGAACCATGTTTAATTAATCTTCCTTCAGTTTTGCAAAATCAATTATGAAAAAAAAAAACCAATCTCATTTTCATATAATTCTACCATTTTAAAATATCCAAGCTGGATCGTAACGTGTGTTAAATATTATGATATGTGCCATGCAATATTATTATACATACGTATTAATTGCTCTGAAAACGACAAAACATTGGTTTTGTCTTCACGTTGATCCGTGCCAGATTTTCCACTTGTAGATCATATTTCATCTCAATGTAATTAACCGTTTTTTTCTTAATTAAGGCACCCAGTTTACTTGTTTATACTAAGTTAGGCAGGTGCAGATATCATCATAATTTTCCTGTTAATTAAATGACTTTACCCAAAAAAGACTAATAATTAACATGACATTATAGAGCTAATATTTGGGCTAAGTCATGTTTTGTAACCGACTAAAGCAAAGGTATGTATATTATATATGGGTAAATTTTTTTTTTTTTAGATATGGGTAAATTTATATGTGTGTTATTATAAGATTTTGGTATTTAACGTAATTAAGTCAACGAATTTTCAAAAAAATGGGGGGGTGTGGGGGCGGTTGAGTTTGGCTATTTAGGGTGCGTCTGAGAGGCTCAGGAGGAAGACGCGAAGAACACGGCACAGCAAAGCAAAGAGATAGAAAAGGAAAAGAGAAGATCTCGATCGTCCATTCCTAGTTGAATCGGGCGGTAGAGAGCAAAGTTACCTGGGAACCGGACATGTCGGTGTCAGCGGAAACCAAGCACCAATAACCGAGAAAAACAGCCCGGTTTACGAGGGAGAAAGCGAGGACGACTCTTTTTCACTGACTGCTTACGTCTGTCTCCGGTCCCATTTATTGCCTCTCTTCTTCCTTTCATTAAACGCACACAAAAGTACAACACAACAATTAACCCCTCTTTTTTCATTTTTAATTTTCTTAAAAAATAATTTGCATTTGCTTTTACATCAGAACAGAGGATCTAGAGTTTAAGAATAAGTCCTAATCCATGAAATGAAAGTTCTGTTGTTATGAATCTGAAAACGGAATGATCTTCCTCTATCACAACATCGAAACCCAATTATTTACTCTCCTTTATTTTAGAAAACAAAAAAAAGTTGCTTCTTCAGCTGAATAAACATAATGAAACAAATCGTCATATATATACCATAGGTAAAGATGCATGGGAGTGGATAATCAACAATTGATATTTGGTCACATAATTCTCTTTGACGACACTCTTGAAACAAATAATGATCATAGCAAAACATGCAAGTATTGATAAATATAAATTTGTTTTGTTCTGTCAATGTATTATTTCGATAAAAATCACTAAACTAGCATATACCATGATATAATATAATCAGTTAGTGGAAAATACACCATTTACTATCTATAATCAACATAAGATGATGAGGACAAAACTCAACGTTAGAGTAGTCATTAACCATTACGTTATTTCTTGTTAGTGTCCTATATTTAAATTTGTAGGACTGAGCTCAAAGTTTTATAACCTTATTAACGACTTCACACGAGACGACGACGTTTGTAAAAAATTAAGAACAGAGCAAGGACCAAAAGAAAGCTCCAAAAACAGAGGAAACTATAATGCACAGAACAACCATTATCATCATTATGAGATTATACATCATACCACAATAAACAATTCATATGTACAGAAACACAACTAGGTATATGTTATGTATATCATATAATCTATTACACAAATCTAGGTCATGTGTTTCTTCGATTTTCCCACCTGTTACAATACAATTAGCAGCTCATTTCTAAGTTTATCCTCTGTAATGCAAAGTTTGTTTTCAAACATCTGTCTCCATCATCTTGCAGAGGATAATCTGATAGATTCTTGATCAACGGTGGATTCTTCTTCATCCCAAGTAGCCGGTAAAGTCGGAAGCAACAGAGCTTCTTCGTTTCTAACCTCTTCAAGCTGTTCCCACTCAGTCCATTTTTCAGCCAAACCACCAGTCCCTTGGAGCATCTTAACCACTTCAGACATTGCTGGTCTATCTTCTGGCGAGCCTTGCGTGCAGAGAAGAGCCACCTGAACAATAGTCTCAACTTCTTTGGAGTCATATGTAGTCAAATTGCTATCAACAATGTCTCTGAGCCTCTCTTCTCTCAACAGCTTCTTTATCTGTTTCATACACATGCAGCATTAGTTTCAGTCTTTTTCAGAAAAAAAAAAGAAAGCTTGGAATTCAAGTCTTACATGATCAAGTAAGAGAATATTTTCCTCTTCTTCCAAGCGTGAAAAGTCGATTGCGCGCTGACCGGTAACAAGTTCAAGAAGTGTTATACCGTAACCGAAAACATCGGTTTTCTCTGATGATTTTCCCGTGCAGAGATACTCTGGCGCAATGTGACCCATTGTGCCTCGGACTTGAGTTGTGACATGAGTCAGAGATGTGTCCACAAGCTTAGCTAAACCAAAATCTCCAAGAACAGGCTCAAAGTTGTCGTCCAAAAGTATGTTAGCAGCCTTGAGATCTCGGTGTATGATCTTCGGGTTACAATGCTCGTGAAGATACTCTAAACCGTGAGCTGAACCGAATGCTACACGCTTCCTCGTTGGCCAGTCTAATCCTACCTCTCCCGCCTTCAAATCTACATTAAAACGGACACAATATTCTTAGGATCCAAGTCACTGAAGAGCAGAGATAAGCTGTATATGCAATGTAATACTACCTCTGAGTCGATATGCGACACTAAGATTTTCCATGTAAGGATACACAAGGATTCTCTCAGAGGAAGTTGTGCAGAAGCCAATAAGGCGTAAGAGATTCTTATGAACCGCAACGCTTATGAGCTGAATCTCTCTTTGAAACGCAGCTTCTCCTCCTGGACTGAAGTAATCCGCAAGGCGTTTCACTGCCACTTTTGTTTTGTCTGGAAGCAAACCTCTGTATACTTTTCCAAATCCTCCTTGTCCGATCATGTTGCTCTCGTTGAAACTGTCTGTTGCTAGCTGGATTTCGCGCAAAGAGAATCTTTTTAGCTGTCCAAAGGATATCTTCCTGTCATCTTCACCTGCGTTTTTCAAAAGAGAATAACTTTTTTGTTCTGTTTTAAGATAGTGATCTAATGAGAAAATAATTTACCAGCTACATCGAAAAAGATGTCGTTTTTGGTTCTGCGAAGGCGATGGTGATGATACATAACCATAGCTCCAAGAAATAAGATCACAGAAGCAACGCAAGTTGCAGTTAAAGTGATATCTCTTAGCTTCTTCTTGGAGGATGTGACTGCACTTAAAGAATACTTTAAGGTTTAAGTCTGTTCTGTTTTAGTATGTGAATTAGGTTAAGAAGAAAGAGTTAAGAACCTGGAAGACGAGAACTCGAAGAACAAGGCTCATTCAGGCTTTTACCACATATGAGCTGTGTTCCTGAAAAACTGAAGACATCACAAAATGTGATGATTATACTGTACTGAGAAGTCACTGTAACTTAAGTTAGACTCATGATAACAAAAAAGAAGAAGAGAATGTACTCGAATGTTGGGATTGAGAAGAACTGAGTTGGGATGCTTCCTGTTAGATTATTGGATGAGAGATCCCTGCAAATCAAATTTCGTTGTTTGATTTATGCCAAAGAAGTTCATAAAGTTACATTTCAAATATGGTTTACAAGAGAGTTTCGAGTGGGACTTACAAGTGCTTTAGATTAGAGAGCTGACTCCAGCTCGCGGGTATCGAGCCGCTGAAACTGTTCATTGATAGGTTTAAAGTCTGTAGATTAACCATCTTCCCAAGATAATCTGGTAAGGCACCAGATAAACTGTTGTTCTGCAACTCTCTGCATTGAAGGCATCAAGAACAATAATATTATGGATTAATGGAATCTAAAAGAGAATCTTGTGGCGGGAGATGGTTTGTGATGTCCTTACAGTGTAACCAAGAACTTCAGTTTTGTAATGGCTGGAGAGAGTGTTCCTGTGAATCCATTTGAGGCAAGACTCCTACAATTAAAAAAAAAACAGTTTCAAGACAACAGGAAAGTCTTGAAAACTAAAACTTGAGAAGTGATCTCAGAGGAGGACTTACAGAGCCACAACACTCTGGTCTCTACAGGTGACATAAGACCAACTAAAGCAAGGGCTCACGAAATCGCGTGTCCATCTAAGACGATTGCTCAAATCATTAAGTGTATCTCTCAGCTGCAACAAAGCTCCTCCTAGCAGATGAACAAGAAGTAAACCAGTTAACACCTTAAGATCGTTGATTTATAGAAAAATATGCTAATGATAAATATATACCTTCGATATCTGGTTGAGTTGACGAAGAAGTGATTCCCACAATAGCTAAGGCCATGAAGCATTGTAAGATCAACTTCTGATTGTTCCATCTAAAGCTTTCTCTTTGAAAGAAACCTCTTCGAGTTCTTACTGAATTGCGAAATCTTTCACCGTTCCCTGCAATTTGTAAGATATGATAAGAGATTGCTATATTAAAATGAAATCAATCAAACTCACTGCAAAAAAAACTTTTGTTCTTTCTGCAGAATCTGCAGTTTTTAGATTACATCAAAAAAATGGTCGATGGAGAAAAGTTAATTCTTTTACAAGAAATACATAACCCTTGTGACCAAACAATATTAACTACACATTAGGAAGCAAACAAAAGAAAAAACCGATTCGTGGGTCTTGTTATGTATTAATAACTAACAACAGCTTTGTTTGTTTTTGATGTGAAACATTGACAGATCAATCAATAACTTTCCCACCAGAGCTCATTCAAAGCCAACACATTAAGAAAATGAAAGTGTATAAGAAAAAGTTCAAAAAAAAAAGAAAATGAAAGTGTATAAGCACCATGAACAACAAGTTTTATAATTGTGTCTTTGACTCTTTGCTCTTGGTGTTCAAATACTCTCTTAAAAAACTCAAATATGTACCAAATATTTATGTAACTTGAAACTAAAAGAAGCAAAAAAAAGTGTAATATATATTGCATAAAATAACAAAACCAAGAAGCCTGATTAATAGATAATGGAGAAAATATAGAAATTAAAGTGTAGGAAAAAACAAAGCTTTTAGTACCTGACTGAGCCATAGATAAGCTGAAACACTCTAGACACAAGAGAACAAAAACATGGGCTGTGAAGAGAAATGGAGGATTTGTGTAATAATGAAGCCAATAAGAGCAACAATAATGAAATAAAAATTCATCTAAAGAAGATGACTCTCTTTAAAAGTTAGTGCCTTTAATGGACCCACAAAAGGTGTTTTCCAATATTATTTCTATCTTTGATGTAAAGAAGAAGAAGAAATGCTGCTTTGAGGGAAAGAGAATCCCACTAAGTTGAAACATCATCTCTGATTTCTTAATTGAGTGGTGTGTTCGTTTCTTTTTTTCTCTTGGCTTCTTTTTATTTTGAGTGATCTCTTTTGCAAGTGTGGGACTTCATTGTGAATGGGTGACTAAAAGGTGAAATGAATGAACCTACAAGATAATTATATTAAAGAATGATTTGAATGAATTAGTCATTTAAAACAAGCCAATTACTTAATTAATGTTTGGGAAAACAGCTTCTGATTTAAGAAGAGACAGATGCATGTGTACGAAGGTTCCACTTGTTCAGATTATATTCCACTATTCTGGTCCTGGACGATGGCAATGCAAAAGCGCATTTTTGTATATATTCCTCTCATCTCTAACCTTCAAATTTGAAGGAAAAATAAGATTATATGCAAACCAAAATATATTTTGAACAAACAAATAAAACTGAAGAAAACCTGAAGTTTGTCGATTATATTTTGATGAAAACATGATTCATGCATTACTGGAAATGATAAGACTGAAACAACACTTCAAACTACTGGTTATAAGCCTATAACTATCTGTAATTTCAAACATTGGCATTTAAACGGCAAGTGATTAATCTTTTGATATTATATTGTTTAATAAATTGAATTATCACTTTTTGAGATACAAAACGTCACTGTAGAGGAAATATTATGAGATTTCTTTTCGCTAAAACAGAAACGCAGGCTTATAGAAGAAAAGAGTTGGATATTTATAGGAAAATTAAGTAAAAAAAAAATGATAAGAAAACATAATGTGAGGAAGAAGCAGAGTAAGAATATATACGGAACAATGATATAAATAATATTGATATGTATTAATATGCTTGAACTTGAATATGTTCTTATGCTCACACCTTTATATATTGTCATACGATTCTTCACCTATTGAGACTTTTGTTCGATCTGCAAAAGATGTGATGATCATCGCAATCTACAACGTATATTTAAAAAGTGTAGTTTTACCTACATTCGCAAATAAAACAAATACATATATACTTCCTATTTTTATTTTATTAGGAAAAAAAATGAATTAAGATAGGTTAAAAAGTGAGTTTTAACATCTGACACTAGCATAAACGTAACTTTTACTTACCTTTTTGTACAATTCTTATAAGATATTTGGGATACACCAGCCACAGGTTACAGCCATCGATCAAGAGACATTCGAAATGGGGAATTTAAAACAATAATATTTGGTAAAAATCATAATTACTAACATCAATTTTTTTTTTCCGCGGAACAATAATTACTTTACAGCCGATTGTCAGACAGATTATATAATAATATTCAAAAAAACTTCTCTGTAAAAGAAGATTTGATGGGAAAGAGTTCCAAGATCACGAGAAAATCGCTTAACTTGTGGGACCAATTTTACGAAATAGCCCTTTGAAACTGTGTGTAAAAGTGACACGTCTCTATGATATGACGAGGGTACAATAGAGAAAGCGAGCCAACGAGTAGCGTTTGGCGTTTGGCGTTTGCGATTAGTTAAAAATTCCAGGCCTAAAAAACCTGGCGCTACTTATTTCCGCCTAAAAAATCGGAATATCCTAAAAAGTTGCAATTTCCTTTCTTCGAGCGCAGTCGTCAAGCCAAGTAGCAAATTCGATAGTGAGAGAGAGAGAGAGAGAGAGCGACGGCGAGAGATATGGATGCAGTGGAGATAGTGGATGTGGACGAGGAGGAGGAGGAGGAGGAGGAGAAGGAATGCGAGGACTGGTGCTTCATCTGCAAAGATGGCGGAAGCCTGATGCTCTGTGACTACAAGTGAGCCTCTCTCTCTCTCTCTCTCTCTCTTTCTCTACACTCTCTTTTATTTCAGAGATTTGCATGCCCTCGTTAATGGATTTGGCACTTAGTTAAATCGATAGTGAAACTCCGGTGAAGGAAACACAGTGCTGCTGTTTCGGTAGAGGATTAAGTTTTTCGTTCTTTGCATGTTCCTGATTCAAGGCTGCCTGAAACTCGTGTACATTATATCCTTTTAAAGAGTTAATAGGAAACTCTGTGTTGCTTCTGTAGGAAAGTTCTTCTTTTTCCACGAAATTGATGATTATGTTTGCAGGTAGAGTAAGTTATGCTTAGAGGAATCATTACCGTTAACTTTGTTTCCCGATGTTTCTTTGAAATTGATGCGTCGAAGTGGTGCAGCCATTGTGTACCATTCTGATTCTGTAATGAAATGTGAAAAAATGTCTCTCTTTTGCTGTTGAAAATGGAAACCATGGTCTCTCGAGTACGAAACATGATAGTAATGTGACGCCTTTTCTCTGGGTCATTGATTAAGGGGCTTAGGTGCCAAATTGTGTCTCGATGTAGCTATTTAACTCATTGTGTTGGCTTATTCCAGGGACTGTACAAAAGTTTATCATGCACATTGCGTTGGAAAGGATATCTCAGTAACAAAGAACGAAGAATCGTTTATCTGTAGTAAGTGCTAATTTTTCCCTATGCATTTAATATATTCATTGCAATACTACTAGGTTCTTGGGTCTGTTTAAACACAGTAATGGAACTTATATTTGAACACCTTCATTGTTTGCAGCCAAAAGGCTATTGTATGTTAAGAGCAGGGCTTATTGTTATTTTTTTTGAATTTTCAGTGCGGCACAGATGCTACATATGTAGCAGGAGACCAAGCCTGTGGTGTTTTTGCTGCCCAAATGCTGTATGTGAAGGCTGTGTTACTCATTCCGAGTTTATTCAGCTTAAAGAGAACAAAGGGCTATGCAATCAATGCCAGGAGTACGTCGTTGCTTTAGAAGAGATTCGAGAATATGCTGCTGCTGGGGTATGTTTCAAAACTGCCGTAACCAAATCAATATTTTTGTCCCAATATGGATATTATTAGTCTCTAATGAAGGGAGTGCGTTGACATTCCTTTTTACTTGTTGGCAGGATAAGATTGACTTGTTAGATCGGAATACATTCGAGTGTCTGTTTCTTGAGTATTGGGAGATAGTTAAAAAGGAAGAAGATTTAACTTTTGGCGATGTCCGCGCTTCAAAGTCACAGAAGAAACGTGCTAAGCCAAAGTACAGAGATGATCCCATGTTTTCTCTCGATGATGTCCGCTCTTCAAAGCCACGAAAGAAAGACATCAAGCGTAAGGATAAAGATGTTCTAAAATTCTCGCTAACTGACCGTGAGGTTGAGGATGCGGAAGGCTATAGAACGACTGGCAAAGCAAAGAGAATGGAGTTTATCAGATGGGGTTCAAAGCCGCTTATCGATTTCCTAACATCCATAGGGGAAGATACCAAAGACGCGATGTCACAACACAGTGTGGAGTCAGTTATCCGCAGGTACATTCGTCAGGAAAAACTGCTTGACCCGGAGAAGAAGAAGAGAGTTCACTGTGATGAGAAGCTGTATTCTATCTTCAGGAAGAAGACTGTGAATCGAAAGAGGATTTATACTCTTTTAAATGCTCACTTGAAAGAGAACCTTGAGCAGTTGGAGTATGTCACAAGTTTGGAACGTGGCTTCGGTGAAAAGAGTAAAGAGGTTTTGGTGCCTTGCAAGAAGCAGAAAGCAGAAGTGCCAGATGAGGAAATTTGTGAAGAGGAAGTATTACCCGAAATGCGACCAACTGGTTTGGCCACGATCAATGCAGATAACATAAAGCTTGTTTATCTACGCAAGAGCTTAATACTGGAGTTGCTGAAGCAGAGTGAGAGCTTTGGGGACAAAGTGGTGGGGAGCTTTGTAAAAGTCAAGAACGATCCCAGGGACTTGGTGGCGTACCGGGTCTTGCAAGTTACAGGTAAACCTAACTTATGGTTATTAGTAACCAGGCCTTGCTGTTTTTTTTTTCTTTCTATCGTTTAGATTTTAGGTAATATTGACTGTTTTCTTTCCCCTTTTGTTGCATAGCAGCCAATTAGACAATGTAATCACTCTAAAGCATGTTTTTTTTTTTCCTTTTCTGTGTAGGCATTAAAGCTGCTGATGACCATGGCATATCTCTCTATGTTGCCGGCATGACAAGTGATGTTAGCATTTCCAAGTTGGATGATTCTGACCTTAGCAAGGTGAATTATTTCCTTCAATCCGTTGTTGCTTTCTTCCGTGTGTTTGGGAAAATATATTACAGTTCTCCTGTATTCACTTTGTATAATTGCTACTACACCAATGCTGTACTGTTCTGGTATGGGTTGGTAGAATGCTAAAAACTTTCGTTGAGTAAATTTCACTTTCTAAAATCTAAAATCTTCACTTTACTCTTCAGGAAGATATTGAGGATTTGAAGAAAACGGTGATGAGTGGCCAGCTAAGACAGCCAACTGTTGTAAGTTTTTAAAAGACAATCTAAGTTTCTGACTATCACAAGTAGATATGATTCTATATTATTTTCGTTAAGGTGAAAATTTGTCTTTGTTTCTAATAGGTTGAGATGGAGCAGAAGGCTAAGGCTCTCCATGAGGATATAACAAAACATGTGAGTATATCTGAAAGCACATAAGCGTAAAATACTTCATGATCCATACGAGAGAGATAAGAAATGGTTACACACTCGATGTTTTGGTGCTTCATCTAACACATTTCTTGTCTGTGTGTGTATAACTGAAAACAAAACAGTGGATTGCGAGGCAGCTTATTGTTCTGCAGAAACGCATCAACTCTGCTAATGAGAAAGGATGGAGAAAAGAATATCCTTAAGATTCTATCATCATTAACATATTTCAGTCTTTTGCATGATCATTACATTGAACACCTTAACTATTTCCCTCTGCGTGACTATTCTACATTAGATGAGTATTTAGATGAGAGAGAGCTTCTCCAGAAACCTTCAGAGCAGGAGAGATTACTAAGAAAAACACCAAGGATCGTAGAAGACCTCATCGAGGTTAAACAAGAACCAGGTGCGTCCTCAGATAGCAGCAAACAAGTGAGTGTCAGTGGTCTGCCACAGGAGGTGATACATATCGACTGAGTGACCAAGAAGATTCTGCAGCATCTTCAAGAGGAAGACAATTTTGTTTCTTGTAAATGTTAAATGGAAGTTTTATCTTCCAAGTTAAGAAACTCGGCTAATATCTTCTTTTGGTACTGATTAGCTTTCGTAGAAACAGGAAAGCTTAACGTGGGCTGCTTATGTGTCATATATGTAATGTATTACTAATATATGCTAATGACAACAGTTGTTGAAATCAAAAGTCCTAAACTATTTGCTATTACTTGGACTCTTTCTCTTGCTTGTCAGTTTTCACTCAACAATAAACTGGAATTCGTATTTTATAACTTGGACTGGAAGCAAACCGGTCAGTTTGACCAGGAAGCGAAACCCCATTCAGAACTGGCTTTACTGTGACCAACTTCGACATCCCGACGTTTTTTTTTCTCTTTCGTCACCGGCGTTAACTCAGTCATCGTCGTATTCTCTTCGTCGCCGTTGTCTTCTCCATCGTGTTACATCTATCTCTGTGGCCGACTTCGAAGTTTCCCTGACGCTGTGCTCCAAACGGGTAAATATTTTTGTAGTTTCGGTTTGCAAACAATGGTTTGTGGTAGAATTGATTTATGTAATTGGAGGAATTCAGAAAGCTGATTATAAACTCTCTTGAAGAAATCGTGATGGGTTCATCAGCTTTTGATGCAATGGATAATGCTTAATATATATATATTGCATATCAGGTGTTCGACAAATTGTCTGAATGAAGTTTTGAGTTTTCAGTCAGCTTTCTTCTTTTAAACAAAATGTATGGAAGCAACTCTAGTAAAAGACGTTTTGTTTTGTAATTTCTTAGTTTCGTTGTCAGTTATTTAAATGATAATGCATATGTTTTCTCTGAAGCTGTCCCAAATTGTTCTTCCTTTGATTTGGAATCACTGTTTTGAGTCGTTTGTATATTTCAATTTCAGTTTCAGGAGATATTAGCGATTATCGAAAAGATGCTCGTGTTTCTCAAGGACATAGTTCCGGCGGCGCAGAACAACATAAACACGCGTTTCATCATCCTCGACAAAGCCAGATTGCCGGCGGCGGCGGCGAACGGACAGAGTTGTATCGCGTTGGCGGCGGATGAAACGGCGGCGGTTCACATACAGCTGTGGGGAGACGAGTGCGACGCGTTCGAGGCAGGCGATATAGTGAAGCTCACCAATGGGATATTCTCGTACGTGCGGAACAGTGGGCTCCTTCTCAGAGCTGGGAAGCGCGGGAAGATGGAGAAGATGGGTGAGTTCACGGCTGCGTTTGTCGAAACGCCAAACGTTAGTGAGATCCAGTGGATTCCTGATCCGGATAATCCCAAACGCTATATTCAGAACGGCACCGTTTCAGCTTATTCCCGTGTCTTCCCTCCTTTGCCTTGAATAAGAGTTGAAGGCTAATTTTTTTTGTTTATGTTATCCCACTTTTATTATAAACACTTTGAGAAAAAAAACTGATAAATCAGAGATAAAAAAATTAGACGAAAGTAACCCATGAACCAAAAGATGACTAAGCCCATTTTCAGTGAGAAACATACACATGCCTGAGCCCATTAGACATAAAAAAAATAGTCGGGAAAGGGACTCACTAGTATTTCGAGTCTTAAAATTAGACAAAAAACCCTTAATTTAAACTATAATAAATGCAAAAGTCTTAATACATGAATAATGAATTCGTAAAAAATCGTTACAAGACTAAAAAAATAGCTTGCCACACAAAACCAAAACACATTCAGGAACCTATTTTCCTGTTTTTTTTTTATTTCATCAAGAAACATAAACCATCAAAAGAAGATGATGATGATGATTTTGGTAAGAAATCACTTGACCACACAGATCTTGATAACCGAAGCAGCTCCGATACGGTGCAGAGCCACCACAGCATCACCATGGTTACACAGTCCTTTCTCAGTCGCCGACTTCAAAGCAGCCTCAATAATTTCCTCTGTCGATTCACTGTCAGTTGCTTTTGCAGAACCTTCAGCCAAAACTGGAATCAAACCTCTGTATATCAGACTATGCCTCGCCGGTGACTCGTCGCTGCAACTCCAGTTAAAGGTATCGCTGGTGAAAACCGGAACAACCACCGATAGAATCGGAACAGCCGGTCTATACTTAGCCACCAGTTTAGCCGTTGTACCTCCTCGGGTCAACACGATGATGAGTTTCGCCCTGGCTTTGTTTGCGGTTCGTACAGCGGATGATGCAAGACTCTCCAGTGTGCTCATTGGAAGTGGAGTGGCTCTAATCATCTCCTTGAAGATTGTGTTGTAGTCCAGAGATGATTCTGCTTCGATGCAGATTTTAGCCATTGTTTTCACTGCTATTTCAGGGTATGCTCCTGCAGCGCTTTCACCGCTGAGCATGACGCAGTCCGTGCCATCGAGAACCGCGTTTGCTACATCCGTGGCTTCAGCTCGTGTTGGCCGTGGTGATTTGATCATAGACTCGAGCATTTGAGTGGCTGTGACCACCGGTTTACCAGCAAGGTTACACTTGTAGATCATCATCTTTTGAGCCAAGAAGATCTTCTCTATCGGAATCTCCATCCCAAGATCACCACGAGCAACCATGAATGCATCCGTTTCACGCAAGATCTCGTCGAAATTCAGCACACCTTCCTGGTTCTCAACCTTCAAAAATTTCAATCCGAACAAAAAAATCATATCTCATACCTTCAAAAAACTTGCTTAGCCAACAAATGAATTAAGGAGCGTGTGTGCGTTGTTACCTTGGACATTAACATTATACTCTTGGAATGTGATCCAAGTACTTTCCTGACATTAACAAGATCTGAACCTTTGCGAACAAACGAAAGAGCAATCATATCGATCTTGTTTGGAACACCCCATTTAAGAATGTCTTCCACATCCTTCTCAGTCAAAGTGGGTAGATCAACAACGACACCAGGGAGATTCACATTCTTTCTTTCACCCAGCATCGCTGTGTTTTCACATCGACATTGCACCGTTCCAGACTTCGGATCACATGACAACACAGCTAGACTTATGCTTCCATCTGCACACAGTATGGTATGTCCAGGCTTCACATCCACCGGCAGCTTTTTGTAGCTCATGGAAATCGTTTTTTCATCACCCTTGATCTCATAATCAGTGCTAATTGTGATCTCTTGGCCTTCCTTTAGCTGTATAGGGTTCCCATCTTTCAAGAAACCGGTACGAATCTCAGGCCCCTGTAGCAAACACAGAGTAATGATTCTCCTAAGCAGCACATAAGATCAATTTGTTGTAAATTTAAGCTAACGCCAATTTCTGAGATCTAATGGGTCCATCAACGATAGAAAGAAGAAGAAGAAGAAGAAAGATAAACCTTTGTATCAAGCATAACAGCGGCGAGAATGCCTGTATTCTGCATAGCGGTGCGGAGATTGTCAAGAGTCTCCTGATGGTACTCGTGGCTACCATGAGAGAAATTGAATCGAGCGACATTCATGCCCGCGTTTAGAAGCTTCTCAATCATAGGAACAGTCCGAGACGCAGGACCTAATGTGCAAACTATCTTCGTCTTTGGAAGCCTCCCATCATTTGGTAGCTCCTTCAATATCCCTTCAATGTCTATGTTCGACATTTCTTCGAATCCCCAGAATCCTAAGCACAAGACCTCCTTTTAAGACTCACCTGCTATGAACATCAAACGATAAAAGAATCAAAAACCTAAAACCATGATCGTCATTTTCTCGGAGAGATCTATCCTACAGGGAGATTCTACATCGACTACACGCGATCACGAGAAGAGATCACAACTAATCAAGTCCACCAAACACGTTTAAACTAGCGGAAAAACAAATACTGGGATTATTTTAGATTCGACGAACGAAATGTATGTTGCGGGCGATCCGATAATACTAAATCCGATTATGAGATGGGATCTAACGAATTTCGAGTGAAGCAAGAGATGATCGGAGAGAAGTGGATTATACCTGAAAACGCTGCTTCTGTGGGTTTTTTTTTTGGAGTGTAGAAGCCGCCGGAGACTGGAATGTTAACGACGAGAGTTTATAACGGTGTGCGGGGGCTGCCACGTGGAAATAATTAATATTCTACCCAATGGGAAATTTTCATTCTAATTAGAAAAAACAAATTCCTGCCCCTTCGAAATCCCGATATCGTGGAATTGTTTGTTTCTGTTAAACTTTATTAAAAATTAATTATTAAACTAACATGCTATACAAAGATTATTCTAACCTAAGAATATGCTTTTGGATCTAAAGAGATGTACTATTTTTTCGAGAAGGACTACGTTTTTTTCCATCACTAAAAAAAAGAGTAAGCTTCTCTTTCTGAAAAGAATTAGGGTATTGCAATTTTGTTAAATAAAATTTGTAGAATTGAAAAACGGAACAAAAGTTGGATTGCATGAATTCGAGCAATGAACCAAGGAAATTAAAATTCTTCTATATATCTGAATACTTGCATGCAAACAAAGATTTGACTTTTTTAAGGTTTAGATTTTGTCTTGTCTGTGGATTAGACCACACAAGTGTATTTTTTGTATTCTTATTGATTTGTTTTCATTTATGTTTTTTTAATTGCATGAATTTGATTGATAGTTATGTTAGGGAAATCTTTTGTTTTATACTACAATTTTCCATGTTGCAATTTGTTTTCTTTTAATAATTTCCTTGCTTTTGTTTTATGTTCTTGGGGAAATTGAAAAGCCATTTTTCAGGGAACACAATAATATTTTCTTTTCCTTAATTCTCTTTTGGAACTTGCAAGAAGCCATTTGTTCTCTTTTTTATCCTACAAATATAGAGGAGAGTATTTATATTAAAATTCTCATACAACAACTAGTATTAATAAAAATATACTAGTTAGACCTAAAGGTTCCTAATTTCAAAAAAGCTTAGTGTTGCCTTGTAATTTGTGTTTATCTATAAAATACAGTTTTTTCGCAGACTTTTGACACAAAGGCGATGCTCTTGAAGAAGCATTTGGTCGGAAGTCCCTGAGATGTTAATCTATAATTCATGATCATTTTTGCGTCAAAGGAAACAATAATCTATTTCAACCGACAGTGGATGTTTTCTAAAAATCTGTTATTCGAAGATGGATGTAAAGAAACTAAGGTATTTATTCGAAGACAAAAAGATTTCTTGGAGATTTTCAACATCACAAGATTGAAGATTACATATAAAAAGAAGCACCTGTAACGTTACATGAAGCAAACATAAGAAAGAGCAACACTTTGGTCTTTGTCTATGCTTCACATGCGTTTCGGCAGAACATACTGTACACGCTCTTCTTGGCATAAGTGCTGCAGCAAATCACCAGAATGCGAAAGAAAGCAAAACAAAGTTAGGGAAAGCGAAAACGCTGTGACTTCCTGGAGCCAAAATGTTCTAATTTCAAAACACAAAGAAAGGTGTTGTTATATGTTGAAGAGTTCCAATCTCAAACCGTGAAGAGAATATATATATTACCTGCATTTCCTCTGGGAGTGGCTCTGAGACAGCAAGCGTGTAGCAACCAGGAGCAAACTTCCCTGCCAAGTTCAGCAAATATCATACAATCAGCAGCAGCTAATCTTACAAATAATACAAATTAGGCAAAGTAGATTGAAAATCTTCAGATATAAAGCCACATTCTAATTTATATTAGACTCAAGCCCTCTGAGCCACATTCTTGTAGAAACAGGAAATCACATAACTCTTGTCTGTCAGCTTTTATCGGAGGTTTTATGATCACTCACTGATCTTTAATACAAGTTAGATGTGATGGATGTAAGAGTAATCTCACCATCTCAAGTCTATCAGAGTATAATGATGAGAGAATAGGAACACATTGATGGAAAGAAGAAACTAGGTTGTTTGCTGAGCTCAGAAAGGAAAGTCGATCATTGAAGAGAGCGATTAACATCATACCGATTCTTAACCACCTAGCCGCCCAGCTTCTACTTGGATCCATCACAGAGATTATACTGCAAAAACAGTCTTGCCATATCAGCAGCTAGAATTATGAAAATACCATCAACTTGCCAAAAGAGACATACATGAACATAACCCACTAATTCCCTCACTTCAGTTTTTAAAAACGAGACTGAAAGGAGTAAGCTTTGGCCAAATTTGCCACTACTCAGTAAAACACTGATCCAACAAGGATGCTAGTTCAGTGAAAGCTCGGAAACCAAGAAGCGTCACTTTATACATTGTTCCGAGAGGAATTAAATTTCACACTCAGCAGAATCAATCCACGATTCAGAGAAATTTCCACTAGTACACACCAAAATGAAACTTTGAAACCCTAGAAGTTTATGAATAGTACCCATAAAAGCAAAAATTTGAGTACCCAAGAACAGAAGTGATTAAAGGGTTTCACTTTCAGGACATACCCATTGAAATTAGGGGTAGTAACTTCCACAATTCGCTCGTGATCCTCTTCCATCTTGAAGAAAGGACAATTCTCGCACCCAGCGTCCCTGAACTATTGAACCAAAATCGAGCTTAGATCTTTAGAGGAGAAATCAAACACCGAGAATGATACAAAAGGAAGCGGAGATGAAAAAAAATAAAAACCCTAACAGAAACAGTGAAAGAATCAAAGAGACCTGGTCATAGGTTTTGACAAGTCGGCAGCGAAGACAAGCCCTAAGCTCGTGGCCAAAGCTAGTCGGAATCTGGGCTGGTGCGCTTCCCATTTTGTTTTTTTCTCAATCACCTTTCTGAATTTCTCTCCCCAGATTCTTGTTAGATTCTTTCTTCGGTGATTCCCAATTTTTAGATAACGGGAAGGAAAACGATTGGGCTTTATCTAGGGAGATGACCTTTTAATTACACGTGTCTCTCTCTCTCTGTGTACCACTGAGACTCACGGAACGGTACCGCCGTTATGTTTTCCGTTAGCTCTGTTTCTTAATAGGAACTTTTTATTAATTTTATAATAATTTTTTTTTAATATTATCTAATTTTATTATTTAGTTCTAAATTGTAAGTGAAATCTAAATCAATGAAATATAAACAACACATAAGATGAATTTTTCATAATCTTTCATTTGAGAGACTTTCTATTCTTTTTGGTCCTTCATATATTTATGTCTCTGTGTTCTGTTTGGTCTTGTCTTGAATCTAATCTTTATTGTTTGGAATGTTGCAGTGTAGTAAAAGGTTGTCTATATAAACAGAGTTTGCTGGTCGAATTGTGATTTGTAAAATCATTTTCTAGTTAAAATCAAACTTTATATTTTATGATGATGATTGTCGTAACTTGTTTTCACTTGTTGATTGCATTGCTATTATATTCTCTAGGTTGTCTTGAAAGATTTAGCGGTAGTAATAAATCTCAGTTTTCTCAATTTTTTGAAGCGACATATATTCGGTGCTCAATCTAGACCATTTAGAAATTCCAGACTATATTGATCATTTAGTCAGATTTGATATCGAAGGACTATGAGACAAATTAGATGACATGGTGGAGCCGATTGCTAATATGGCAGACTCACCATCGCCGGTTCATAATATAGCAGACTTACCACCGCCGGTTGATAACATGGTAGACTCACCACCACCAGTTGGTAAGATGGCAGACTCACAATCACTGGTTGCTATGCCCAGTCTACTCCAACTCGAAGAGACAGGTTCAAGCCTAGTGGAAGCCACAAAACTTACAGACCAGGCATATACTCCCATTGGCTCTTGGCGGTTTTGTTAACAAAAGCGAAGAATCTAGTGACCATTTATGTGCTTGTCAGGCGAAACTTTTCATAGCCATTGAAGCACTTGACAAGGCAACAATGATAGTCGGTGTTGCTTCCTTGTCTTCTTTATCAAAGAGAGATTTCCACAAGCCAAAAATACTACACTATCATTCCTATGGGCCAAAAATGATATCATATGCCTTTTCTATGGGGATGATGAATTAATCGTAGCTTGTGCTATATCCATATAAAAGTTCATATAAACTTTATATCTTTTCTTTCAATTTAAGCAATTATATGACGTTATAAACATCGATCTAGAATCTAGACAATAAAATATCAAGGGTGCTTCTTAGAAAGAAAAACTATAAACCTTGCTCCCAATTTTAGGTTAAGCCTCATTTTTAATTATTTTTATGATGTGTCCTTGATTTGGTTGTTCGTTGTCATTGTTTTACATCGCTAACTTATTCATTTCATCAATAAAATAAATCACATTTTCAAAATCATAATACATATACATCAATAAAAAACAACGAACGTCACTAAGTATCTAAACTGAAAAAAAAAATGAATCATTGGCTCATTACAAGATATTGGTGAAATAGTCTGTCTTTTGTCTTAGATTAATTACATGTACTGCAAATAACAACAATTTTTTTTGAGTATTGATGATTATTTGAAACTACGATGGAGCCAAACTCATCACAATCATCTGCTAACATGCCAAACACAACACCACCGTTTGCTAACATGCCAAACTTACAATCCTTTGAAAAGGAGGCAACATCTCATCTTTTCTAATTGAAAACCAGGTTCTACATCGTACTCCATCCAATCTCTTAGCTGAAAACTAGGTGGTACGTAGTCTTCAATCCAACTTGCTAAATCGAACTTCTAGTGATGCAGCTTAGCTAAGAAGCCTCTGAGGATCTTTTTGTATTAGATACGAATTCAACATTTCTCTCAATGCCCTTTCACAAACGTAGCTCATCACATGTTGACAAAGTTTGACTTATATATTACATTAAAATTATGAGAGAAAGTATAATTTATTAATTTTGCTGTATCAAGTTATTTTTCCAATGCAAATGTTAAGCATTTGAAATAAACCAGTCACTGGTTTATGTAGAACTTTGAAGAATTGTTAGTTTTAGATTTCTTCATACCCATTAGATTAAGAATTGTTTGAAAAATAATTAAATAAAAAAACAAATAATTTATTTGACCAAAAAAAACAAAACTTTGTTTCATGCAAATTTCGTAGTATAGTAAAAAAAATTATAAATAAATAATGTTAAAATTTTAAAATTTTATTAATTTATAGAAATATTAATTAATCGATAAATTATTAATTTATAGAAATATGTTGGTTCGAATTTTTAAAAAAGACAATTTTTTTTTGGAAAATATAAATGCATTCAAAAAAATATCATGTAAATGAATATGGAAAATAAATCAAACAAAAATTATAAACTTTGAACAATTATAAAATCATATTATACTATATTGTATTATATATAAATATATAATTATTAATTTATATAATTATTGAGACTATATTTTTATATAGGAGTTTCAAAAAAAATATTATTTTATTATCTTATCAAAATATATCAATTTTTATACTGGTCAGATTTGAAATCGATAAAATTTATTAATTTATAATAATTATTATTTTTTGAATATTATAACTGTATAATGAAATTGATAGCATCTTTTAGTAAGCAACAGTAACACTGTGTTACTAACACAGTCCTACTCCACCAGTAATACAAATCAGCGCGATAAATACGAAATTCAGTGAAATCTTATCAAACGTTGGATTCTCTGTAGCCGATTCTTCTTCTTCCTTGTTTCTCCTCTTTCTGTGCTTCGCGTTTCCGATTCTCTCTCTAGTCGACTACGATCGCTTTGGGTTTTGCTGGGTTCTGTATCTTCCTTGGTAAAATTGAATCTTTCCCACCCTAAAACCCTTTTCTGCTTCTTCTTCTATCTATTTCGCTAATTCTTAGGTTGCCGTAGTACTCTTCTCTCGTATGCATTTCTTCTTTCAATCTGGTCCTTTTTTTCTTTCTTCTTTTGATGATTTCACGAAACGACTTTGCTGGCGATTGCTGTTAGTTCCGATTGAGAGATTATGCTGCGAAATTGGCCATTGAGGTATCTTGATTCTGTGAATTTCCTCGGAGATCGAATCGCATCAAGTGTTCTAGTAATTTTTGTTCGATTGTTTCTCTTCGCTAATTCGCTATCACCATTGTTGCTTTTAGATTCCTCAAGTATGTCTACAATGTATATCGTATGCTTTGTTGATTCATGAAATCTCAAGATTTGATTCTATTTACTGTGTCTCTGCAGGATACTGAACCAATGGATGATACGATAGGCTCAAATGGTCTCGTCAAAAAATCTGAGTTCATAAGGATAATCATCGATGCACTTTTATCGCTTGGATTTGGTGACATTGCGGCCACCTTGGAGGAAGAGTCTCGCATTCCTCTGCACAGCAATCCTATTAAGCAGTTTCTGGAACTGTTAAAGAATGGAGAATGGGACAGATGCATTGATGCATTGCAGGGACTTGAACTGCGTGAGCGTGATGATAATGCGGCGAGAGTCTTGCTGCTAGAGCAAAAGTACCTCGAGTTTCTCAAGGTCGAAAATTCTGTGGATGCTCTGAGCACCTTAAGGATGATGCCGCCTCTTGGTGTTGACGCAGAGCGCATTCGTGAGCTCTCATCCAAACTCATGTCAGGTCCTGGTGAAGATACAGAAAGGTCCGTAGTTTTGGAGAAACTGCGAAAACTGTTTCCTCCTGCAGTCATAATCCCAGAGAGGAGGTTGGAGCATCTCTTAGAGACGGCCTTTGATCTTGAGGTGTATGAATGTATGTACCATAACATCCCGGACAGTGATTTGTCTCTATGCTCTGAGCATCGTTGTGAGAAACATAAAATTCCTTCGGAGACTGTACAGGTAATATAACAACACTATGCACCAACTCCGCTAATTGCTTCGTGATGCTGTTGTTTCATTTATGGATGATAGTGAGTGTTGAAAGCATTGAGAGAGTCACGTAGCTTTTGCTAGAAGATTTAAAAAGTCAAGAGTGTTTTAGTGTTTGGATAAATTTCTGTTTCTTGTTTTGAATTCATTGATTACCTATTAGGCTCGTTTAATCATACTTTATGTGACTGTAGACCTTTAATGATATATACCACAATACATTAAGCTCTCCATATGTGAATGGTTCAGATATTGGAGGAACATACCGATGAAGTCTGGTTCTTGAAGTTCTCACATAATGGCAAATACTTGGCTTCTGCTTCCAAGGATAAATCAGCAATTATATGGGAGGTATGTGAACCAACCGTGGCTTTCGTTAACTACTCTGTTCTGATGCTTCACTAGAGCGGTATGCAGATATCAGCAGTTATTTTTTTTCCCTGAATTAAGCAGAAAGTGATGCAGTCTGTTTAGCGATATATGCTGATTCACATAGATGTGCGTTTCTTCCAGATCGACGCAGAGAGGAAGTTGTTGGTGAAGCATAAACTTGTGGGGCACGAGAATCCCGTGGTAACAGTCTTATGGAGTCCTGATGATCGACAAGTCATTACATGCGGAGAAAATGAGGTTATCAAGCGCTGGGACGTGAATTCAGGAGAATGTGTTCAGTCGTATGAAAGAAATGGTGTTGGTTCCGTTTCTTGTGGATGGTTTCATGATGGGACTGGTATAATTGGTGCAATGGAAGACAGACGCATCTATTTGTGGAATTTGGATGGCACTGAGATAGAGCACGAGCAAGACCAACGGGCACAAAAGCTTTCTGATGTAGCCATGACAACTGATGGGAAGTGGCTAGTAAGCGTAGGCAAGGAACCGCACAAGATCTCACTGTTTGATAGAGTAACCAGAGCTGAGAGAGTGATTGAAGAGGATGACATGATTACTTCGTTCTCGCTTTCGAAAGACAGCAAATATATTCTAATCGATCTCACTACCGAGATGATCCAGCTCTGGAACATTGAAGGCGAACCAAATAAGTTTTATGGATTCGAGGGCCACAAGCGTAAACGGCTTATTATCAGGTCTTGCTTTGGTGGATATGAAGAATCTTTCGTCGCCAGTGGGAGTGAGGATTCTCAGGTAAAAACATCTCAAGTGGAAATAACTTAATCTATCCTTCTTAGAATCTTCCGGTCTCAGAAACATTTTCCTCGGCAAATGAGTGATCTCTCTCTCTCTCTCTGCCTCTCTGTTGTTGGCAGGTTTACATATGGCACCGAAGAGAACCGTTCTTACGTTTACGTGTATTACCAGGACACTCGGGAGCTGTGAACTGCGTGAGTTGGAACCCGACTGATCTGCATATGTTGGCCTCAGCGAGCGACGATGGAACCATCCGGATTTGGGGACTTGACAAGAAGTTGAACTGATCCGATGGTAGTAACTGATGATGATGACTTGACTTGACTTGACTGCAAATTTGTTCATTTGATATTCATCATGTACATATGACCTTTCATGTGCGAATGCTTTTTGCATTCTTCACCCTACTGGTGTTTTTGCGTCCTTTCTGTATAGAATATAGAGATAAGAACAGAAGTTTTTGAATACCGATAGTGAGAAAAAGAGAAATACAAAAAACTGCAACTGATACATTTTTGCTCTTGTGTTATGAACTTTCCATAGAATCTGTATATGAAATTGGTCAATTTCAGAACTTTTTAACTTGAACCATCAACTGAGCCACATGTAGCGAAAAGTCAACTCCTAAAATGTAAAAGGCTTCTTTTAGCTCCTGTGTTTGCTTTTACCTATATCAATTAGATATGTAATGGATAAACGGTGAACTTACACCACACAATAAAACAAAAAATCTAAACTCGAAAGATGCTCAGGAGATAGAAGTGTAACAAATCAAATGTTTGTGAAACTAAGATAATTGAGGAACAATGGTCGGCGAATAAACAATAAGCTACCATTAACAAAAGCAATAATCGGTCTGATTCAACAACTTATTCATTTGCTTTTACCTATAGGCTCGGCACGTGACTATCAGGCCAAACAAATATATGGGCTTTAGGGTGACGAGAGATAAACATTACAAATAAATATATGGGCTTTAAAGCTCATACAAAATTTAAGAATGCTAGACAGGATTGTGCACAAGTAATAATTATTGACCATTCTCTTGACCTTATGTATGACAAAGCATGTAGCAACCCCCACGTGGTTGCAACAGCTTGGCCCATTGTAACGGAAAACAACTTCACATGAGATGTACCTTATGGGTCATAATTTATTTTTATTTTTATCAAAACCTCAAATTAATATATGACATATATAATTGAATTAGATAAGGTTTGACAATGGAACCATGCTATTTATTAGAACATGAAGAATCAAGAATGGTTATGATTATCAATAAGTCTGTCACGTGATGGCCGGCTTGGATGCTCCAAAAGTAATTATTTAAGTATAATCAGTAACTTAGCTAGTTAGTTATGGTCGGTTGATACACAGGTGCATATTATAGTAATTTATCACTAATCGAAATGATCAATGGGGTTTGTCTCTATTTAACCGACCTCCTCCATGCCGCGTCGTACTATACAAACACGAGAAGACACCAAAACGGGTAAAATATTTCATAAATATTATTACGATTTAAGAGACTATAAAACATTATTTACATGTTTCTCTTAAAATCAATTGACCTCCTTTTCAAAATATTAAAGTAAAGAACTGAAAATACACGATAAAGAAATGCCCAAATATGGAGTTCTTTCAACCAATTCTTTTTTACTCAAATGATTAAATTCATACTATATATTTTTTTTTTACGTCTACGATTACATACAATACAAGTAGGATATTGTGGGAGCGTTAGAACACTAATTACAGACTACATGCCAAATAGACTAATATCAGTGGTGACAAAAACAAATATATTTTATACTAACAAGTAACAACCTAAATACTTTTAATTCGATCGTTAGAAGTTAAACTGAAAATTTTGCATAATGAAAGGAGTAAGGTAAGCATGGATTAAGGAAAAAGGAAGAGTAGTTTAATGTAAATTATTATTCAATTAAAGAGGATAAAAATTAATGACCGTTGGATGGAAGCTGTTCATCGGAACTCGAGCGACCTCTTCACGTGCCAGTGTGCCACAGTTGACAGTCCCATACCCATTCTCCTCCGTTTACTCCTCCATCATCGATACATACACATATACATACACCTGAACGACGCTTTTATAAGATTGAGGGTTTTCTGAAACGAACCCAACTCACACATTCTCAACTAGATCGTCCTCGTACATAAACCGTATATATATATATGAATATATAATACCCATACAAAGCCTTAAAAAAACTGATTTTGGGGAAGACGAAGAGAGATGGACAAGTATGAAGTTGTGAAGGATTTGGGAGCTGGGAATTTCGGTGTGGCTCGTCTTCTTAGGCACAAGGAGACCAAGGAGCTCGTTGCCATGAAATACATCGAGAGAGGTCGCAAGGTTTGATCTTTCTGCTTTTTGAACGATTCAAAGTTGTATTTTTGATTGGTTTAGAAATTTGAATCAAAGGATGATCTGAGGATTTTAAAGATTTGACATTTGATGGTATGATATTGTGGATTGCAGATAGACGAGAATGTGGCGAGAGAGATTATCAATCACAGATCACTGAAGCATCCAAATATCATCCGATTCAAAGAGGTAAGTCTTTTTGTTGATTTGTGCATAATGTAAGCAGTACTTCACAAAGGGACTAAAGGACAGAGTAAATTTCGAATCATTTTGAAGGTGATTCTGACTCCAACTCATCTTGCTATTGTAATGGAGTATGCTTCTGGAGGGGAGCTCTTTGAACGAATCTGTAATGCTGGTAGATTCAGTGAAGCTGAGGTCTGATTTATCTTCTTCTCAATATCCTAACTTGGAAAATTTCGACCTTTTTTACATCTTCTTGATCTTTAATGTTACAATATTTCTATCTCTCAGGCTAGATACTTCTTTCAGCAACTGATTTGTGGCGTGGATTACTGTCATTCCTTGGTATTTACATTACAGAACCAAATCTCATGAAGCTGAAAAGTTAAGTATTTGGCATCATTTTTGCATCATCATCTTCTTTCTTGCAGCAAATATGTCATAGAGATCTCAAGCTTGAGAACACACTGCTCGATGGGAGTCCTGCGCCGCTGTTGAAAATCTGTGATTTTGGTTACTCCAAGGTCCATTTCATTAGTCTCTTTTTTTCTCCTTGTCTTCAAGTTTTCTTCCTATCATCACACTTGGAGTGGAGGATCTAAATAAGTTATGTATATTTCCATCTCCTTGTCTGTAGTCATCTCTGCTACACTCTAGACCTAAATCAACAGTCGGCACTCCAGCTTACATCGCACCTGAAGTTCTTTCCCGAAGAGAATATGACGGAAAGGTAAAATTACTAAATGTCTTCTTCAATGGTCTGATGATCCTTATCTTTCACTTGTTAAATGAAACGATAATGGTGATTGTGTTGTGTAGCATGCGGATGTTTGGTCTTGCGGTGTGACTCTCTATGTGATGCTGGTCGGAGGTTATCCGTTTGAAGACCCCGATGATCCCAGAAACTTCAGGAAAACAATCCAAGTATTGACCAAACTCCACAAGTTTCAACTACTTTTTCTCACAACTTTTTTAGCCACCTCAATTTTTATACCGTTTTGTGAATGTTTCTGCAGCGTATAATGGCTGTTCAGTATAAGATTCCGGACTACGTCCACATATCGCAGGAGTGTAAACACCTTCTCTCTCGCATATTTGTTACTAATCCTGCTAAGGTACATCTTTTTCTCATTTCTCTTGAGTTTAAATCCGTTTGTGAGTTTTCCGACTTTCTGTGATGAAAAAAATGTCATGCAGAGAATCACGCTTAAAGAGATCAAGAAGCATCCGTGGTTCTTGAAGAACTTACCAAAGGAGCTTACAGATTCTGCTCAAGCGGCCTACTACAAGAGAGACAACCCGAGCTTCTCTCTTCAAAGCGTAGAGGACATAATGAAGATCGTAGGAGAAGCAAGGAGTCCACCTCCGTCTTCCAGTGCCGTCAAGGGCTTTGATGACGATGAAGAAGATGTGGAGGATGAGGAAGAGGAGGAAGAAGAAGAAGAAGAGGAAGAGGAAGAGGAAGAGGAAGAGGATGAATACGAGAAGCATGTCAAAGAGGCACATTCCTGTCAAGAGCTTCCCAAAGCTTAAGAAATGAAAATCTCAACACTGTTGTTTGATATTCATTCTCTTTCTTTTTGTTTATCTTTCGTTTTATGTGAATTCGAACATCGTTTTTATCTATATGCAATTGAATCAAAACCAACCACTTCTTCTGTGAAATAAAGATTGCATATTTGACATTCAGTTTCATTACACAAACAGTTACAACAAAACCCTCTGTAAATAGCATAGCTCAGGTCTCAACAAAGTGAAAGAAGGTACCTCTTCGTATACATAATCATATCTCATGATACTATATGCTAATTTCACATTACTAGAGTCAGAGCAACAGCAACACACACAACACCAACTTTTTTTTGTCATTTTCTGTAAATTAACAAAACCTAAAAGGAACAAGAGAAAGAATACATATATCTATGATGCGACAGGGACTCGAGTGATTCAGTCACTGAAGTCTACACTTCCACTGCGCGAGCTGCTGCCATCACGGCTATGCAAAGAAAGGCCTCTCATGTGACCTGGTAAACCCGAGGCACCGTCGACTTTCTTCTCCTTGAAGAACTTTTCCCTCTCAACGTGTTTTGCAGGTGGTGGTGGAATCACAACAGGCGGGGATTGCGATTGGCTATCACTACCGCGTGACCGCTCCTCTGATGGTAAAGGACGAATAAGTGGACGGTTAAGTCTTTCGGTATGGATTAATGATCCAGGTAAGCCTTGTGGAGGTGATGCCTCTTCTTCATCCTCAGGCCTTGCTCTAGCTTTCCCTTTTCGCAATCTGCAAGCACACATTCACATGGATTCTTGGACTTAGTATCACGAACAACCATTTTTAGATTCCAAGAACCTTATAAAATATCCAATTAAGAGACTGAGCAATGTACCGTCTGAATAACTGCTCAGGCTCCTCTTCCTCATCCTCGTCTTCAAGCTTAAGATGGTTTGGATTAGAGATAGAGCTGCTCGATTTGGTATTTGCATTAGAACCGTTCAGCTCGAGTTTCTGGTGACCATTTGAGGTAGAGCGGCTAGGTTCGAGATTGGAATGATAACCATTGGATGTAGTAGACCTGCCTTGCACAGTGGTTCTAGCAGACAGCAAATCTTCATGCCTATTGAGAATTCTCTGAAGTTGCTCATTCAATTCGATTGCTTGAGAAACTGCTCTTTCATCCCTGCATAAACAAAATGGCTGATCTACTTGAGAAGGGAAAATGCTTTTTACGAGTCATCTAAAGCAAGAGAGACGGAAACTTGCCTCGATGTCATGACGAGATGCATTACGCGCTCTTTCTGAAACGAACATTGCTCGACAAGATCAAGTGTAAACTCATCTTTTGCCCCCTAAATGCAGAAAAGTGGATCAAGCTATAACTCAGGCTAAGAGATCAACAAGGGGAACAAACAATGTTTGTTTAGTGGAGACAACAAAACAAAGTCATGGAATTATATTATATACCTCAGGATTTTGAGAATCAACTGCGTCAAGCACTTCCTTCAAAACTTCTAATGCAGTACTAGCCTTTTGTAAAATGCTACAAGTAAAGAGATATGGCACAGATTAACGTCTCTTAAAATGAAGTATACATTTCGCATTTAGGTAACTGACATGTGAAGAAGAGATTACCTAGAAGGAGAGGCAGTCTGAGATTCTCTCCGCTGAGTAGTTGCAGTCCCCTCATTTCTAGCAGATACGAGTTGTTCATTGAGCGTATTTCTTGGAACCGCTTGTGCAGTGACCACAACTGATGGTGTTGAGTCAGGTCTCTGAGGAAATTTAACTCCTGCGTTCTGGAAGTAACAGAAAAAAAAGATCTCAGTCTTATCTAATTATGATTCTTTGAGGACAGATTCACGGAATCAGAATGATCCTGTTTCAGACTCACCACCAAATCATAGTATGCCGCGTAGTACTGAGGGAACTTCCCTGAAGCGCCACCAAGGGAGGTTTGAGTTGCATCAAGAAGGAGAAAAATCCTCTCTCTTACAGGCAAATCCGACTAAAGGGAGTGTTTCAACCAAACAATATGCAAACTAAAATAAGCAGCTTTAACTCTCAAATTACCAAGGAAGTAACATCCAGGAACAGAGATGAACATACTTTTTTCTTTACAATCTTCACAAGTGTAGGGAGTACACCTGTATCTATAACCTGCTTATGAATATTCTCTCCAATATTGTTCATCAACATCTCCAGCAGCTGCAAGAACAAAGAAAACAACAGTTTCAGTTACCAAAACGTTCAAAGGTATTACATCCTCCTAAAGCATGATTCTCTGGTAAAAGAAAGATCTAGACCAGGAACCTACCTGGACAGCATATAATTGAGTATTTGGGTTCTTGCTTCCTAAGCGTTTTTTAATAGCTTTGATAACATCTTTCGCTTGCCTGTTAACAACAGAAGAACTCATTATCAAAAGAACAAAAATAGAAGTATGTCCAAGACGACGCAAAAGTAAAGTGTCTATTTATCTCCATCATATAATCACTGAGGACGATTAAACATCAAACAAACAACAATCCAAAGGTTGGCAAAAATATCACTTTGAACAGAAGAAAAACAGTCTGATTATGGTTTAAGCTTCATATTATGCACACTAGTGTCATACTTTCATCAGCAGATTGGAAAAGTTCAGGCTCGTTATACCTTTCATCTCGAGCAGCTAGTTCACAGATCTCAATGTTTTTGCCCCAATCCACATCAGCAAGCTTTTCACTTGTTGCAGTACTTACAAGCTCCGCAGCCATTTCTTTGTAATCTGTACGAGCCATAGATAATTAGCAACTAAAGATTCTAAGCATGAACAAACCAAGACACATTTTGCTCATTTCAAAATCAGATATTTGGTTCATGTTAACAGCGTGTAACTACAAAGAGCACAGATGTGGTAAAGCTTACATTTGACTGTTATGTGGGTTTTGCTCAGCTATGAATGTGCAATAGCTGCTAATCTGAAATCAATAAGATTATGTCAGATAGGACGAAATAAATCAAACGTTACTATTGATTATATCTCGGCCACACAAAGTAAGAGAGTCGTCAACTGACAAAAAATACTAGACTCAGGAGACATATGTATCAAATTACGCAAGTCTAGACAAAGCCTAAGCTTCTTCTTCTCTCTCTCTCTTTTCGTCTAGTTTAATCAAATTCCATACAACCACGGTAATTACAAAGCCCTAAATTTACAGACAACAGTCAATCATAGAACCTGATACAAATGTCTTGGATCAAAAACGACAATGTTATAAATACCGAAGAGCTACATAATGGAAAAAAGGATAGAGAAAACAATGAGGAGATTGAAGAAGTTAGTAAATTTTCTTCGTCCTCCGATAAAAAGAAAAAGTGTTTTTTTTAATCATTTTCCCCCATTTTTAGTGTCCCTCTGAATGAAAGAGATCAACTAAACGATAAAGGCGACTTCTGATCACAACAACGCATGCCCAAAATCCCAAACCCAAATCTAGGAAAGAGACACAAATCCGATCACGACGAAAACGGATAATCTGATCCAAAAATCTAGGTGTCGAGAACAATCTGACCCAAAAATAGATCTCAAACAGACACAAACAATCAAGTAACTCGATTGGATAACGACAGAGTGAAAAGCCCTTACTCACTTGCGAAGACGGAGAGGATAACGAAGGCGATAACAAGAAAGCGGATAAGTAATTGATAAACCCTAATCAGCTTGAGCATTTCACAGAGCCGTAAAGAAGAAGACAGAGAGCCAGATCGGTAAAACAGAAAATGGCAGGGGAAGGGGGAAAAAAATAAAAAGAAGAAGCAAAAAGATGAAAGACGAAGCCTTTGCGCCTCTTCTTCACAGATTTAATCAGATAGGTTTAATTCAATTAGTTAATCGTACAAAAACAGTAATTTGTACTGATTAATTAGGTGATTAGATTATTATTTTGGAATAAAGTAAATAAAAAGAAATAATCAAAGGCTGAAGCAGCAGAGCACCGCCATGAGGTTATTGTCTGAGAGAGAGAGGCTTTATTGGTAAAGTGTTGGCGCGGGGAAGAGAGACAATATTAAAGTCACGCGCTTGTCTGCTTTGACAGAGAACTGACAACCTGGTTGACTGCCACGTGTAATACGCCTTACAACACCCGAGTAATTCTTGGGGGAAAACTTTTTTTCTTCACAAACGCCCCCTGATTTCATTGGTGCTCAACATCAGTCCCTTAGTTTCATAGTTTGAATATGGATCCGAATTAAAACACGCTGACAGATTTGTATTAGTACTGTACCACAACAAAATTAAATGATTAAATCTAATTAAGGATATACTAGCTGAAATTAAAGGAGTATATTATATACCAGCTGGAATTTGTTTTAAAAAATCAAATTTAATAAATCTCACGCACGGCAGTTATTGCATAAATGATAAGAATAATGAGAAAATGATATTGTCGAGGACAAAAATTAAAGCTTGCTAACATTTAAAACTCTTAACTACCAGGTTGACGTTATTAAATTAAAAAAAAAAGGTTTGAACTTAGCAATATATCAAAGTGGACAAATACCAAAGTCAAAAATTATTCGTAATACATACGTTGGAATAGAACACGTTGCATTACACATAGGTGGTGTGGTGAATCCACTTAAAACCTACCACCCAAATCCATTTTTTTGTACGCATTCACGATAAAGTAGGCATAATCAATCCACTGGCGTGATAAATTAGGCCTAAAACGATTTGAAAACTTATACTACGTAATGTAATAGAACCGATTCTATCATATTTCCATCAGCAACAATATTGCCTCTCTAGTTTTCTGTTAGAAAATGCAGCTCATACCGTATATATTTCCATATAATCCGCCAAATATTTTGATGAAAAAAATGAAAAGAAATCGAGATTGAGTAACAAATACTCCCTATAGAGTTGTGAATGATTAAAACTTGCAAGAATCGCAGTCGAATGAATGGTAGGTGGGTTTAGCGTGTTTAATAAATGTTTATACAATAATTAAAACAATGTAAAATTACTATTGTCGATGATGAACAATATTTTATTTAATAAAAATAAAATATAGACTAACAAACGAAAACCCATAATTATTTAGATAGGCAAAATCTAGAACTGAAAACTTTAAGCTCCGATCACAGAACACCGGTGTACTTCTTGCATTCAGACAACAACATGTATATGTAGAAGTGACACTTGCTGATTTAACAGTTAACTAGTTAAGTAATGATGACGCTCCAACAATTCAAAGCGTTTTAAAAAAAACGACCTGCCGTTTTCACGTTTTAAGCAGACAACGAAACGACGTCGGTTTGGTAAAATGTTAAATTCCTTCTCTGTCACTTGACTGAACCCTTCCACTTGCCTCCAATTTTCCGGCCATCGGAGACGTGAACTCCGTTTATTACCAGCTAAAGCTATGCCTTTGAAATTCCCTATCCGAATACGATTCTTCACCCATCCTCTTCCGGGTACTCGTATCGTTTCCTTGAATTCCGGTGCACGAGCTCATCACTCCTCTAGCTCCGTCCCTTTTCTTTTCCGGGTATTCTCTTCCAGGTTGAACTACTTTGCATTCGGGTCTCGCATCAACTTCTCTTCTCGTCCGAGCGGAGACCTACCCGAATTTGGGCAGCGGAGTCGAGGTGATGGAGATATCCGCGCGTCAAGGAGCTTGATCGACGACGAGGAAGAGCTCAGTAACTGGGTAAGCGATTTGAGGCCTGGATCGTTTCGTTTCCATCTCACTAGCGAAGATGACGATTCGGGTCCAGACGCGGAGGATCGTAGCAGGGGAAGAAACCAGGACAAGGGTGCGAAGAGTGGAAGGGAAAGAGAGTCTGATGAGTTTAGGGGTTTCAACAGAAGAGGAACTCGCAATCAAGTTGGTTCTTTTAGGGATAAGCGGTATGGTGATAGAGACACTGGATTGAGTGGTCAGGGGTCTTTTCGTGGGAGGAAGGAGAGAAGTTTAGATTCAGGAATCAGGAGAGATAGAGGTAGAGATAGAGAAGACTACAAGGGTTTAAGGAAGCGGGAACAGCTTCTTGAGGACGAAAGCAGTGATGAGGATGTGAAGAGTTTAGTAATGGGAGGCTTTGGGGATTTGCTTAGTGAAGATGATGAAGAAGAGGACCAAGACTGTGACTTTCTCAGGGACAAAGCAGCTTCTGCTTTTGGGTTTGACAAGGAGAAGGCTATTGGAGCGGACAAGGCTAGGAATGCAGATCATGTTAAAACTTCAGATTCTTATTTGACCAAGACAAGGTAACCTTATTCCCATTCGAGTTGCTCCTGTGTGCTATCGAATAATCAAGCGTACAATATTAATATATTTCTGTGAGTGAGTTACTCTGATTACTTCGTGCTGTTTGATTGAGAATGTATGGTAAATGTTTGTCTAACAGATTTGATCAGTATCCTCTGTCTCCCTTATCGCTAAAAGCAATCAAGGATGCAGGATATGAGACAATGACTGTTGTGCAGGAGGCTACTCTTCCTGTCATTCTCAAAGGTATTTAGGAAGAAAAACTCACTAGCTTTGTGAATCTTTCCTGAACTAGAGCATTCAGGATTCCTCAAAGACTTTATCTTGGCTAATCGTTCTTTTACTTTCAGGTAAAGATGTCCTAGCCAAGGCCAAAACAGGCACCGGGAAAACTGTAGCGTTTTTGGTGAGACACATCAGTAGTATGATAAGTTGGCCGTCTGGTTTGTTGATTGGGCCGTCTGCTTATTGTTGATGTTTGTTTTTGTAAGCTTCCATCAATCGAAGTAGTTGTGAAGTCTCCTCCTACGAGCCCTGATAATAAACGACCCCCGATCCTTGCGCTTGTGATATGCCCAACTAGAGAACTTGCTAGTCAAGCCGCTACGGAAGCAAACACCTTGCTCAAGTATCATCCATCTATTGGTGTTCAAGTTGTGATTGGAGGCACAAGACTTGGTTTAGAGCAAAAGCGTATGCTAACAAATCCTTGCCAGGTGAATATTGTTTGCCATGGTTTGTTTTTACAGCTGAAGCTCACAACTTTGGAGAAATTATTAAAAGTGTGGTTTCGAAATTTTCAGATTTTAGTTGCTACCCCTGGAAGGCTTAAAGACCATATTGAGAACACTCCAGGATTTGCAACAAGGTTAAAGGGTGTGAAAGTCCTTGTGCTTGATGAAGCTGATCATCTTTTAGACATGGGTTTTCGCAAGGACATTGAGAGGATCATTTCCGCGGTTCCTAAGGAGAGACAAACTTTTCTATTTTCCGCCACAGTTCCTGAAGAGGTCTGTCTCATTTTCTCTTTTGGTCTTGGTTTCTGTTGCCTTAGTTCTTTTGTAATGGGTTTGATTTGTGTTTTTTTTTCCTGCGTAAAGGTTCGCCAAATCTGCCTTATTGCTCTGAGGCGGGATCACGAGTTTGTCAATTGTGTTCACGAAGGCGCTGGAGAGACACATCAACAGGTCAGACAAGTGCACATGATTGCCTCACTGGACAGACATTTCTCTCTTGTATACACTATTCTTCGAGAACACATTGCAGATAACGCAGACTATAAGGTACAATAAAAAAAACTTCGAGAACACATTGCAGATAACTTTTGTTTTTCTCTCTCTGACTAACTCTTGTGGTTCCTGAAGGTCATTGTCTTCTGCACAACTGCTATGGTTACAAAATTAGTGGCTGATCTACTTGGTGAGCTAAACTTAAACGTGAGAGAGATCCATTCCAGAAAACCGCAGAGTTACAGGACAAGGGTTTCTAACGAGTTCCGCAAATCCAAAGGTTTGATTCTCGTGACATCTGATGTATCTGCTCGGGGAGTCGATTACCCTGATGTGACCCTCGTTTTACAGGTAAAATCAATCGTAAAGCAGTATAGAACTCTTACCTCAACATCTACAAGAAACTGTTTTAATTTTTCTTCTTGGGTAGAAATTGTAAATATCTATCTACTTTCACAGGTGGGATTGCCGAAAGACAGAGAGCAGTATATACACAGACTCGGTAGAACAGGGCGAAAAGGGAAGGAAGGAGAAGGGATATTGTTGTTGGCGCCATGGGAGGAATACTTCATATCATCTCTTAAAGACTTACCCATCACGAAGTCTCCTCTGCCATCAATAGACACAGAAACTGTAAAAAAGGTTAAGCCTTTTTTATAAGCAATGCCTTTGCTTTGCTTCAAGGACACAACGTTTGGAAATCTCTTTGAGTTAGAATATTAGTTGATGGGAATGAGAAATTTGAGTTGTTGGAATTGGAATGAACAGGTGCAAAAGGCGCTATGCCATGTGGAGATGAGGAACAAGGAGGCGGCGTATCAAGCTTGGTTGGGTTACTACAACTCACAGAAGATGATTGCAAGAGACAAAGACAGGCTTGTGGAGTTGGCTAACGAGTTTAGTCGTAGTATGGGACTTGACAATCCTCCTGCTATACCCAAACTTATTCTCGGTAAGATGGGTCTCAAAAATGTTCCTGGTCTTAGAGCCAAATAGAAGATACTATATCTTTTTTCTCTGTGAGGAATCAAAATATTCTTACAACAAAATTAGTTTAATAGCTTTTTAGGTACTTTTTAAAACACTAGTTTTGATTTCTTCCAATTTACAACGCAAAAACCTTACTGTATAAACTAGACAATACGATCGTGAATTTACTGTGCTATTAACTGTTTAGGCTTTGCCTGGTTCAAAGTTGATCACAAACCAAATCATAATGTTGCATTAACTGTATTTATTTACAAACAGCAACAAAACAGTGCAAAAGAACCTTGGACTTTGTAGACGTGGAGGCGGACCCCAGATAGTGGACACAAAATCAAAATACACGCACTATCGACGCGTGAGAAACACTGCCATATACAAATTTGTAAATTTTTGCCAAACGGGAAAATCAAGCGCGTGGTTTATCAGTCAAAAGTGTGTTTAACAGACAAATCTCTTATCGTCAAAAGTGTCTCCTTCGTAACTCCAAAACTCCGATCGATCGATATTTTCATTGCCCTCCGTCGTCTTTGCATATGGCGTTTGCTCCAATCCTCCGCCGCGTCTCCGCCGCTAAAAACCTCTTCTCGTTATCGAGAATCGCCGTTGGTTCCTCTCCCTCCGTTAGATCTCTGCATACCGGAGCCTCCGGTGATGATCATCAGCTCCATCCGTCGTCCATCGCTGGGTATCACGTGAGCTCCGGCGGATACATGCGCGGAGTCGTGCACCGCGAGCCTAATCAGCCTCTAACCATCGAAGAATTTCACATTCCCCGACCTAAAGTCAATGAGATTCTCATCAAAACCAAGGGTATACATATATATATAAATATATTTCCTCATGGCTTGATCTTTTTGAAAAATTAAATCAATCGGAATTTAAAAAGCTTGTCTTCGTTTTTCAATCCGTCTGTGGCAGCTTGTGGAGTTTGCCACTCTGATCTCCATGTGATGAAAGGAGAGATACCATTCTCTAGCCCTTGTGTTATTGGTCACGAGATCACCGGTGAAGTTGTTGAACATGGTCCACTTACTGATCACAAGATCATCAAAAGGTTTCTTCATCTTTTAACTATCTGTTCCTCTCTCAACTGAAACACTAATGGAATCATATGTATTATTCTTGCAGATTTCCAGTTGGGTCTCGTGTGGTTGGAGCTTTCATTATGCCGTGTGGAACCTGTTCTTACTGTGCTAAGGTGAGAAGGAAATTTTACTTCTTTCGCATTTGGATTCTCTAGTTTGAGACTGTAATTGTTTAAGCTTATAGCTTTTACTGGGATGATACAGGGCCATGATGATTTATGTGAAGACTTCTTTGCTTATAATAGAGCTAAAGGAACTCTCTATGATGGCGAAACTCGTTTGTTTTTGCGACATGATGGTAAATTTGAATCTTGTTTAGGCATTTTTTTAAACAGCAGGTGACATGTTTGGGAGAACAATGATTGTTTTACCTAATTATAATTTTCTTTCTTTTTTTTACTTTCCGGCAAGATTCACCGGTGTATATGTACAGTATGGGAGGGATGGCTGAGTATTGTGTCACACCAGCTCACGGGTTAGCTCCTCTACCAGAGTCTTTGCCTTACACTGAATCAGCGATTCTAGGGTGCGCTGTGTTCACAGCATATGGTGCTATGGCTCATGCTGCTGAGATCCGTCCTGGAGATTCCATCGCAGTCATTGGAATTGGTGGTGTTGGCTCCAGGTTTGTGCATTTGCCGTTATTTGTTTTTAAATTTTGATTCTTGTATGACTCATGAATTAACCATCTTTGAGTTGTTGCTTCAGCTGTTTGCAGATAGCGAGGGCTTTTGGAGCCTCTGACATAATTGCTGTGGATGTTCAGGACGATAAATTGGAGAAAGCCAAGACACTTGGTGCTACTCATATTGTCAATGCCGCTAAAGAAGATGCTGTCGAAAGAATAAGAGTATATGGTTTGCTTAAGGCGTATTCCTTGTGAAGATAATAAAACCAAACTGATTGATACTAAGATGAACATAAAATTGTTTTTTCTTCTTGGCAGGAAATAACAGGTGGGATGGGTGTTGATGTTGCGGTTGAAGCCTTGGGAAAGCCTCAAACTTTCATGCAGTGCACACTAAGCGTGAAAGATGGTGGAAAAGCTGTGATGATTGGACTCTCACAAGCTGGTTCCGTTGGAGAAATAGACATAAACCGACTTGTTCGTAGGAAGGTTTGTTTTTTTTTTCTTTTTGCTTTCTTGGCCTACTTAGAAAATATCTTCAAGATCATGATGTTGAATCTCTTTTTGTTTTGTGAAGATCAAAGTAATAGGGTCATACGGAGGAAGGGCAAGGCAGGATCTTCCTAAAGTGGTGAAACTGGCAGAGTCAGGGATCTTCAATCTAGCAAACGCAGTTTCAAGCAGATACAAGTTTGAAGATGCAGGAAAAGCATTTCAAGATCTCAACCAAGGAAAAATCGTGAGCCGTGGTGTTGTTGAGATACCATAATTGTAAACTAAACCCGCCCTCTTCAAAGGATTTCGATTCAGGTTTTGGTAATGGCTGCTTCATGCCTGATTTTAGTTGCTACAATCTTTAGAATTTTTGTTTTCATTGTTATCTGACTTTTGAAGCTTACTTGAGTCTACTTCTAAGTCCATAGGACCATAGCAATGTCTTTTGAATCAATAAAGGTGAACAACGTATGTTTTCTGGTGTTATGTTTCAAGTAGATTCAAGTTATGAATCGGCTTTACTACGAAAAGTACTTGATAAAGTCTGATCTACCGACAAAACTATAATGTCAGTACTGTACGGTGGAAAAAGAAACCTTAAGTTAAACTAGACATTAAATCACAACTTTGTGTTTTTTTTCGTTTGTTAACAATGTTGTGTTCTAAACTGTTAAAAAAATTCTCAAAAATCTAAAACTTGAAACATTTCAAATTAGGTCCCCTGTTTTTTTTTTTGGTCATCAATTGTTATTAAATAAGATAGAATAAATATTCTAAATTCGTAAAACAACAAAATATTTCCGAAAACAAGGTCTAAAAGAAGGAAATTAAGTCCGTAAAAAAAAAAAAATTCCCGAAAACAAAATCCACAACTAAAACAGAATAAATTTAACTAAAACCCCAAATTGATATTAACATAGAATGTCCCTGATTTTGGATACATAATATTGATGAGAAGTATCTAAATTCTAATAATGAATTGAGGATTTTGCTGAAAAGGAAAAGAAAATTTGAATACTTTAAAGATGTATGAAATAAGTTTGGACCAAGTGGCCAAATTACAAATCTACTTTCCATTCTCAGCGTCGGCTGCTTCATAACGTCACCGTTTTGGGGAACGCAATCCTTCTTCTTCTTCCTTCTCGCCGGCATATTCTCGCTTTTGTCTGCTCTCCTCCGTCGCCGACGCTCGTCCTCCGAATTTCAGTCAACATTATCCGATCGCCTTATTCGGTCAGATCCTTACGTTCCCTGATCGTTGATTTAGACCCCCCCCCCCCCCCCCCACCCCCAAAAAAATAAATATATATATATAGATCGTACAGGTCTCGAGCTTTGATCGAAATTTGAAATTGGTATCGAATCTATAGGTCTGTGATTAGGTTAAGGGCACCGTAGCTCTGTGTATGGAATTTTAGGGTTTTCCTCTGGTTGTTGGTCTCTGGAGCTGAATTTCATCCTTTTTATTTTCCTCTTAAGGTTGTAAAATCTCGTTTTTCGTTTCTGGGTCTAGATGAATTCTAATTCAAATATGAGAGGAGCCAGAGATTTGGTAAGACGTCGATTGCTGAAACTCTGAAGTCGTAGCATCTAAAATTTGTGCATAGTAATTTTTCTGAGGGATTGTTTGAATTATCAGAGCTGATTATGTTCTGTTCCTAGTAGAATTTTGGTTTGTGTTGGTCTACGATAGATGAGTCCTAGATCTTATTATCCTGTGAATATTATCAGAGTAGTTGCTCTTACATGTAATCTTTCCTTGTTAGTAATTTTGAATTATAATTGATTGAGTTTCGTAGTATGGAATGCTTCTAATTTGTAGATAGATTGCTCGATATTATCAATTTCGTTTGGCTAATTTTCTAAAGCTTTGTTCCTTTTTTTCCAGGGAAACTAAAATCCTACACTTTAAAGAGGAAACCAGAATGGTTTCGATTTGCTAGACTCTACTGTTTTCGACCCGTCGTTAGTTAGAGAGTACTGAAAGCAATGGGAGATGGCAGTAGCACCAGATCCAACAGCTCAAACAGCGGTAGTGAGAAACCAGAGTGGCTGCAACAGTACAATCTGGTTGGTAAGATTGGTGAAGGCACTTATGGTCTTGTCTTCTTGGCTAGAACTAAGACCCCGCCCAAAAGACCGATCGCCATCAAGAAGTTTAAGCAGTCAAAAGACGGAGACGGAGTTTCCCCAACTGCAATCCGCGAGATCATGCTTCTCAGAGAGATCTCACATGAGAACGTCGTGAAGCTCGTCAACGTCCACATCAATTTTGCAGACATGTCTCTGTATCTCGCCTTTGATTACGCCGAGTATGATCTCTACGAGATCATCAGGCACCACAGAGACAAAGTGGGCCATTCGTTGAACCAGTACACAGTTAAGTCCTTGCTCTGGCAGCTTCTCAACGGGTTGAACTATCTCCACAGTAATTGGATCATACACAGAGATTTGAAACCGTCGAACATCCTGGTCATGGGTGATGCAGAGGAACACGGGATAGTGAAGATCGCTGATTTCGGGCTTGCACGGATATATCAAGCTCCGCTGAAACCTCTGTCGGATAACGGAGTCGTGGTCACGATATGGTACCGTGCCCCGGAGCTGCTTCTTGGCTCGAAGCACTACACCAGCGCCGTCGATATGTGGGCGGTTGGATGTATATTCGCGGAGCTACTGACTCTGAAACCGTTGTTTCAAGGAGCAGAGGCCAAGTCGTCTCAAAACCCTTTCCAAGTGGATCAGCTCGACAAGATATTCAAGATCTTAGGCCACCCGACGATGGACAAATGGCCAACGCTCGCTAACCTCCCGCACTGGCAGTCCGATCTTCAACACATTCAAGCTCATAAATACGACAGTGCGGGTCTCCACAACGTGGTTCACCTAAACCTGAAAAGCTCTGCTTATGATCTCTTGTCCAAAATGCTGGAGTACGACCCACTAAAGCGGATCACGGCCTCGCAGGCACTGGAGCACGAGTATTTCCGGATGGATCCTCTCCCTGGGAGGAACGCATTTGTGGCCTCCCAACCGATGGAGAAGAATGTGAATTACCCGACTCGTCCTGTCGACACAAACACGGATTTCGAAGGCACGACGAGCATCAACCCGCCTCAAGCAGTAGCGGCAGGAAACGTAGGAGGGAACATGGCAGGAGCTCATGGAATGGGGAGTAGATCGATGCCGAGACCAATGGTTGCACATAACATGCAGAGGATGCAACCGCAAGGCATGATGGCTTATAACTTCCCGGCTCAGGCCGGGGGGATGAACCCGAGTGTTCCTCTGCAGCAGCAGCAGCAGCGCGGGATGGCTCAACCGCACCAGCAGCAACAGCTGAGAAGGAAAGATCCCGGAATGGGTATGTCCGGTTACGCACCTCCTAACAAGACCAGACGTCTCTAAAGATGATAAGGTAAAATCAAATATTTATGATCAGTTTCGGTTTTTGTCCGCCTGATTCGAGTCTGTGTTTTGGCGCAAAAGAAAAAAGTTACGAGTTGTTTTATAGAGTAGACTAGATTGTAATGCCAGCAGGTGATTTCTTGCTATTCAAGTGTACGGATTCAGTAGTTTTGTAAAACATTTCTCTCAAGTGTTTGTTTTAATGAGAGCCAATATAAGTTCACGCTTTTGAATTTCATACAATGTGTTTGTTGCTTCAAGAGTTCAAAGTGATTTAATAGGGAGATGTGAGTATTGGAATCAACATCCAAATTGATAAAATTTAGATCAATACGTTTAAACAGTGGATTATATTAGTTATTTTGTTTCAAAGTAGGAATATATATTTTTTTAAATTGGTCAAATGAGCCTAAAAGTATATACATTCCGTTTTCGAACTAATTGACGTGCGTTGAATGCTTATTAGAAAGTGTAACGGCAACATTAATAAACTATCAATTCAAATTAAGGAAGATGTCTACGATCAACAAAGGGAAGCAAAACCCCAATGTTCGAATCCAACTTTATACAATAAAGGCTGCTTATGATATGGTCATCAAACGTTTTCCCGAGCTCACCGGCGACCACAATCAATCCCAAGATCTCTCTGTAATATAATGGTCAATGAATTGGTTTCTTGTTGAAATAATTGAGTATTTGTTTCTTTCTTTGGTATGTTGTTTGTGTTTTTTTTATTAACAACACTAATGGAGTAGTAGGTGAGCAAATTTTTGTTTTTTTTATACTTACAGACAAAGTACAACTAATAACATGCATATAAAAAATAGGAGCTCGTAAAAAAACGTGAATCTTATTTTATAAAACCTCCCTCTCCATTGGTCTTTCACATCAAAACTCTTGTGAACAAATCCGCCATTATCCGTGGAAACATGGTGGTTGTGAGAGAGAGAGACCAAGACATGCCGTCTTTACACATACCCGTGGTTGACCTAAGCGACCCCGATCAGGAGCTAGCGGCGCGTGCGGTGGTGAAGGCGAGCCAAGAGTGGGGGGTCTTCCAGGTGGTCAACCACGGGATCCCCACGGAGCTGATACAGCGTTTTAAGGATGTCGGGAGGCAATTCTTCGAGCTCCCTGAATCCGACAAGGAAGCCGTGGCGAAACCAGCTGACTCCATTTACGGATACTCAAGGAGGCGCGAGTTTGATCCTTGTATGTTTTCACTCGCTGTGTTCAACTTGAGAAACTTATGTAATTATATCTTCAACTTATATTGTAATGAATTTCTTAATTTGCAGAGGATGAGAAACGGAAGGTACAAGAATGTGTTGCATAAAACGATACTGGATAAGGAGAAAACAAGAATGTCTTGGCCGGTTCAGGTGAACCCTGCCTACGATATGGTCGTCGGACCTTTTCCGGAGCTTACCGGCGACGACCATCCTCCCAAGTTTAGGCCCATCGTCGACAATGACTACGTGTACCGCAAGCTCCGCAAACTATACTTCTCCGATCACGACACACATAACTAACGTCAAAATCCACATATATGATCCAATATGGCAAAACAGACATGGAAAATAATGTTGCAAGCAAAACAGACACCGATACTAATAGGCACCATAACAGAAATAATCTACGTACAGTAATTAATGTTTTTATATCAGATTTTGTGTTTGTTTGAAACATGAACTAATTAATTTTCAACACTTTGATTCATGGGTTTATGATAAAGGGCGGGTGATGTTCAGCCAAATGATAATGACCGAAGACTGGAACCCTCAGTTTCGTGTTGTGAGTTTGAAAAACTGTCTCTGTTTCAATGAAGTCTTCTTCTATTTGACAAAAACACATTGTGGGCAAAGGAACAAATTGACCAAACGCTCCCTCTAAATATAATATGTTGTTTAGAGAAGATTGATTAACATTGTACATCTCAACTTTCATTAGAACATTGAGCCAAAGATATGTCCCAACCAACATTTAGGGTACTTGTCACAGATTAAAGTTGAGATGGTTCCACAAAACATTTGGAAATGGTATGCATTCAAATTTGATAAAATGCATCTTCTTCTTTAAGGCAAAATTGTCCATGTCGTCGTGATGGAGGCCCAACTATTAATCAGACTAGCTACTGAAACGGCGCCGTTTTATGGAGTTAAAAGAAAGGGTAGATGAAAAAGCCAACTTGACAAGCAAGATTCTTCAAACCCTAGATCGTCTTCCTCTGCCTCTCTTACTCATCATACGGAGCAGGGTTTTGGATGTATCAGTGTTTGTGAGCGCTTGTCAATTACAAGTAGCTATGGGTCTGGCTCTTGCTCTGATTTTGTCGTCTCTTCAATGGAAGAAGAGGTATCCGAAGGCGATGGTAAGAGGAAGAAGAAGAGTAAAAAGAAAACGAAAAGGAGATGGGTGATTACTAAAAAAAAAAAACTACCAATTAAATATGTTATGGATGATTCGTATCAAATTAATTAACCTGCTTAAGTGGTTATGAAATGCTCAATAAGCCTTCTCCTGAACTCATCAGCGACCCAGTTTCGAAACTTTAACTGACGGTTATTACAAAAACGTTGAGATCATACAACTTTCTCTCTGCTCACTGTTGTTTTGCTTTAAATTACAAATTGCCAAAATTATTGGTTTGAATTTTGAGGTTGTGGCATCCCAAGTAAATTGATGACAATTTAAGGGTCCGATTACTGTAGTTTGTAGAGCACGTGGAAAAGGGGAAGACATATTTGTTTTGTGGTAGGTGATGCAGTTTTATTATTACAAAGTTACAGAGAAAAAGCCACAACATGAGGGTCCCACTCCAGCACACTGTCTTAACGAAACTGTGCCACGTGATCATCACTGCTTTCCCGCTAATCCCCTATATTAACCCATATATCGCACCTTCTCCGTCTAATCACTCTCTATATCCGCCATTATTTCCGGCCGAACAAAGCAGAAGAGTGAACTGAAAAAAAAAAAACAATGGGGAACGAGAGAAACCAAGACATATCTCCTTCGTCTCTCCAGGCCGAGACAATCTCACCGGAGAAGGAGAACTCATCCGCCGTTAGGTCCCAACCGGTTGACATCCCCCTCGTCGATCTAAGTAACCCCGACGAAGATCTCGTGGCACGCGCGGTGGTGAAAGCGAGCGAGGAATGGGGGATTTTCCAGGTGGTTAATCACGGGATCCCGGCGGAGCTGATACGGCGGCTGAAGGAATTAGGGACGGAGTTCTTCGAGCTTCCGGAGACGGAGAAGGAAGTCGTAGCGAGACCAGCTGACTCCACGGACCTTGAAGGATACACAACGGACTACAAGAAAGATGGAGAAGGTAGAAAAACATGGGCCGATCATCTCTTTCACAGAGTCTGGCCACCGTCGAGAATCAACTACAGATTCTGGCCTAAGAACTCTCCAGATTACAGGTACGTGATCTACTCAAATCAAAGTTAATCGACGACTTCTCTCGGAGTTTAAATCGTTTCTCTGATTTTTGGAACAGAGAGGTGAATGAGGAGTACGCAAGTCACATAAAGAAGCTGTCGGAGAGAATCATGGGGTGGTTATCGGAAGGATTAGGGTTACGTCGTGAGGCACTGAAAGAAGGTCTCGGCGGAGAAACGGTGGAGTATCTGATGAAGGTCATCTTCTATCCGCCGTGTCCAGATCTCGATCTGCTCTTCGGAGCTCCGCATCACACCGACCTCAACGGAGTCACGTTCTTGATCGCTAATGAGGTGCACGGTCTTCAGGCATTCCAGGATAACAAATGGGTCGACGTCAAGTATGACGAGTCCGGGATCGTCGTCATTATCGCCGATCAAATCAAGGTAAAACTTTCTGAATACTCAAGATAAGGCTTGCTGGTTCGTTAACTTATGTTTTTGGAAATGTGGAGTTTTTTGGCAGAGGATGAGCAACGGGAGGTATAAGAGTGGGGAGCATAGAGCGACTATGGATACAGAGAAGACCAGAATCTCGTGGCCGGTTTTTGCCGAACCGAACCTTGATCACGTCGTTGGACCTCTACCGGAGCTAATCTCTGGTGATGATGAGAATGCTCCCAAATTCAAGCCTTATGTCTACAGGGACTACAAATTTCTTAAGATGAACAAGCTTCCTCTCGACTGAGGCATATCTCATATAATCCAGAAACAGAAGAGAAAGATATCATGATGAATAACTGTTTCTTTATTGGATAATTGCGTCTCATTCATAAACCCTATTTGCTTTACTAATTTAATGGTCAATTTGTACGTACGTGTGTGGTGTACTGGTATTTACATATATGATGGATTTGCATGGTAACGTTTAACCGCGTTGCCTTGATATTTAGAATCTGGTACTTACTAGCTACAACTCTTTAGCTGATAAAATCTTTACATAAAATATGAAACACAAATCATATTTTTGTTATGGTTCACTGATGAAATTTGTTTCCATATATCTTCCTATAAGGGGTGCAACAGCCTCTCCCAAGTGAGGATGAAACCGGGAGCTTAACCTTCGGAATCGGAACGATTTAGCCCAAGATCCACTTTGTAAACATAAAATATTTTTGCAAACATATTAGATGCGTTAGGCGTCACATCAATTGCGATCTCAAGTATTTTATTCAATAGGTTTCTTCGTGGTTGATTAAAATAATCACAATTTCTTTTTTCAGTTTGAGACAAGTTTTGCTTTTGTGTACGTAGATAATGACTTTTGTGATTGCTTGCACGAGATACACGATCTTGACAATATATCTTCTAGATGTCCAGAAAAGGTAATCATACAAAATAAGTCAGTGTTTAACGTATGCAAAATGTTGATAAGCAAATATTGTTTATCTACAAATTTTTATCTATACCACCTAATCTCACCCTCACTCTCTTGTGCACATACTGAAATCCCCACACTCACACACACATGTAGAGAATTTTATTGACCATATATATAAGAAGAAACAAAAACAAATTTGGTTGTGTCATTGCACGAGATAATGATTTTAAAAACCCATTTTCCAGTTCTTTGAATATAACTTTTTTACACTCAAAAGTCGAAATCTTCATGGGGTCTTTTCGGGATATCTGACAGGACTGACCCGTTTACAATTTTAAAACAATAGCTCTTTTAAGATTAACCCATAAATAAGAAAATCTCATTATTATACAAAAAAAAAAAAAAAAAATTAAACTCACTACACAAGAATCATTTCATGATTTCATCCGTTCATCAAACCGCACGAACCGAAAAAAGAAGATTGTGAAACGAGAGTCAGGGCTTGGGTTCTAGAAGATCCTACAACTTTGACTAAATCCTAGCGAGGACCCTCTCGGCCGCAGAAATCGTCAACTGTATATCCTCTGGAGAGTGAGCCAAGCTTGTAAAACCAGCCTCGAACTGAGACGGTGCAAAGTAAACACCTTCTTCCAGCATTCCCCTGAAAAACCTACCAAACTTCTCCGCGTCGCTCTTCTTCGCGTCGGCGAAGTTGTGAACAGGTCCTTCCGCGAAAAAGAAACCGAACATACCTCTTATGTAACCACCGCACATTGGATGCCCTGTTTTCTTCCCGGCTTCCAAGATTCCGTTGGTTAGCTCCTTGGTGATCTTGTCCAAATACTCGTACGTTCCTGCCTGCTTCAGCCGCTTCAGCGTGTGGATCCCCGCGGTCATCGCCAGCGGGTTACCACTTAGCGTCCCGGCTTGGTACATCGGTCCTGCCGGAGCAACCTGCAATCCAAAAAACCAATTGCAGAAATATTACTAAACTAGTAACTACAAACGCTTAAAGTCTAGTTACTTCATATCTCACATTCTTACCATCTCCATAATATCTCGTCTTCCACCGTATGCTCCAACGGGAAGACCGCCGCCGATGATTTTTCCGAGAGTTGTCAAATCGGGAGTGATTCCGAAGTATTCTTGCGCTCCACCATAAGCCAAACGAAAGCCGGTCATGACTTCGTCGAAGATGAGAAGAGCATCATTGTCTTTGGTCAGCTGACGCAAACCGTTGATGAATTCAGGTGTGGGTGTGATGAACCCGGAGTTACCAACGACAGGCTCGAGAATAACCGCAGAGATCTCGCCTTTGTGCGCCTCGAAGAGCTTCGCAACAGCTTCGATGTCATTGTACGGAGCCGTAAGAGTATCCGAAGTAGCTGCTTTAGGGACGCCTGGCGAGTCAGGAAGCCCTAAAGTGGCTACGCCACTACCGGCTTTAACAAGGAAGGCGTTGGCGTGGCCGTGGTAACATCCTTCGAACTTGATGAATTTCTCTTTGTTGGTGAAGGCTCTGGCGAGACGTAGCACGCCCATACATGCTTCGGTACCGGAATTAACGAACCGGACCATCTCAATGCTGGGAACAGCTGATATAACCATCTCGGCTAGAACATTCTCCAAGAGACAAGGAGCACCAAAGCTTGTTCCTTTCTTCATCGTCTCAGCTAGAGCCGCAAGAACCTGCACTAGATTCATTAATTCAATCAAAAAGCAAGCTCATTGAGGAGTTTCTCTGTTGTACAAAGAGAAGAAATGAGAAAACGGTAACCTCATCATCGGCATGGCCAATAATAGCTGGTCCCCAAGATCCAACGTAGTCAATGTACTCGTTTCCATCAATGTCCCACATCTTTGAGCCTTTAACGGAATCGACCAGAACGGGTTGTCCACCAACGGATTTGAAGGCCCGCACAGGGGAATTCACACCTCCAGGCATTAGATTCTACATATATCACATTTTCCAATACTCTTGATTATCATAACGTATCAACGAATCTCATTTCTATGCGCAAAACGATGTAACTATGAAACCATCTCCTACTAGAAGAAACAGAAGCAAGAAATTGGAGTCCTTTGCACCAAAATCTGATCATTTCATCGACTAACGAAATAAATTTTAACAGCTTGCGATAATTTGATCATTCTGGAGAAAATCAGAGACTATAAGCTGATACAATCTTCTCCGGAATTTCATCCAAGCTTTTGACCAGAATCAAAACGAAAAATTAATTCTATATGACTAACCTTGGCAGCATTGAAAGCTTCCTCTGATTTCTCAAGAGTGAAACTCTTCTTCTTCTCGTCGACGGAGACAGACATCTTGACGCAGCAACGGTTTGGCGGCGGAGAAGAAACTCTGTTCGAGATCCTCGAGGAACACGAGAAACCCAAAGCAGTTCCTGATCCTGTAAGCGTCGCCGACATCTTTGCTCACCGCTCTCTGCCTGAAATTCGCGGTCGGAGTTGGTACTAATCGGAGCTGGTGAGCTTTTTAGAGAAGAAGAGTCAACAAGATAAGGCGATGGCCAGCCATCGGGTCTTTTATATGTCACAACCGGGTGGATCCGACCCGGACACTGATTTCTGTCAAATGGATTCCCCATATTTTATTTGATTGTGAAATAAATGTAATTTTGTGTTATATACACTTATACTAATATTGATTTGAATAAAAATATAGAGTAATATTTGCACTCAATAACAAAGAATTAATCGTCAATTTAGATGACAAACAAATAATATATATTTGCTGTTGTCTGTGTCTTTTTTGCCTGACAAGCGAAATTATTCACTATATATATTTCAACATTATACTATTTTAATTTTACTAATTCATATATATAGACTTAAGTATTATTTAATTTATAATCTTATATAGGAGTTAAAAATTTACAATTCCGTGATTTTCAAACTAAAAGAATCTTTTGCTAAAGTTTAAAGGAGTAACTCAAAATATGAACGTCAACCTTTGTTTTTATTAATTGGTTTATGTAGAAAGAACTTTATTATTGAAAAAATTTCATCTACATCACAAAAGAATAGGGACCCAAAAGAAGATGCTTACGACTAATAAACTATTCTACCAACTATGTTTCTAGCAATCAAATCCCATTTTGTATGTGGGATTAAGTGACCTTCGAGTTAATATTATATCGGTTTTATATAAAAATAAAAAACATTTCTTGAATATATATACATGAAAAGTACATAGCAGATACGAAAACTATATAATAGATAAGTTTGAGGAAGAAGGAGTAGGTTTGATGTATACGAAAAGTATAACTACAGACTACAGTATAATGTCACAAAAATGAAAAAAAAGAAATTAGATATAAACACCATTTTAGTAACACAATAACTTTCTTTATTAAACTTGATTTTCACATCTTAGTTACATTTTGCTTCACGGACGAGCAATATTATAGACGACAAACACGTAAATGATCATCCATTATTTGTTTTTTACATCATAAAGTCATAATTAATTCAAACACATACATAAACATTAAACCATATATAATTAATTATTCATATATCCATAAGATTTTGAAAAACCTTCATAGCCGAATCAGGAAGTCCAAGCAACACGTTGATACTCTTCGTGTCGCTGCCACATGGCAAAAACAGAATCACTTCCTTCTCAGGTAAACCGACCGGTCCTGACACAACCGGTTCACCCCAACCGAAATCTTTAGTATGAAATGACAATTTTGCCCATGACGTGATCAGAAGCGTCGCCGTTAGACTCGGCCTAGCCCGTGTCACCTCAAAGTAATCAATTGCTGACCTCATGAAACCGTCGTTGACCATTTCGACGGCTCTTTTGACCAAACCCACTGAATGAGAAAGAGGGTTCAAAGTCACTTCACCTGCCGTTGTAACGGAATAAGTGAACACGATCCCGTTTCCTGAGTATCCTTTAGGAAGTTCCGGAACAAATCTTGACCGTCCATCCGCAGCAAATAGAAGTTTTATCCGTTGCTCTGGTTTAAGCCCTAAGGCTTGGCAACGAGCTCTCCATAGAAATCCGGTTAGGGTTTGGAAAGTAGTGGATCTTGTCTCTGCCATGACCTTGAGCTTCTCGAGTTTTTCGGGTCCGAAAAGAAAGGATTTGTAGACGAGTTTCTCGTCGGAGTAGAGTTTTCCGGTGCCGGAGATGTCATCGATTTCTTCGAACTCGTTGTGTGGGAAATCGATTTTTGGTGGGGTCCGGGGTTGGAGAAGCGTGCGGTCCAAGAAGGGTGGGACCGAAAGAGGGAGGCCACGAGCAGTCTCGGCCCAAGAGTTGAGGAATTCCATGGCTGCGATACCATCGAACATGTTGTGGTTCATGCCTAGGCCTAGCACGAATCCTCCACATTTGAAATTCGTCACCTAATAAACAAAACACAATATTTGTATACTTGTATGTATCAAAAGAAACTAGCATATACAATGGGTGCGATCAACTAAAAATTATTGGTGTAAAACTGCCTTCAAATAAACTGAATATTTTTTATTGTGATTTTGTTGGACTAATTAGAGTATTCACGCATGCATAATATAATGAATCTATATATGTTGATGATCTAATTCATTTATATAATAAATGTTTTTGAAACCAATATCAGACCAAACCCTAGTTTCTAGAGGTTTTCGTTCACTCACGCAAAACAGCAAGCAAAAAGAGTATCACTCGATCGATCAACCCCTCACCTGAACAACCACCGGTGGAATCTCAAGAATATTCCGGGCACCGGGAACGTCGTAAACCAGCTTTTCAAGAGTCTCCGGTTGATCAATCTCCGATATAGCCTTCTTGATTTTCTCTATCCCACAATTAGCCTCAGCTTCCACCACCACGACTCCTTCTCCGGTGCAATTCACTGCGATCTTTCCTTCGGGACTGATTACGAGTCTTCCTGCGGCAGGATAGTAGTGAACAAGAACCTCGGAGAGTGACTTCTTGATGACGTCAGCGGATTCCTCGTTGGATCTTGAGTTTGATTTGAAGTAGTAGAATGTTTTGACGATGATGGCTATGTTTTGATCGAGATTAGAGAGGTAATGAAGACCTTTTGGAGTTTCGGAGGCTGGAGAGACGAGAACGGGTTGTTTCCTGCTTACGATGAGCTCGAATGAGTCGGCCATTTCTAGCGTTTTTATCCGTGAAGAAAAACCAAAAGATGTTATATGTTTGGAGAATCGAGAATGTCTCTGAAATCTTGGGTGATTTTATCAGGGGGTTAAGTAGAGGCTAGGGTTTGAGGTTAATTGTGGTACAAGTAAAATTTCAGCAAATGGTAGAAGAAAGATGAAAAAGAGAGAGAGACGAGCCTTGAGGAACACATTTTTTTTTCTGGAGATTTAAATACTTTTAAGTTTCTTTTTTCATTTAAATGCTATAAAAATGAAGTTTAATTACATTTACAGGGTATATCAATTATTGTATTCTGTTCGATCAGAAGATTTTGTTTCACTGCAACATCAACATGCTTAATTCTAGTCTTTTGAATATATAGCTAGTGCAAACTCTTGTTATGGCTTCATCATGGCCAAGAGATGAAATATAACACCTTCATAATTTAAGAACATATATGAATTATATGGTTTCACCATACTGACACGTTCATTATTTAAGAAATATAATACCGCAGACCATAGAATATACTAATTTTTGTTTGTTAGTTTTTCGACCTTGTACATGTCAAGAACCGGGCACAAATATTGGGATCGTTTAAATTGTATATAATTAAATAACTGGATAATAATTTGTACGCTGTTGGAATTTTATCAGTAATACTTTGTTGTAATATAAGAAAAATATACTTCAAATAAATGCGTAGATGGTCAATGAAACAATCGATTACATAATATATTTTTAACAATTGGTGAGGGCCATCTTTGAACAGCCTGTGTTGGATCTATTATTATGTTTACATTTAAAGTTTGAAGAACTGTAGAGTCTTGACTTCTGTTAATAAATCAAATATAGTGGTGATTTAATTTCAGTGTAAAACAAAGGGAGTTGGTGGCTAGTATCAAGCCACCAAATCATAAACCAAACTCTTCACAAACGAAAAGATCTCATTTGGATAGGATTCTATATATAAATAGCATTAGTTGTACTAGTCTTATATTGATAATTGATTGAATTAACTTGGCGTCAAGAAAAACTGAATATACTTCACCAAATCCAATATTTCAATCCAATAATAATCTCTCTTTTTTTAAAAGTTACTGCCTAATTAAAACCCATAATATCACTTGGACTAAAAAAAGAGACCAGAAATGATGAGCTTAATTAGGCTAGTTATTTACTTAAAAGTCAACAACATTTAGAAAAAAAGAGAACTATAAAACAAAAAAAATTAAAGTGTTGCCAAAAAGAATAATATTGGGTAGCAGCTTATTAATGTCAACCGAATCCAATCCCGTCTATAAATTTGACACATGCGTTGTAAAGTTTCAGACAATAGTTTTGATATCCTCAGAATGATTTCTTTTTTTTTTGTTTCGAGAGTTTTATAATTGAGATTAATTAAAAGCTATTTTACTCAAAAACTAATTGAGAGTTGGTGTAACTTTTTTTGTTGTTCTGCATTCGGCTTTTGAGATTTGGGCTTTGTTTCGATAAGATTATACTATGGTTATGAGTTTATAGAGTAATTCAAATGAAGCAAAGATGTTCATGATAAGTGTTTGAAATTGTTCGGTTTGTCACGAGTCGTTGGTTTATAAGGATAATGATCGAACCTTTGTTAATCTTTGATATGATAAAAGTTATCCAGAGGAATCTGGTGGGGTCACATCGAAACTTAACAAGGGTTCGATCATCATCTTTATACACCAGCGGCTCGAAACAAATTGAACAATTTGAAACAATCACATCATAAACATATTTGCTTTTATTTGAATTACTCTCTAAACTCATAACCATAGTATAATATCATGAAAACAAAATCTAAGTCCAAAAAGTCAAACCAAATCTCAGTTTGTTTTCGAGTAAAACGTTTTTTAATTAAATTTTAATTATAAAACTCTTTTTTTAACATTTCAATTACAGAACTCTTGAAATAAAGAAAAAGAAATAGCTATTGTATAAAACTCAACAAAGGACGTATCACATTTTATAGACAGGACTGGATTTGGTTAACATTAATAATCTGTTACCCACCCAATATTATACTTTTTTGCAACACTTTTTTTGTTTGGTAGTTTTCTTTTTTCTTAATGTTAATGATGTCAGTAAGAGTTACAGCTTTAAAGTATTTGAACCCAAAATAAAGTAAGTGACTAGTCATTCGGCCCAAAATCGGAACAAAGAACATACTTTTAAGTAAGTTACTAGCAGCCCATAATTTCATTCGGCCCAAAATCGAAAAACAGAATATACGAAGATGTCTTAAAATTGAAGGGACTCAGAATAATAAAATTTCCTATCAGAGGGTATCAAATAGAACACGGATTAGAAAACCTAACATGTAACAGCTACACAAGAAGAAGACGCTGAAAACTATATAAAGATTACACAATACAAAAGTACAGAGACTCAACACTCTCTAATTATCACTTGCTCTGATCCAACACAAATGCTGATCACTTTTGCTTCTCTTGAGAGAAGAAAGTCACTAATCCTTTTGCTTTTCTTCTTCATCCTTTTCTTTGTCACTTTCAGCCTCAGCTTTTTCCTCTTCATCATCTTCTTCTTCCTCCTTCTCTTTGTCACTTCCAGCCTCAGATTTTTCATCTTCGTCTTCTTCTTCATCAGTCATTTCATTTATAGCATCTGTGATAACATCCTTCACCTCTGGTTTTCTTTGCGAGAGATCAACACCGAAATGGTCGCCTGATGTTATTGCAAACAGCAAATATTACCAGAAAGCTCCTCAACATTTGTAGAGTATATAATTAAACAAGGAATAAATAAGCCAAAATCAAAGAACGTACTTAGCCTCTGTAGAATATCTGATAATGTTGCCTGTTATTAAGAAAAGAAAAATAATGAGTATATAAGATCATTTATTCAAGGCTTCTAGACCATTAAATTTCAACCGGTATCAGCAAATTGAACAAGCTCACCGTATTGAAGTCTACTTCCTTCAGAATTGTGGACACCACTGCAAGCATCTCTTCTCTGGTGGGGCCTGCTTTGCCTTTCTTAGTGGCTTTTCCTGTATCCAATTCATGATAGTGTAAAGCAACGAGCTTCGAAGAGAGATTGATTTCTTAAAAAAAAAAAAAAATCTCAAACAAGGCTAAGCTTTAGATGCAGCTGAGAATGGTTGTTACCTTTCTCCTTAGATCCCTTAGCCTGTGGCCTACTTGACTGTTTCTTGCTTTTCTCTTTAGACGACTCGTCGTGATCAATTTTTTGCTTCTTGGTTGGGGATGAAGCTGACTTAGAACCTTTTTTGGAGGACTTTTCACCTATTTTTTTATTACCTTTGGCTGAAGCTTGTTTCTCCTTACCTTTGGTACCTGAGGTCTCTTCTTCAGTCTTTTTCGATGAGCTTTTCTTATCTGATGGCTTTTTATCCTCTGCTTCGTCTTTCTCATCTTCAGTTTCAGTCTTCTCATGGTCACTTTCTTCTTCTGGTGCTGCATCGTCTTCTACATGAGAATCCTTACTGCCTTCAGAATCAGAATCTCCCTCATCCTTGCCTGCATCTGTGTCCAACGGCCGATCTCGCTTTTTGGTTTGCCTTTTCCTCTGTATAGTAACAAAAAATACACACACAGGTGATGTTTGTAAAACCCATGTTCAGCAGCAAATAAATCAAGTAACACAGATGAAAAAGAGCATATAAGAATGCTGATTATAAATTTGTAATCCAGCCATACACATATTTACAACCAAAATATCAGCCATATGAGGAACAGATTAGAAAGCAAAAACTAGAATATGAGCTAATGGTAACATTTACTAGCTAGTAGCATGCAAGGAGTGCAAACTTTGCTATAATTTAGAGATAGAAGTATAGAAAATACAAACCTTGGCTGGCGTCTCTGAAGATTCTCCTGATTTCCCCCTTTTTGATGTGCTCTTGCGCTTTTTGGCTTGCTAAAATATAATTCCAAAACAATTCAATGCTTCCATACTGACGATAAACATGTACAGCAATAATGTAACTGAATCAAACAGTACCTTCTCTCGATCAGCAAGTATAACATCTCTTGTTGGTTTGGGAGATTCCAAAAATTCAAGCACTTTGACAGCTAGTTCTTCCTGAGTATCAGGCCAGAGTAATTTTAGAATATAGAACAAGGTACAATAAACAGATGAACTACATCTTCTTATCACTTACTTTTTTCACGTTACTTCTGCTTATAGGTATATCAAGTACATCACAAAAGAAGATTAATTTTTCTTTTATGCATTTGTCAAGCTTCTCCTTTGCTCGTGCTCTTTGCTTCTCCTCCTGGAAAACATTGAAAATCTTAAAAACCCGTAGGATCCAAATTTTAAAGGAATTCCTGCCAAGATGACTTATTTGAATAACCCGGTGACCCACCAATTGTAGAAGTAGGATCTTTGGCAAGCAATAAGTACTTTATTGCAAGTCTTAACACGAGGCAAAAAAACAGAATACGAGTCAAAACAGAATACAAGTCACCGTAACAAAATACCTCTTTCTCTGACCATACAAAGCCAGAAAACTGACCAATGTTTTTCTTAATCATCTGAGCCTGCAGAGCAATTTTCACAAAACTCTTGTAAGTAGAAATGCAATCTAGGGCAGAGAAACAATGAAAATGCCAAAAGTACATCCATATCACATGAATAGGCCATAGGGACACAAGCTTGAGGAGTAAAATATACATATCAAAATGTGGCAAAATATGATCAAACTTATAAAGCACCTTTGCTTTCTTCCCATAAAGAATGGTGTGTAGTAAGACCAGGTTGTCGTCAGCCTTTCTCTTGGATAGTTGATAAGCCACTGAAACAGCCAACATTATGAACAGTAAATGAACGTTAAGGCTCTGTCAAGAGAAGGAACTATATTTTCCACCCAAACTTAGATAATCATACATAAGAAAAACAAAAGGCTAATTGTGATAGCTACGAAATGAATCATTCAACCAGATAGTCAGTATCCAATTGGTAGAAACCAAAAGCCCAAGCTTGCCTAAGATGTTCATTATGGATCTACGATTCTGTCTATAATCTCACACCTATCTCATCTTCTACGTTTAAAAGATGTGTCAAAGCAGCAAAGATTGTATGTACATACGTACCGTTTGGAATTTCCCTGAGTGTTGTTCCACTGCCCTGAGAAAACACAGAAACCAAAACTAGTTGAAAACAGCATATAAAAAGAAATCTATCAAATTCTCACAATGCAATCCAATTTCAGTCAAGATACCTTTTCGATTAAAACGGACTTGCTCGGTGTAGCCCGCATAGGAGTAGCCAACGAGAAACGCTCAACCTTCTTTCTCTCCCTCGTGGGCCTATCACTAGTCGGAGTCACCGCCTCCTTCTCCGACGATTTCTTGCTTTCGCTTCCATCTTCTTCTTCGTCCTCCTCGCTTTCTATATCCTCTTCTTCGTCCTTCTTCTCCAATTTTGCTTCTTTCTCTCCATCCTCCTCTACCTCTTTCTTCTTCTCCGCATCATCATTTCCCGGAGAATCCGCTTCTTCTTTCACTATTCCCTTCTCATCCGTAGCATTACCGGCACCATCTTCATCTCTCTCCTCCGATTTTATTTCTTTCGCTTCATCCTCCTCTACCTCTTTCTTCATCTCCGCCTCGTCTTTTTCCGGAGAATTCGCTTCTTCTTTCACTATCGCCTTCTCCTCCGGAGAATTACCAGCACCATCTTCCTCCTTCGCCGGAGATTTGACTTCCGGTGTCTTCTCTTCTAGGGTTTCAGTCGCCATGCGAGTCCAAAAGGAAAAAACAAAATCGAAGCGAATTAAGACGGAAAAGGGTAAAGACAAAACTAGATCTCAGAGGTTTTCGTGAGAATCTCAAAAACCCTAAATCAAGAAGACAAACGATTAAGAGGAGAAACAAAACCAAATTTTTTGGGGATTTCAAAATTTCTGGTGCCAAAAATTGGAACGCAAAGGCGGGCTCTCTCGTCACCGAAATTTTCACTGAAAATAAGCTCGCGGCAAAACTACCCAATATATATATATACATACATACACATATATACACAAAACTCGGCCCAATATTATAATGGGCCTATTTTAGGTTTCGACTTTTCTCTTCTGACAAAACAAGTTTTTTCAAAAAAGCAAAAAGGCTTTATTAATTGAAAATAGACTTTGGAGGGAAAAGGAAAGAAATCCCCAACTTTCGCCGGCGAAATGCCTAGACGACGCCTGAGGCTCCGATATTCCTCCGACGAGGAAGAAGACGAAGATGAAATTGGAACAAGCGGAATCGTTGATTCTGCTCAGAGCGTTGGTCTTGCCCCTTCTGTGCATTTGGAAACCTCAGCAGCGCCAACTTCTTACCCTAATCCCGGCGAGCCAGTCACGGTATCGGAAGTTGAGATTATCGACGATTCTGGTAATCCCACTTCTACTAGTATTCCTACATCGTATCCGTTTTATCCGGTGGAGTCAGAAGCCGAAAATGTCTATGACTCGCCGATCGCTGAGGTTCTCTCTCGAAGGGGGATTAAATTGAAGGCGGAGTGGTGGGTCTCTTGTCTTGCTGGACTTGAAACTTCCGTTCCGCAATTTTCTCGCCTCGAAGCAGCAGCAAAAGCGAAGCATTGCTTCGAGCAGTTTCTGTTTTCCGACATGAATCTATGCGGAGGTGGGGTTCTTCCTCGGAGTGTTGCGTCTATGAATCTTGTAGAACTCGCCGGTCCCTTTGTTCTGCAGGTTATCAACTGGTTTGTTCCTTTTTTTGGGTTTTCACTATCTCGTTAGACCTGTATATATAATGCACAAAGTGTGATTTCTACTGAAGCTTCTGCTTAATCCTTCTACTTCAGGTTGATGAGATTGTTAACATCGGGTGTCCACTCAAAGGAAGGTATGAAAATGCCAATGCAGGACTTAAGAGGTGCCTTAAGCTGTCTATGACAGATGGTGTTCAACGTGTTTTCGGTATGGAATACAGACCTATTAAAGATCTTCAAGTCTTGGCTCCTGCTGGTTTAAAGGTGTGTTACCTATTAAATACTGAATTCTCTAATGGATTCACATATGTGTTCTTAGTATAAGCACTGACAAGAACAGCTGAAATGCAGATCGTTGTATCTAGTGTACAAGTTCGGCATGGGCTTTTGATGCTAGTACCTGAGATTGTAGAAGTTTTAGGAGGGATGGTTGAAGAATTGGAAGAAGCACGAAAGCGTCTGGTTGTTGAAGTAAACAAACCTCCAAGAGGAAAAAGGTAAGATTATTTCAGAAATGATTTACTTTGTTTAGAACTTGGTGGATGCACCAGTTAAGTTAATTTGGCATTTGCAAATCTCTTCCTGTTGGCAAATATTTGGATTGGAATCTCTTGGAAACTTAATCCATGATTTTACGTTAACAGATTTTATACACACCACCAGTCATCTTCTCTAACTCCAGTTGTTAATTTTACCCTTCTTGTCGAAGCTCTTATTGGATTTAACTTTTGCAGAACGAGGAGCGGGGTGGTTCCTGCATTGGCAACCAGAGCAACTCTAGCTGCATGGTCCCTGAATGACAATGCTACTGGTAATCAAGTAAATATTTCTACCTCGGGAAATGCTAGTCACGTTCAGGCCAATGGTCAAGGTAGGGATGTTTCTACATTAATTAATCTTCTTGCTCTGAAAAAAACTGTATGTCTCATTTCTCTGGTAAAGCGTAACACGGTAGAGCCGAATCAGGGTTCTTGTGTGTACTATGTTGATTCCTCACTAAACGAAAGTCACAACATTAGAAAATATTTTGGTGTCTTTCTGAGAGGAAGATGGTTGTTATCAGAAACTTTTGGTAACATGAGACAACACTTTCTTTTGAGATTAGTAGTGGCTATTACCTCTCTTTTAACCAAAACACGTATGGCAGGCATTTCCCTGAATGTAACAAGAACTCATATCAGTCCGAGGATGATGAACGAACCTCCTGGTTCCATCAATGTGGAAGCTACTGTTTCGTGGGTTGCGCATACGCAGATTGATACTGCTTCTGCGCAGGGGGAAAGACCGTTTTCTGATTTACGCTCGACGTCTAGTAACATTCGCATGACAGGATCCGCAGCTGGTACTAGCGGTAGCGGTAGAAGACCTTTCTACAACAACGGTGGCGAATATACCTTGGATCAGCAAACATCTAGCGTGACTTCATTTGTTGAAGAAATGCATATCGACAATGGTCGTGCAAGGGATGCGACGAGTCCTGTATATGGTTCAGGTTCAGGCGCTGTAGCAGATGCAGAAGTAAGTGATATGGTTATCGATTTGGAAATCCCTTCTGTGATGTCTACAAATACGGAGACGCCGTTCACGTACATGGCCGAGTTGTCTCAAAAGTGGGCAGTAATGAAAGATACAATGCATTTTGTTCAAGGAAAGATTAAGGTACGAACGCCACTTATCAAAAGAAACTCCCAGTCTTCAATCGATGCGGGTTTCTGTCTTTGAAACTTACGAATCCATTTTTGTAGTGTTTTCTAACCGGAGTGAAGAAATTCAATTTCAAGCAAGAGCCTAAATTTGAGCTTATATGCCACGTCGATGATGGTAGTCTCATCTGTGAGATCTTGCTCCATAATGACGTGAGTCTCATCTCTCATCTCTCAATTTGTTTGCCGTGTTAGAATGAAAATGGTCCATCATTAGGTGCATGTGATTCCCTCTGCAGGTTGTACAAAAACGGTTAGGTCATTCATCCATGGAGGTCACAGCTGCTCTTTCCTCTTCAGCATCAACAACAGTAAATGCGATGATGAAGGAGAAACTAAAACGCTTCCAGTTGTTTCTAGCTGACTTCGAGGTAAACTCGCTAGCCTTTTATAGTTGAAAGTCCATCAGTAGTCATCCATGATCAGACACATCAAACATAGTTTGCTTTCGAACAGAAGTTGAATATAGAAACTATGCTTAAGACTGAATGAGAAAACCCAAAGCAAGACACGAACCAGACTAGTTTTTTTGTTTGGGGGTGGTCGAAATTGTTAATTTTTAATGATGATGCAGGGAATGATGGTGGTAGAAATGAACAGATCATCGCAATATCCAGTAGCTATTGAAATGAATCAGGGATGTTCATTAAACGATGCTCGTTTACTCTTTGAAAGAATCAAATCTTCTACAACAGCATCGTCACGCATAGCTCCAGTTGTTGTTTTATCCCCTTGACCGTGAAGCAGTGAGGGGATTTTAGGGACTTCATCTTTATCTTCTTACTCCTTCCTGGTTCAACCAAACCGGGTAATTTTAGTTTTGGTAACTAACTAACCCGGGTCTTATAATTTATTAGTATGAAGTACAGTATTTTCAGTTCTTTTAGTTTTAGATAGTAACTTTTCAAATTAACAAGTAGATAGGTATTTATTTTTGAGGATATCACAAAGGTTATATGAATTTTCAATTTATACATGTTTTTAGCGGCATCTTGTTATGAGTCTATTAGCAGTCGGTAATCTTGAACCAGGTGAATCCTCGAAAATTTTGCTATTAAATTTAGTTCTTAAATTCTTGAATCCTTGTAAAGATTGAAAGAGCTTTATACTTTTTGATTTGTTTAAAGATTAAAAGGTCTCTGAATTTTTTTTTAACGTGTAAAGAGCCTTTTCTAATAATGTAAAATCTCTGTTAAAAAAATTTTAGATTTACAGTTTACATACCTCTAGAAACTTGTGGATAAATTAAGGTAAGCTTTCCCGTTTTTTTTCCTTTGTTTTATAGATCTCCGGTTCTATTCATCCTTTTCTGTTGATTTTGTGACTCATATGTAACAGAGAGTCCATTATGGGTAAAAAACAAGAATTGGGATTTGATAAGTTTTGTTTGACTTGTGTGTTTGAGTCTTTTCTTCTTTTTTTGTCCGAATTTAACTTGAGTCTTGTTTAGGGAAAAACACAGTGTAATGTTTTTTCGGTAGTTTCAAATAATACAGCAAAGTCCTTTATTCGTTTTTTCCTCTGTAATTTTTTTTTTGTTAATGACTAAAAATAGGAAGAAAAGTTTTTTTTCTTTTAGATTTTTTTCCTAATTGAATATAAAACCATACATAATACGGAACATAATCCTCGAATGAACTATGCGCGCAATTTTCCCCAAACAGCCGATTTCAAATCTTTGAAAATTGGTTTTTTCCGAAGTCAGGTTACATCGGTGGTATAAAGCGATTGAAATATGGACCATTAAGCCCAGTAGACGGACCTAAAAAGATATGAAATGACACAAAAAGAATAACGAAATTGGCCCTCTAGGCATAATGCTACATCGTAGCACACAATAACAGGTCATCTTCAGCCACCCATCTCAGCTTCTTTGCCTTTACCCCCACTAAGTGATGGGATTTAAAGACCTTTGTTTTTTCAAAATTTCTTATAATCTTTTCTTAGAAAAGTTTAACTTTCTTTATTTTCAATAAGTATTTTATGAATGATTGTTCTATAGATTTGGCTCATGTCTAAATCTCAACAAAATTCTTGATAAAAATCAAAATCATCTTATCATGTCATCATTTTTCGGCAGATAAAAATTTATTTGCTTTGTTTTCTTCTGTCACAGACCTACATTTCTTCTTTAATGTGTTTCACATATAGAACTCGTTAACTGAGTGGACTTTAACAAAAAAAACAGTTCTTCTTGTTTTTCCTTCTTTTATTATGGGTCTACATCCTTTTGTGTTTGTGTGTGTATGTGTATTATTAGGCTTTCGATTATCTGTACTTTCTATTTTTTTCTGTGTTTAAGTTTGCATGATATAATACAGTATAATACTTTACCTTTCAGCCAAAACATGATATTTTCATTGTATCAAAACATCAATTATAGCATATGAACCGAACACAACCATACCCAACAAAATTAAAACCTTCGTGTATATAAGAAACCAAATTATATTTAATCTATTGTACTCGTATAAGTCTAGAATCCGGTAAGTGAGTGGTCTCCAACAGAAATATTGTACTATCGTTTCCCGCAGGTCTTTACTTTTTCATTTTAAACTAATCTAAGCTGTTCAATATAATTACAGTTGAAATTTGAAACCTGTCCTATCTATCTACAATATGATAGATTTTGGATCTAAATCTTCAGTATGGTGCATATCTTATGAAGCATGAGTTGAATCGCTTCACTCAAAATAGAGATAAAATAGGATAAATTAGAAGAAAGAATGAAAAAATGAAAAAAATGCTTTTTAAAAAACTGAAAAAAATGAAAAAATGGTATATGTATAAAGATGACAACTACAGGATAATATATTGCACTGCAGTTGGCGCCAAAATTAGAAGTCGCAAAATAATTGAAACGAATACAGTAGTTGGTAATAGGGATGGATCTATTAACTAGTTTTAGAGTTTTATGAAATTCAGGTAAATGAATCAAAAGATGTTGATGGTCCCAGCACTTTCAGAGATTGGGTTAAATGGTCGAGTCAGTCACGGTTCGGTCGCAATCAAACTAATTTAATGAAATCTGGTCATGTGTCTCAATATTTAACGACGTTGTTATTATCGTCCTTTTCTAAAACCGCAGTTTTTGCCATACAGACTAAAATGAAAAATCAGTTATGATGTTATTAGTATAACTCTACAATCGCTTACGTTACGTATAAATAAACTTATTAATTATCTATACGTTTAGTCGCATACGTATATATACGTACATATGCAAAGAACACGTAGCTTGTAGTTGTAACGTATATCCATGTATGTCTTCTACAAAAGGTTATAGTTGAATGTATGGCCCAAAAGGTTAACAGAAAGAAGAAAAGGGCCAACAAAATTAATAAACGCCATTACCCCCATCCACACTTTTACCATTTTTAAACAAAAAATATAATACAGAAAATATAAGAGAATTTTTTTTCAACTCTAAATAAAGAGATTGTACTAGAAAAATATAAGATTTTAACAAATAAAGTGCCATATACGATCATACAAAAGCTATTAATACTAACGTTTTTAATTTGATGTTTGTTTCATTTTTACAGTGATTAAATGTTACTCCCTTCGTTCAAAATAAATGTTGTTTTAGAGTTTTATTTTTGTTTCATTTTTTTGTATTTTTAATGTAATTTTCTAAACAAAAATTCTGTTTTAATTTTATTAAATTAATGTATTAATTAGAAAAAGAATGTTATTTTGTGTGTAAACAAAAAATAAAATAGAATTTTTAATATTTTTTTTTAATTTATGTGAAAAATATTAAAATAACAATTATTTTGAAACAAAACAAATAAAATTTTACGGCCAAATTTCAAATATATATAATCTTAAAAAATAAATAAAAAACCTACCGACATTGGAAAAGAACTTTTATTTTGTCATCATTGGATAAATAACTTTCTACTGTAACCCTTGTATATATATGTACCGTTTTTCCTAATAGTCTGCTTCGAGAGACAGATGGGTGATTTCCTCGACGGCAAAAAATGAAAGAAAATTTTATTCTTAGGAAGAAAAAAAAAATTCTTGAGTAATTTTACATCTTTTTAGTAAAGAAAGTAAATACTGTAAAAAGAGTTTGTTTTCTTTTAACTTTTGTTTGTTTCGAAGAGGAATCGAGTATATATAATTAATAAAAAATAAAAAAAACGGTGCGTCCAATAAAAGAAGCGACAAAAGTTGAGTACGAAAGCACAGGTTTAGAGGAAGTGGTGGCGGGTCACGTGGGCTCATTCATATAAACTGTACGTCCTCAGAGATGGCACGGACCCATCACGTGGGGTCCACGTGTTAACAGCGTCACATCACGGCCTGCTGTTAGCTTCACACTGCACGCGCTGCGTAGGCGCGTTAGATTCTGGAGTCTACCTCGCTAGTCGCTAGAATAGAATGTTCTTTGTTCTTTTGCTTACGATGCGAAGACGTCACGAGCTGTTGGCACGTGTCATTGACGCGCGGCGAATTGAGAGTTTTTGGATTCCGTATCTGTTTACAGAACTATGTATATATATGTCTGAAGAACTTTTTTTTTTTTAATTCTATCTTTGAATATGTGACGATTTGTAATAAAAAAAAACTTTAAATACAGTTATGACAAAGAGGTTTATAATTGTTGGTAGAGTTTAAATATAAAAAGTTATTGTGACATATTTATACTTATACTCCTGTTATTTTGGTTTTCTTAACATGTTGATGTAAGATTTCGATATGAAGTACAAGTTTTGCTGTTGTCGGTATTAATTAAGATAAGGTAAACCACTGGATTATCCACATTAAATTTAAAAAACTCAATCTGCCATAAAAAATCATCAGAAATTGTTTTTGGGAACTTCGATTTTCCAATTAGTAATGCTGTAATCTCAATATGAAAAAACAACATAGGATTCTTAATTCTTTTTTAAAAGATTGATTGATGCTACGTGCCACCGATTAGTTTCTAACAACACATGATGGCCGCAAAATTTATTCAGAAGAAAAAATTATAAACATTTAACAAAAATAAAAATAAATAATCATAACACAATTGACAAACACCCATGGCAAGTTTAAGATAAGGCAGCATTTTCATTAACTTTAGTAGTACAATATATGGACCAACCTTTTTTATAGAGGCAAGAAAATAGTGTTTCACCTAACTATTAATAATTCATCAATAAACACTCTAAGCAACGTTCTCTTTTTATAGGGAGAAGTGTAAAAAGGGTTTATACTAGGTAATACTATTAAGGTTATTTATAACATCTTCCGTTCTTCCACAAGCTTCCAACTACTCCTTATTCCAGTGACCAGTAGTAGTATATTACTATATTGGATTTTAATTACTAATCAGGGTGGATAATGCAGTTATAAGAACTTAGTGCAGTTGAGTCAAAAGAAGCACTAATGTTCAACTGGTCACTTGGCATGCAAGGAATTTAGTTAACTTTTCAGTACATAACACTTTTGTAAATTTGCTTAGACTAACCATATTTATAAATATGTAATAAAATATTGGAATATATTAAAAAGTGTAAGTTGATCTTCGGTGCATGTTTTTTTTTAACAAGGTTTACTATTGAAACAACTTTTTATGTACTGTTATGAAGAAAACTTGAACGACTTTGTATGTACTGTAAAATAAAAATTTTAATGTAAACGATTGTAAATTTGTCTAAAAAAACTATTGTAAAATTTTATTTATTATATTGCTTATAGCCATTAAAAACAATTCGTAATTACTGACTTGTTTTTAATGTAAAATTACACTTAAAAGAAGAAAAAAAAAGCTGCACAAACACAATAAAAAGAAAACCACATGCAAAGAGCGACAGCAAAGGCCGCACGTATCCACTTCATCAAAATTGTTCAAAATATTCCCAATTATACCCTTTAGCGTTTGCGGTTTTCTTTGTTTACATAACGGTACATGCGTTTGGATTCTCGTCGCTAAATATTTGAGGCGGATAAGCATGAGGCGGCATTTCCATAGGCGGAATCGCCACACGCGGCGGTTGGTAATAATAGTAGTAATAAGGATTCTCAATCTTCCTCACCTCCACCACTTTTTCACCTTCCTCCCCACCGCCACCGCTTTCATCACCTCCACCATTTTTCCCGGCTTCACCTTCCCCTTTGCCGCCATCCCCTTCTTTCTTTTCTTCATCTGTCTTCGCCTTCTCGTCCTTCCCTTCCTCGCCTTTGGATTCTCCTCCGCCATTTTCTCCTTTTCCTTCTTCCTTCTTCTCTGCTTCTGCTGCCGCAGCTGCCTCCTCCGGTGGCGGTGGAGGCGGTGGGTCAATTTTCATAATCGCAGCATGTTTTCCAGTCCGCTTATAAACGTATTCTACGAGCTTTTGCGGTTCAAACACTCCTTTCACCGTCACTTGAGAACCCTTTAAATCGGATTCAGCAGATTCCACTCCTACAATTTATTAAAATGATAAGAAATATAGAATTGTACTATCAAAGTGACAGGGCCAAATGCATTTTGACCCCACTACATTATAACTGGAACAAAATTAAATGATATAAGTATGGTTACATAAGCTTTTTAGACAATTATGAATAGATAATATCACGTGTGTATGTATTTTAAAGTCGAAGCAATATCATCTTCATTTCACATTGTATGAACCAAATTTGATACAACTACAGAACTTACGAAACATAACATAAAAGTTGGTGACAAGTGGATGATGATTTTGCAAGATATTGAAACGGTTTATGTACCGATAATATATTGGACAGACAAAAGAAAAGGTAAAATTTTAAAAAGCTTACGTTTTCTTTCATTTTAATGATTACCATTATCACTTATCAGTATTCCTAAAAAAAAGTATCAAGTGTTGCTCTCCGCAGAGAAAAACTAAAGTCTTAAAACTAATTGGTAGAAATAGGCTTACAGTTAATGCGAAATTAATGTTTATATATAAAAAGTCCAATATCTTAAGTAATGTATTATCCTGGAAGGAGTTGTAAAAGTAAAAAAAAAAAAAAAAAACATACCTTTCATTCTCATGATCCGTTTCTTGATCTCCGTCGCACAAGCTTCGCAGTGCATGTGAACCTTGAGGACCACCGTAACCACTACGGGAGGCTGTTAATAAAACAACTACTTAACCCAAATTCCATATCATAATATAATAAACAGAAATTCATATCATGAAACCATCAAATAAAAATAAAATAAAAATATGCCACTCCTACCAATACACCCCCATGTGAAATCGCTGCAAAGAGAGGGGAATATTTCCTTTTTATTATATTGAATATTCATTTGTTTATATTATATTTTATTTAGGAGTAAGATTAATCGATTACCCTAAGTATATGTATGTGTTTTACTTTCTTTGTTTATTTTTTAAAATATCGAATTTATTTAACCGGAAAAACTTACAATAAGATATTGAAAGCCTTGAGACCACAAAAGTTACCTCCACTTTCTTCTCTTCCGCTTTGGGTTTCTCCTCCTCTGCTTTCTTCTCCGGCGGTGGAGACGGCGGAGGAATCGGAGAAAGAAGCACAACTTGACGGTGGGTCTTCCTCTGAACTCTTGCTAACACTTTCAATGGATCAGCTTTCTCTCCCTTCACCACCACTTTCCCCGTTTTACAATCAGTCATCACATCTTCCACACCTTATATAAAAATAAACCAAAAATCATAGATTTAAATTCATATATCTTATGTAGTTGTATCATTAGCTTACCATGTTTACCTAAAAACAGAATTTCTAGTTTGAATGTTTTATTATTTATTTATAATACTAAAAGCATAATCCAAACTTCCTGTGGTCCTACACATAAAATAAATAACGCACATAACTATACTTATATACGAAATTAACAACAACAAAACTGCAGTTAACAGAAAAGATATAGTAACAGACTTATTCGAGCCTTCAAGATCAACTCATGCTTTATTTGTTCTTGATAAAATGCTTTATTTGTTGAGTCTGGGATTCGTTGAAAACCAAATATTTCAAATATATGCTTCGATTGTTTGTTTTTGTATTTTTCAAATGAAACCCCCAAGATTATAAACAAATGTTTTGTTCGTCGTAAAAGCCAACACCAAATGTTTGGTTTTTGTGAAATCTATTCTAAAAAAAACTAAAACGTATACTTTTTATAAAAAAAAATTACATCATAGAAATAATAATGTATTTTTGCATATATCGTATATCTGCAATTTATACGTACCTTCGAAGCCTTTGAGGCAACGGCGGACTTTTCTAGCACAGCCTTCACAGTGCATGTAAACCTTAAGGACGATCTCTTGCGGCGGAGGAGGAGGTGCTGGAACCTCTGCCTTCGGAGGAGAAGCTTCTTTGGAATCTTTAGTAGATTCTTCTTCTTGAGTTTTCTTCTCAGAATCTTCTCCTTTTTTCTCATTAGCTTCCACTTTCTTTTCTTCTCCTTCTTTTTTCTCATCTTCTGGTTTCTTCTCTTCCATCTTCTTCTCCTCTGCTGCTTCTGGTTTCTTCTCCTCCTGAGACCCAACAAACAAAGAGTCTTGATTAGAATACAATTACTATGATTATTCATGGAGATTTGAAAATATGATATAAGAGTTTGGGATTTTCTTGAACCTCTCCCATTTTTTTTAAAGGCTTTGAGTGTTTCTATGTTCACAAAAAAAATTGTATTGCCAAAGAGAAACTTATAAATCTCTCTCTCACGCTCTCTCTCTCCCTCTGTAAAGAACCACTTGGGGTGTTGGTACGAAGGTGGAACTGTGGACCTCAAGATCTGTAAAGAAATGTAAATTATTTTGTTTTATTCCCTTTTAAACATGACTTATACGTGAACCTAATAGTACTTAATTTATTATTTCATTCAATTGTTTATCAGTCAAAAAACACCTAATACTCACGCAAAATGTGTTCCTCGATATATAGTTAAAAGTTAAAACTGTCAAAACGCAATTCTAGTTCTCGAGATTGACAGTTTATGGATTGTCCAATCATGTATTTTTACTTCATATATATCTAGAAATTTAAATTTAATTAATCACTTTTAGCTGATGATTTATTCTTTTAAAAAAAATTATGGCCGTTTTCAATCAATATTTTAGAAACATACCATCGTCAATAGTTTTCCATTGTGGAAATCGAATTAGTTGAAAAAAAAATTCATTTTTAAAAAATCATATCCTTGCAGCTTTTAAATAATGTATTTTCAATCATATATGTTTCGAAACAACGGATGAGAATAATTACTTCTTTTGATCTTTCATATGAAAGTTATAACTCGTATTGTTATGGGTTAAAAGGTAAGATAATTACCAACGGATGTAAGAAAAATGAAGAACCAATGATACATCTATGATCTACTCCTGACCCTCTTGTAATGAAAAGAAAAACATTAAAAGTGACAAAATGACTACTGACTCTCTCTCGATTTTACACATATACACACTTTTTTATCCTTCTGAACGTGTAGCTCATTTGGTTTGTAGGTTATGCTCCACCAAACGAGTTCGAGTAAAGTCAGAAAGACGAGAACATTTTCTTTTTACCCCTTTCAAAATTTTATATAAATACTCTTATGATATTATATTATTACTTTTATGATTAGTTGAAAATTTTCTAATTTACTTATTAAATAATACCTTTTGAACAAACTATTTTTCTTAATATTTGTGTATTTGTTCAAAACAACTTACATTTTGAAATAGAGGGATATGTTAATTGAATAAAATGCATGTTGTTAACATGAGATGCTCATGAGAAGTGAGCAAACACGGCATTCGTGATAACAACTAATACCTATGGCTATGGCTAAACCTAAAGTAGCAATGAAGTTGTGTTATAAAAATACCTCTAGAAAAAGAAGAGCAATGGTGACATAATTGCACACAGTTTCCCTTAATCCATAAAGCACATCTTTTAATGCCGATTAATTAATGTTTTAGATATATGTCTACTTTTTAAAACAATCGAACATTTTGAACCGAAACGCATACTAAAATGCCAAGTATGTGACGCGTACACATAAGCGAACTATATACTAGTTGAAAGTGTTATTTTCATTTCTAATGTGATTTTGACATTATTTTTTCTTTACAACTAATAAATGTTGAATTCAAATAAGTTATACTTAATTTGTAGTATATTAGAAATAAGTTTTTCTTGGTTACTAATATGTCGAAATGATATTTTTTGAAACAAAATAAATATATCTTTGTCAGTTTTTTTCTATATTTTGTTGTTAATTAGAATTCTTTCGTACTCTAAAATAACTTAGATTACATTGTCGAATTGATTTCTTACCTCGACACGCAAAACCACTATAATTAAAAGTTCCGATGAATCTTTTAATAAGATTAGTTTAATTGATGGTTGTGTTATTGGTTGAAAACGATCAGAAATAACTTAGTCTAGTTAGTTTTAATAGGGTTAAGTACAGGTTAGTGTAATTGGTTTGATCGTCAATCTCAAAGATGATGAGTTTAAGTCATTTAAGTGGACATCCGTTACATAAAAGTAAGCGCTTCGATACTTAATTGGTTATCTTGGTCAAAATTATACAATCACTGTGTTTTCTTTTTAGTCCATATCTTTATATATAGTACTAAATTTACAAATGTGATATTACTAAATTTGGATGAGTAGTGTTGTAATTCGTAAACGTCTTAGTGGTGAGTGCCACCGTCACGGTGTGTTGTTTCTCAGAATTCGATTTTCTCACTGTCCACCCGTAAACAGTTTTATCAAAGCAATTCAGTTTTCTAATACAAAAAAGAGTTTGTATAAATATTTATCCTGAAATTTTTGTTCATGTCCATAACAGTTACGTCAGCTATAGTTTCACCGTGCTTAATTAATTAGTTGTACCCTACCTCGAGTGAGTTTGAAGAAGTCATCGAGAGAGATAATATTATCTCGCCTTCAAAATTTCCCCATGCATTGAATACTGACGTGGCGCCAAGTAAGACTTCACACGTGTGGTGCAGGAACTTTGGATCGCACTGTGGGACAAATTTTTGTATTACCGAGGCTTACACATGGACTTGGCCAACTTGGATTCTTCTCTTTTCTCGACTTATAAAGAGTATCTATCTTTATTTCTTTTACTTACGTTTCTTTCCTCTTTTTTTTTTTTTTTTTTAATTATTTTGTTTCTTTTTATAATCCAACGGCGATAGTAGTGTATGTAAAAACCACAGAGCACGTGATTTTGAAATACGTTACAAAACAAAACCATAATTTTCTAGAAAACTATAAACCGCAAAAAAATTATAAATAAAAGTTACCGTCCGTTAGAGAATATATGAAATTACTATCTCTAAATCTTTATTGGTACAAGTCAAATAGTGAAAGGTCAAATGGTGCAGTTAATATAGCTAGTTGATAAAATAGTAAAAATACTATTTGACTATTTGACAAATTTATCTATTTTATAACAAACACGGATGCTCATCATTACAAAAAAATGTTGTTTCAGTATTTTCAATATCCGGTTCGATGAAATAAAATAGTTCTGGTACAATTTGAGATTTTGTCTCCCTTTTATGGCAGTGATATAAATGATGAATCTGGTAAAATTAAATGCCTCTAGCAGAGAAAAACGAATCCAAGAGCTGACGCAGACACGTCAGCGATAATAATGACGTAACGGCCGTTTTTGTTGGCCCTTGTTTTTTTCTTCCTCCACACCATTCTTGCGTCTGTGCCTACCTCGAAGTTAACGGCGTAAGTTGTTGGCGTTAGTAACATCTACCAAAAGTCTTATAGGTAAAAGCTTTATAATTACCTAAATACCCTTTTACCAGAAACGAAAAGTATACTGTGGTAACTAGTAAATAAATCTCCATTCATCATCATCATCTACCGGATCCAATTGTATACACTTGGCAAAATATCATCAATTAATTACTAGTCAAGAGTATAGTAGATAACAAACGTTGAACATTAGAAATTTAAAGAAAACCTCTTTTCACTTCCGAATCTGATATTTTTTTTCCACAAATCATTATATGATTTTTTTTAAATAAATCATGATAGTTTATTCAAACCACTTATAATTTTGAAAAATAAATAAGCCTTATCAATCATTGAATCATATCAAATTCTGAAATAAACATGCGTCAAATAAATCAAAAGATTATAAAAGAATTTCAGAAAAAGAGTTGACAGAACGTAGGAAAATATTTAAAATGCAATGTCCATATAATAGGGAAGATTATAGTTTAGCCCAAGGTTAGTGGGCATAGTTTAGCCCAATGTAATATTTTGTTCTCCACAAAAAGCCCAAATAAATTGGCTCATAAAAAAGAACAAAGTTTTCATCCCGATGACAGATGCGTCTCAGACGAAGAAGGAGATGCCGAAGGGAAACAGCGAGAAATCTAAGAAGATAGACATGGCTGATATGGCGTTCATCGCCTCCATGAACGATGACCTTCTCCATAACATTCTCTTGAGGTTGCCGGCGAAATCGTTTGGTTCCGCTTCCTGTGTTAGCCGATCCTGGAACTGCGTCTGCAATCGCATCCTCTCTCGCCCCAAAATGATCTCTGCTTTCTCTAGAAATCCTGATAAGCTCGTAAGTTTATTCAATTTTCTGTTTGAGTTGAATTTTTGTTTTTCTAGAAAATTTCAAAAGTTCTTCTCTTCATGGTAGTAAGAGTCGATCTTAGAGCTCTTCTCAAGCTTTAATCAAAAAGTTGGAAATGTAAAGAGATGTGAGTAAGTATTAACTGATAAGCACATATTTGTGATAAAGTCATTAGCTAATAGAAAATGAAAACACGAAAGGAATGTTAGAGAATTGTGTGGGATAAAGTGTTCGCTTTTGATCAATTGTACGTGTTCTTCTGCTGATGATGACACAAGTTTTGTTTGGAAAAACAGAGAGCTGCAGAAGAAGTACTTGATAAGGTCTTGTCTGAGCCAATTCGGCCAGATTTTGTGATTGCAAACATTACATGCGGGAGCTTGGAAGAAACTTTGAGACAGGTAAGGTTCTTCTCTTCATCCCACCTCTGTTTTGTTTCTTTATTCCCAAAAGAAGCAAAGGATTAAAAGTAAAATGTAAATGCGAATGCTGTAGATAACGAAGAGAGTGGGCTCAAGGGTTCCTGTTATTGTATCTGTAGTTACTGGAATCTTGGGAAAAGAAGCGTGCAGTGACAAGCCTGTAGAGGTTCGATTATGTTCCTATCCTCAAGAATTGTTTCAATTATGTTTTTCTTGTAAAATTTTAGCATATGCTCACCTTATATCACGTTTTCAGGTCATCCCGTGTGTTGATATTGTCTTGCCCGTTCCGAATTTTGCTATACTGTTGACGATCGGCTACTTGCCAGGAGTCAAAGTCGACGTTATTCCTGCTATTCAAGCGTTAGGGGTAAATATTTTTCACAGCATCAGTGTCCTCCACATTGTATATCTCTTTTGTTGGTTTCACGGTTACTATCTTTTAGAACTTATCCGCCGGCTGCATTTTTGCAAGAAGTAAAGAAAGGAAGTCATAGTTTCGTAGCATGAAGAACAAAAACTACAATTCAAGTGAACATCTTGTTTAGTGGACTAATCGATGTGTCATTATACTTTATTTATAGATAGATTGGTATTGTTGATATCTTTGCAGGAATCTGAGGCGGCAGTTGCAGACAAATTTGTGATGGATATCAGGAACTTTGTGTCCGTGGTTTCAGATCATACTGCACCAGCTTGTCTTATACTCTTTGGGGTGAACTATACTTTTTTGGCTTCCACTTCTGTTTAAACTTGTGGGTTGCATTCACTTCTATGCTAATGTTTTTTCTTTTTGTGTGTCTCCATACTGGATTTGTAGGATGAATATCATGCCACGGAACCCATCATTCAAAAACTGGGTATGTGTCCATTTTTTTTCCGACATTACTTTGTGACAGGTTAAATTGGTGAAACACGAAAGAAATTTAGCGTCATGAGTTATTGAACTCCAGAGCACAAACAATATAATCATTTAGTGATTTACTATAACATTTCATTCTTTTGTTGTTATGTGTAATGTAATTTGTCTGCATCGCAGATTATGCCATGCCGGCAGAAACTATTATTGTGGGTGATCCAAAGGGCGAGGGCGAGATTTTACATAAACGTGCTAATGAATCAAGAAGTGTTCAGCTGCACAGAGACGAGAGCAGAGTTCTTGTAGGTTTAGTCTTTGCAAGAGATAGACACAGACCCATTCGTAAGTGTCTGGTTTTAATACTATCTACTTAAAACTAATATGCTACATCACTTTGTCATTACTTTGCTTTGTTAATTATCTCTGCATTTTTTCTTGTGATGTTATGCTTTACCCAAGTGTTTTTCAATGAAGCAGAGGCTGGAAGAATTCAGTTTCACGCTGTAATATCAGGAGGAATGTCACCGGTCGATCTGAGATACAAGGCAGCCAATGTCATTCCTACTCTCCCTAGATGGACTGCGACACTTTTGACTGCAAAAAGAAGAGGAGAAGCAGAGGTTCTCGATGGCGATCAAATCCTAGAGAACATAGAAGAGACTTTGGTACGCATCCGAAGTCGATCTTTGCATATATATATCCTGGAGTTTTTGGTTACTAAACTAACTTGAAATGCAGGTGGGAAACCCGAGCTGGGAGAATGATCCGTATATTGGAGTAGTAAAACGAAGAAAATACTCGATTGGTTTGGAGAAGAAGCCAAAGATCATGGCCTCACTTACATTTCATCAAGTGACTGGGTAAAGATTCACAAGTCTCATATAACATGAATGAATATGAATTCCTTTTAACCCTATTTTTGTTGGTTTGTTTACTCAGAGCGGACGAACAGTATCTTACAGTCAGCGGTGCCGGAATCAAAACGGGTGACTACTTCCAAGTTTACTTTCCTGATCTCAAAGTGGCTGAAGCATCACTAGATGCTGTTTCTTCTCAGCTTAGGAACCTGGAGTCTAAGCCGAACAAAACGGAAGTTGTAGGAGGTTTTGTTTTTGCCGATAGCGGACGCGGCGACTCCTTCTTTGGTCGTCCAAACGCAAACATCTCACCGTTTCTAGAGAACTTCCCGGAGTTACCGTTTGGCGGCATATCCTGCAACGGTGAAATCGGACGCAGCTTATTCGTGGAGGAAGGAGAGGAAAATGAAGAAACTAGCATCCGAAGATGTTTTCACTCTTATAGTTCAGTCTATTTCATCGTCTCGTATACTTCTCAATGTTGAGGTGTCTTTGTTTTATGCAAGTTACTTATTAATTTTTTTTATTTCAAATCATATGGGTATAAATTTTATTAAGACAAGCAGTCAATCATATTAGTCGAACAGTCGCAACGCTTGATGCTAGAGGACATTTGACGTATCAGTTTACATCTTTTGTTGGTGGCGGCGGCGTCAGATAAATAGGTGCTGGCCGTCCCTCCGTAGACATCTCTCTTGCATCACCCTTTGGTGGCGGCGGCGTTGGCCAAGTTGGCCTTCCCTCCGTAGACATCTCTCTTGCATCACCCTTTGCTGGCGGCGGCGTTGGCCAAGTTGGCCTTCCCTCCTCTCTCGCATCACTTAAACAAGAACCTTCACGAAAAAAACAACAACAATCTTAATAACGTATTATCAATAAAAAAATTGAACATGTGTATGAAGTTTTATAAGTTATTAAAGAAAATTTCAAAAGTAATTAAAGAAAAGGAAAGAGAGAGAGATAGATGCATACAAAATGCAACGACTGTTAGAGCGACCAAGAAGACAAGCTTGACATTCATTTTCTCCTAATGCTAATCTGATTTATTTTTCTCTTTGTGGTTAACAAATGATCTAGATTGTAAGTGATGATGACAGAGCTCGGATTCTCTTCTTTATATTAAGGGGGGGTTACATACTTACATGCATTGTTACGTTGAATAGAGATAATAAACGTTTGACTGAATTGATAATTTGCCAAGTTTTAGTTAGATACAATTTGAATTCAATTCAACCTAATATCTCTCACATTTTGGTATTTAGTTTACTGTATGGCCGATCTATTTTCCCTTTTTGTTAAAGATTATTGTGCCTTTCTATGAAAAAGGGAGCTCCATGCTTCGCTAAAACAAATTCTTAGCATTTTTGTTTGGTCAACGCAAATTCTAACTTCATAGCATTATCTATGACTAAATCTTTTTTAATTATAAAGTTAATTTTCTTCAAACTAGACGTGCATTTTTTTATGTAATTACAAATTAGAATTATCAAGAACTTTTCAATTTGCTTTAGTTCTGCAAAAACAATCTGTGAAGATATATCACTCAATTCCTTACATTCTTCATTTTGTCCAAGGCATGGTAAAACGTTTCAAGTAATCCTTTCAGTGATCCAACCCAAATTAACAAAAACCATTTAGTTTATTTATCATTCAGACATTATCAACCCAAAATCAGTTTTAAATGGAATTTTACAGAGAACAAAAAAAAAAAGACGAGAAGACAAACATTTGGGGGAAAAAAAGCCGGACTGGTTTTGATGTTCTTCAGCTACTTATTGCAATATGCAGAGAGACCTCATACGATAGATAGCACACGAAAGTGGGTGAAACCCGGAAAAATTAAAGCATCTAAACAGTGATTCCAAGGGACTTTTTAAACTTCTCTACCTCTAAGTAAACAGTGGAGTAAGGCAGGAACTCAGAGAAGTAATCTCCGCTCAAGTGGTTGATGGCTACAGCGAGTTTCGGGATCTCTAAGGTTTCTTCGTTGGTTAGGGTTCTTATGAACCTTGCTGGATTGCCTCCCCATAGTTCACCTGATGGGATCCTTCTTCCTGGTGGCACAACCGAACCAGCTTCCAGGATTGAGCGAGTCTCGACCAGCGAACCTTCCATTAGTATCGAGTGTTGCCCGATGATGCACTCTGGTTCGATGGTACATGATCTCAGAAGACTGTACGCACCCACTGTCACGTACCTGTCGATCAATGTCTCTGCTGGCAATCCTGAAAATTCAAAGTAGACAGTAACCCTGGATTCAAATTTTGAATCAATCATATCAAAATCCAGAACTGCAGCAGTAAATACTTAGTGTATAATGTAATACAAAACCTAGACATAATCTAGCCTTGATAAGTAGACCCAGAGTTTTATCAAACACAGATACTGTTGTATGTTGAACGATAACTAGGTGTCTAGAAGTCCAAATACATACCCAAATTGCAATAAAAACATACTAGTTTCTCTTCAAAGGCTGCTATATTTCAAAACTTTGACACTGACCCTTGCCTCTCACAACCTTGGAGCATAAAACAAGCTCACATCCAAATGGTTTTAGCTTAATCAACATACAGTTCCGTTCTAGTCACGATTAACCAGGAAACCAAATCCTTGCAGAATTCTTTCAAAAGCACAAAAACCCTTACGGTGAAATTGTCCCCAAGTTTCTGCTATGCAACTTCCTAATGCTACACAAGATGATCTTGTTAATCTATTCAACTTTTAGATATTAAGCTCAAGCACATATCCTCAGTAAGTTTCTTGATTCCTGTAGCACTAATAACATATTCATCCCTCGACGAAGCTAAACCCAAAGAGTGACAACAACAGCCAAAATGCGACTATTTTTCAGGACTCTTCAAACATGAAAAGCTGTACTCAAGAACACTATTTTGTAATTTACTTACGTCTGTGTCAAAGTTCCCTTAGATAAATGAAAAGCAACGATGAAAACTCCTAAATCTCAATTTAACAACATTTGTCTTGATTTCTTATCAGCAATAAGCTCAGAAATTGGATAATCGGAACATAAAATGAAGGGGAAAAAACCTGTTGGGGACGACCACGCGGCATGAACAACACACCGTTCCTGTACGTTCGAGCAGAATCCGAGAGTGATTTTGTTGAGATCGCCGCGTAGAACGGCACCGTTCCAGACGGAGGAGCCGTCCCAGACTGTGACCTGACCGGCCAACACAACATTGGGTGCCACGTAGGCATCAACGGCTACCTTCGGAAGCCACTGCCCCAAAGGAATGATCTGTCTCTGTCCCCTGTAGTCCCACTTCACACGATCCGGCGACGGCGACACCGTCAATTTTGGCTTCGGCACCTCCGTCTTCGTCGCCAGCGCCGCTTCTGCAGCGAAGCAACGACGGATCAGGTTAGAATTTACTCCTCTCCGAGAAAATCGAGCTATGGAAGTCGCCATTGCTATGGATTTTGGATTACTCAAGGATTTGCGAAGAGGAAAAAGAGAGAGAGTGTGGTCGTCGAGAGATTCAGGTGAAACTGAACGAGATACATATTGGGCTTTCATGGGCCTTTCTTATAAACCCAAATAATAATTGACACGGCGTCGTTTACTTGATAATCATTCTGGTTGGTGGTCAACATTACAGAAGTGAGAGAAACTCTTTTCTCAATCTTGTAGTTGAATGTAATTATTATTGTATCAAGTAGAATTTGAAGAACTAAACAAAAAAATTAGAGAAACGCTTGTAAACCAAATTGAAAAAGATCCCAAATAAACTCTACAGATACCAGATGCAAAAACAAAAATGGATTTTATATCATAAGAAATTATGATTCTATACACAAATGCGAAATTGTTACAAACGAATCCAGATCTTACATCAATTTCGATAAACAAAATCGAAACCAAACAGAGCCGGAGAAGAAAAAGGTTTTCCTTAAACCAGTAATAAGCTCAGGTACACACTTAACCGGAATAGATGTGGACGTTAATGGCGATGGTGAAGATAGTGATGAGACCAAAGAAGATGATGGCGTGGACGAGAATCGACGCGCCGCTCGTCTGCATATTCCCGAACTCGACTACTCGACCTCCCGCCGGAATCTGGAAAAGAAGTCCCGGCGATAAAACTACGAAGAGAATCACGGCGATCAAAACGGGTCCCCAATCCGCCATACTTCTTGTTCGTTCTAGAGAGAGAAAACGAAATTTGGAGAGAAAGAGAGTGAGTTGGGGAAGGAGCTGGAATATTTTTTTGTTTTGTTAGAGACGAAGCTTCTCGTGTGATGTGAAAGCAAATGGTGTGTTGAATCGACCAACTGTTGGAATCCACGTGGATATATATATATATATATTCCCTTCGTTTTAAAATACATGATGTTTTAGAGTTGGGTACATAAGAAATTTTATAAAATACCTATTTTCACCTTTTTATTAATTAAAGAATATGTTTTTGGACTAGAAATTATTTTAATAATAGAAAGGTAAAAAATCTTATTTTATGTTATTTTTTGCATAGAAAAAAAGAACATCCTATATTCTTGAACAAAAAAAGTCTAAAACATTCTATATTTTAAAATGGAGGGAATATTGTTTTTGCGGTCCAGCATGCTAAAATTTGAACCGGGTTTCCCCCAAAGATTGCCTGCCACGTTGATATTTCGAACCAGAGTTTTAACCGAATTAGTTTTCTACGTGAGCTTTGTTTTTGCGGCCTAGCATGCTAAATTTTGACCTCGAAAAATCATAAAATATAAAGCTGGGAGAAAGTTTTGGTTAGTTCATTTTCATTATTGGGCTTTGGTTACGATATGTGGAGATTGCCGTATTAGTTTGCTAAATTGTATAATTGTGAAAATAAATCCTTTAATCGTTAGAGATATCATCAACTGAATTTGTCTTTACTGAGAACAAGTGAAAGAAGGAAAGTAATTACCGTCTAATTAATTTATCTTTTTCTTTTTTTTGTCACACACTGTCAAATTAACTAAAAACTGATAGTTTTACATTATTGATTTAAATAAATTTAGGTATCAAACTTTTAAAATAAAAAAAATAAATAGTTCCATTGATTCTTGAAAAAAAATACAACACTTTCTTATAAAAAAAGTTCGAATATTGAAATTTCTGTCAAACCAATTTTTTGGTTCACATAGATTATTTTTTCTCTCCTTCACACAGATTTCAGAACACATTGGATGGAACTTATAGTTTTATTTTCATTTTATTTTCTCTATCTACAAGTTTGAGTTTATCCAGCTACAACATAGATTTTAGGTCTCCTGATTAAATTTATCTGTTTTAAGGAAAAAAAAACAGTTGATAGTATTTGTTTTTGCGGCCTAGCATGCTAAATTTTGACCTCGAGAAATCATAAAATATGAAGTTGGGAGGAAGCTTTGGTTAGCTCATTTTCATTATTGGGCTTTGGTTACGATACGTGGAGATTGCTGTATTAATTTGCTAAATTGTATAATTGTGAAAATAAATCCTTTAATCGTTAGAGATATCAGCAACTGAATCTGTCTTTACCGAGAATAAGTGAAAGAAGGAAAGTAATTACCGTCTAATTAATCTATCTTTTTCTTTTTTTTGTTACACACTGTCAAATTAGCTAAAAACTGATAGTTTTACATTATTGATTTAAATAAATTTAGGTATCAAACTTTTAAAATAAAAGAAATAAATAGTTCCATTGATTCTTGAAAAAAAAAATAGATTTGAGTTTATCCAGCTATAACATAGATTTTAGGTCTCCTGATTAAATTTATAGGTTTTAAAGAAAAAAAAACAGTTGATAGTATCTGTTTCTGGCGCAGACAAATTCTCAATTGCTAAAAGAAAGAAAGAGTGACAAATTAAAAGCAAAAAAAATTGAAATCCAGAATGTATCAACTCGTTTGTAATGACCATAAATAGATAATGACGATAAGACCCTTTGTGAAATGGAAACAAAATCTCTGAATCACTCGTCATTAGTTCACCAATCTCAAGGGTAAATCTGTAACTGTGGAAATATAGGAAATCAATATATTGCCCAAAATAAAAAAGAGAAAGAGATCGCACAAATTTGCAAAAGCATCGGAATCAAATAATCCGATTGGGGGAAGAAAAGAAAAACGTTTTTTTCAGAAAAACGCAAATTATTTCTTTCTAATTTCTTTCGTTTTCCCATCACTTTCCCGGGGGAATCTCTGTAAATCTTTTCTCAGAAATCGTCGTTTCTCTCTTGCCGTTATCCCACGAACAATTGAGAAAGAGCATCTACGACGGAACTAATCCGAACTTCTCTAGCTTCATTTTTCAACCCCATAATCCGTTCTTTGACCCGACGAATTCGGCTGGTAATACCTTTGATTTCACGAGTTTGTCTTCTTCCTTTGTTTACATTCTGCGTTTGCTTGATTAGTTACGATTACAGGAAACTTTCCTTCTTCGAATTTGTTAAAAAATCTAATCAAAACGATTTTCCTAAAGCGTTGACGATCCCGAAGCTTTGAATTCTTCTAAATCCTGCAGTAGAAATGGCTAGCCAAGGCGGGTCATCAAGGCGGAGCTTATCTGTAACGACTTCTTCATTGCACGGAAAGAAGAAATCCATGGACATCGGCGAACGAGGTCTCGACACTGGCCGGAGATCTCTTACTGTTTCTCGTTCTCCTTTGTAAGTCCCTTCCGGATTTCAATGGAACGTAATGCTGGTTTAGCTTTTGAGTGTTCTTAGTCGTGATTTTAGAAACAAGTAAATTAGACCTAGTTTCTACCTCTCTTTCTATTGAAGCTATCGTGATTTGAATTAACTTATATGATCATCATTTGGATTCGGAGCAGGGGTTTAACAGGAGGCGAGCGAACTGTTAAACGTTTAAGGCTATCGAAAGCCCTTACAGTACCAGCAACAACAACTATATACGAAGCTTGTAAAAGGATGGCTTCTCGGAGACTTGATGCCTTGTTGTTAACTGACTCTAATGAAATGCTCTGTGGGATTCTCACAGACAAGGTATGCCACTGTGACTCCGCCAAGCATGTTAAGAAAAGTTAAAAACACTAAACTTGATGATATACATCGTCTTTATGGGTTTTCAGGATATAGCCACCAGAGTGATTTCACAGGAACTTAATGTCGAGGAAACACCTGTCTCCAAGGTTATGACTAGAAACCCGATGTTTGTTCTTTCGGAAACACTTGCTGTTGAAGCCCTTCAAAAGATGGTCCAAGGTTTGTGTGTTTGCTTTAAGCTAGAGAAACCTCATGTTTTTCTTTTCCTTTTCTTCTAATCCTTAACGAGGCTATATATCGTAATTAAACCCTACAGGAAAATTCAGACATCTGCCTGTTGTTGAAAATGGCGAAGTTATTGCTTTATTGGATATAGCAAAGTGTCTGTATGATGCGATTGCTCGTATGGAGAGGGCAGCTGAGAAAGGCAAGGCAATAGCTGCGGCTGTTGAAGGTGTTGAAAAAAGTTGGGGAACAAACACTTCAGGTGGGCGAAGAACTCCTGCTTGAATCTCCTTTTTCCCTTGGCTTCTTCTTTTATTGGGGTTTTAAATGTTTAGTATGTTGATGATTTTTTTCATGTAGTTCCCAACACTTTCATTGAAACGCTGCGAGACCGGATGTTTAGACCTTCTTTATCAACTATTATACCAGATGATACAAAGTAGGTAATCTCTTCTTTTTCTGATTCAATTCTCATTACAATCTTGAGTGGTTTTTTTCACCCCCTGCCCATCAATTATGCTGTTTTAAGTGAACAGTGGTGTTTGTTCAGGGTTTTGAAAGTGTCACCAACCGATACAGTCTTGACTGTAGCAAAGAAGATGGTTGAGTTTCAGTCAAGCTGTGCAGTCGTGATGATCGAGGACAAGCTTCGAGGGATATTTACGTGAGTTGTCCTTTTTGAACTAACTTGTTGGCTAGATTATGTGGTGACTGAACTCGTTGTAGCTCTTGTGAATAGTTATCACTAACTTCTAAGAGTTTGGTTTTTCATTTATTTAGTTCCAAGGATATACTGATGCGGGTTGTTGCTGAGAATCTTCCTCCATCTGAGACTACAGTTGAACAGGTAGGATTAACAGATTATGTTTTTTTCTTCGATCAGAGGATTAAGAGATTAGTCTCCTTTTCAGGATCAAATTTTCAACCGTCTTAGATTCCTATTTCCAGTTTAGTGATAGTTGCAATTTTACATTTTCTTGAGTTTACACTCATCGATTGTTCTTATTCGTTTCTTGCATAGGTTATGACTCAGAATCCAGAATCTACGACAGTTGACACACCAATTGTTGAAGCTCTGCACATTATGCACGAGGGAAAATTCTTACACCTTCCTGTCACGGACAATGGTGAAAAATCTGTTACATGTTAGATTGTAAGTCTTGTGAAAAGTAAAACTGCAAACATATGTAAGTAATGAAAGGGTTTCTGGTTGCAGACGGAGATGTAGTTGCAGTTGTTGATGTAATCCACGTTACTCATGCTGCTGTTGCTACAGTAAGTTGAAACTTTAGTAAATTGTGTTTCATTACAACAAAGCCACTGTTCTCTTCTTTTCTTCTAGAGGCGTGTTTTCACTTGTGCAAGTAATTTTCATGGTGATCAGGCTGGAACTACTGCGGGAATAGGTAATGAAGCAACAAACACAATGATGCAAAAGTTTTGGGATTCAGCAATGGCATTGTCTCCTAATGAGGAAGACGAGGACACGAGAAGGTCATTACTCTGGACTCGCTTAAATCGTATTTCTTTTCGAATAGAGCTTTGGTTTTGCTGACTTTGTTGGCAACATGGGAAACAATCTTTTTCAGTGAGAGCTCCTTGAAAGTTGCTTCTGAAGCTGAGACAGGGAAATCTTTCCCTTACGCAAATACATTTTCTTTCAAGATCGAAGACAAGAATCACAGAATGCACAGATTCATAAGCGGTAAGCAAAAGTCTCTGCCTTTGTTCACCAAGCAAACACTTTCAGTGTGGTGTGTGTACTCACATGGATTAGTTCTTAAATTGCAGACACTCGGAGTTTGACAGAAGTGATAACCGCGATTCTTCAGAGAGTAGGGAGTGATATCGATCCAGACAACTTACCCCAAATTTTGGTACATAAATTACTTTTTTCGCAAAAGAGAATGATGCAATTATTTCTTCGTCACTCCTGAAATGTTAGAATGATGGTTTATAATCTACAGTATGAAGACGAAGACCACGATAAAGTGTTGTTGGCTTCAGATAGTGACCTTCAAGCAGCCATAGACCATGCAAAATCAATTGGCTGGAAGGTAAAGTAAATATAGATGAAGAACACCAGGAAACAACGTTAAAAATGAGACCTTTATGAGATATATTATTTACTATCTGAATTGATTGAATCATGGTAAATTGCAGAGTCTGAGATTATATTTGGACGATTCAAGAGAAGGCAAAGGAAGAAGAAGAAGAAGAGCAGCGGGATCAGCAGAATCAATGGAGTATGTAGAGACAGACGCTTGGGCTGCGGCATACAGTGGAGTTGCGGCTGGTGCAGCATTAGTAGCTGGTCTTGGTTTTATGGCTTATCTCAAAAAATTTGGACATTGACTTCTCAAAAAAAACACAATGAAGTTCTCTTACAGATCAAATACAGAAAAAAGTGTCATGCCATAGAAAACAGAGACAGGTTTTGAAGATTTTGTGTGAAATAATTTATATACAAAGTTATCTTTGGGATTTTTTCTGGTTTCTTTCTTGATAACAAAATATCTAAAACTAGTACATCAATGGGGAACTCAAGAACAAGGCTTAGAATCTTGTCTAAACTGATCACACCATTAAAAAAAAAAGAAACTCAAACAGAACAAGGGCTTTGCCATGTGGAGATATCTGCTATAAGTTCTCGAAATTTGTCGATAAGTTGTTTGACATGAACATTCCTCTTTGCGATCTCCTGCATTCACGAACGTTCAATACTTAAATCCAGACCAAATCACGAAATGTATTCAAGAAATTATCAAACATTCTTTTATATGGTTCTAAAACCGCTTAAGCTAATTTTACAACACTTGCACTACAAAATGTGTATCATATTTTCGTATCCTACTCAATCTTCGAATGTTCGTGAATTTCAAGACTTGGGGGTATTCATGTCAAAATCGACACAAACAATTGTAGCAATGTAGTTGCATTCTGATAGAAAATGAACTATCAAACAAAGAGATGTAGAGATTGCAGAAAGCTTACCTTTCTGAGACTTAAGGCCTGCTCCTCCAACTTTTCGATTTCTTCTTCACTTTCAGGAGTTCCTAAACCACTTTCCGTTTCAGATGCTTTTGCCTGTAATAGATTAACAGAATCGAAATTAGGAATCCTCAAAAGCCCTGATTTGGAATTAGCTTAATAGGTAGAACAAGATATTCAACAAGCAATAGAACTTAAATAGAACTTCGCTAGGATCAAGCTACTGCTTGTTGCTCTATCCATTCCAAGATTTCGTACACTTTACCTCACAATGCCCTAGAACTTCAGATTTACTCGGTCCAGAAACAAATCAAAAGACTTCTCAAATAGTTAGTACTACCATTATGTTCATTACCTTCTGCGAATTGGGAATCGCAGCAAGAACAGCACGAAGCGAAGTCACGGAGTTCTTATAGCGAAGACTAGCTTCATCCAGAGCGCTATTTCCGCTTCCTCCGCCGCTGCCACCAGCACCGGATTCCGAATGATGCGGCGCTCCATCAATCGCAGTCGCATCGACGGAAACGAGAGCCGTCCCGTTGGAACCCGTCGTCGTTGTCTGAGCAGCGGAACTCGCAGTGGCTGATGTAGACCACAAGGAAGGATTGCAGAGCTCGTCGTTCATGGCGGAAATTATCTGAAAAGCCGCTTCGATAGTCTCTTCCAAATGCTTTTCCCCTTCCATCGCAAGATCTTGGGTCGTCATCGTCATCGTCGTCGTCGTCGTCGTCGTCTTCGATGCTATCACAATACTGGAGACCGCTTTCTTCTCCATCACAGTAAAGGATCGCTGAAGTACGGCGTCGTTTAAGCAAGTTAGAGAGACTTTAAAAATAAATGAAATGGTAAAATAAAAATAATCAGCTACATCGCTATCCACCTTATCCACTATTTCTCCAATCCATTTGACAAAACTTTCTAACGCTCTTTGATCCAATCACAACGCGTAGATCCAATGGACAACAACAACAACAACAACCAGCAACCACCACTTACCTCCGTCTATCCTCCTCCACCTCCTGGCTCCGCCGCAGCCGTAATCCCTCCTCCTCCCTCTGGATCTAACGCGATAGTCGCCGGAGGAGGAGCGTCTTACCACCACCTCCTCCAGCAACAGCTGCAACAGCTCCAAATGTTCTGGTCCTACCAGCGAGCAGAGATCGAGCAGGTGAACGATTTCAAAAACCATCAGCTTCCTCTCGCTCGGATCAAAAAGATCATGAAAGCCGATGAGGATGTCCGTATGATCTCCGCGGAAGCGCCGATCCTCTTCGCCAAAGCCTGTGAGCTTTTCATCCTCGAGCTTACGATCAGATCGTGGCTTCACGCCGAAGAGAATAAGCGCCGTACGCTTCAGAAAAACGATATCGCTGCCGCGATTACTAGAACCGATATCTTCGATTTCCTCGTTGATATCGTTCCTAGGGAAGAGATCAAGGAGGAGGAGGAAGCGGCTCTCGGAGGTATGGTGACCCCCGCCGCGAGCGGCGTTCCTTATTATTACCCGCCGATGGGTCAGCCGGCTGTTCCTGGCGGGATGATGATGGGAAGGCCGGCGATGGATCCCACCGGCGTTTATGCTCAGCCTCCGTCTCAGGCGTGGCAGAGCGTTTGGCAGAATTCAGCCGCCGGCGATGATGTGTCTTACGGAAGCGGAGGGAGTAGCGGCCATGGAAATCTCGACAACCAAGGGTTAGAAATTTCACTAACATTCGTTTCTCCCATTTCCAATTTTACATCAATGTAGCTTGTTTGAGTCTTATAGAGCGTTAAGATTAATCATGATCCTGCTTTGATTGGTCTAAATCCTGAATTTGCTGTTTGGAGTTCTCAATTCCCATCTGTGTCATCATTAATTCAAGAAATGTTCATTGATTTCCAAGAGCTTTTCATAAATCGAGTCATATTACATCTCAAATATGCTAAGACTAGTCTTTAAGTTTCTTCATTGCCCGGCTCAGTTACTGCATCCTCTCTGTGGACTTTCTTGCTTGAAGTTTTTGTGCTATTTTGGATTTTGATCTTTCATATGACTCACACCCTCTTTCAATACTTTGTTACCATGTTCTGCAGTTGAGAGCTTGGACGGATTCAGATGCTGCATTGTCTTAAAAAAACAGAAGCTGAGATTAATCATCAACCCTGCCTTGATTTTTGCAAGTGTCTGATTCTTATGTCTGTGTCTGATTCTCGAAACAAGAGAGACAACAACAACAACAAAAAACACTCTTTCGTTCTTCCTGTTAACTTATAAGTTATTGCAGCAAAACTGCAGACTTGCTTAACTATATAATCTAATGTGCAGATTCTAATTTATGCTTTGTTTATTATATTAAAAAAATTGCTTCTTGGTAATCAATGGAACACTTATGAGTTTTTTTCTAGGGTTTTTTAAGTAACCAAAATGTGGAGTTTTAGAGCTTGTAAACATATATTGGATTATATAGTTAAGCGTGTATGCATATGGATTTGGTATTTATGGAGGATTTTGTTTCAGATGTTGGTGTAGTTTGTATATCATGTGCTCATTTTCTTACGTTTTCACCGGTGAACTACCGTTTGGCTCGTTTCTATTACATGGTTTCGGTTTGCTAGTGAGCTGTTGGGGTTATATTGTACATTTTATAGTTTTAGGGTAGAAGTATGATTCTATTAAGAGTAGATGCCCGTTTTTGGAATTACATATTTCGGGGAAATTGCAAACAGACATGTAAATTTTTGTCTATCAGTACGAGATATGAACCGAATTTAATTTTTGTCCGTAAAATATACATAAGGCCCAAAGAGGCCCATATCTACCTTCCTCCGTGGCAACACAATCGGGCGGGTGGTTTCTTTTTCTGCTTGTGCCGCTTTGCAATTTTCATCATCGATCTCTCTCTCTTCCCTTCCGTCTTCTTTCTCTCGCTCTCGATTCGTTTCTGGCTTGGATAGGGTTTATCAGTGGGTTTGGATATGGAGGCCTCATCTTCTCGGCCATCAGATTCATCTGATCAAACTGCTTCTAAGTTCCTCTCCGACCTTCCGTCCCGCGGTTTCTTGTCTTCTACCGTCGTTTCTTCCAACCCGGTAAGTTTACTACGAATCAACTTACACATTGTCGCCTTTTTTATGTCTGAAGTTTAACTCCTAGTTTGGGTTCCTGATTTTGATAATTCGGGGAGGGGGTTTGGAAAGTGATTAGCTTTTTATATGCTTCTTCGATTTGGTTCGAAATAGATAAACCCAGCAGTTGTAGAGACAATTCGGATGCCGCTAGAAACAGATCTTGCACACTCGATTTTAGTTTTTTTGCAAAAACTTAAGATCGTCTGGTTCCGAGTATCTGTAGAATTGTAAGGTATGAGCTTTATCTGATAGGTTGTCTTTGTGAAATGGATTAAAGTCCCAGACTTGCTTATTTGTGGGTATTGGAAGTCTTATCTTACACTAATTTGATTTCCTTTCTTAAGTGAATCATCAATCATATACCTGTAGGCTAAAAATTTCTGTTTTTTCCTGGATTTTTTGTCAGTTTCCATGAGATATACATGCTTGAATGTGGATTCGAATTGTGTGATTCAAGTATATATACCCATGTGACTGAAAAAATCCAAGCAAAAACAGATTTTTTTCGCCATGATCTCATATCAAGTTTTTTTTGGTAGTTTGGATAGTGAGTGTTTTTCTCCTATCAAGTTCTTTGCTATATACAGTGCGTACTAGTAGCTTCGAGGTTCAGTCTCGAATCATACATTTAGTAACTTTCTTTTTGTCTACGATTGCAGGGAAGCTTGCGGGTCTACGTTTGTGAACATGACACATCTCCCCCGGGTATTTCTTATCTCTTAAACTCCATTTATTTGTTTTGCGTATTTGTCACGAGCTTAATTAAAGATAGTCAATGATTATCAATTTCAGAATCATCTGTGTTACAGTAATAACTCACTCTTTCCTGTAGAAATTTCTTTCATTCCCTTCTTTTATCAGTCTGACTAAAAATCTTAACTTACTATTGGCCATATATTCAGAAGGACAGCATATCAAAACAAACCAGCAAAATATTTTAATCAGATCCCTTTTGCTGAAGAAGCAAAAAGGCGAATCGAGTTCGAGTTCCAAAGACGCAAAGGGAAGTGCTGAAGATGGCCCTAAAAAGAGGTAACAACCACTCTCTGAGTAGTAGTTATCGCCTCCCTCGCGTGACTAATCTCTACTTACTGAGAGTCCTTATAACTTCTCTTCTACGCTGTTAAGAGAATTGTTGATTCACTCCTATTGGCTACAAAACTTGTTTGTTTACTTTTACTTTTTTTCTTAATCCTAGGGCTGCAAATAGGTCTCTCGACGACAGAGGCTCAGCTAAAAGAGCTGCCAATGCATCTAGACAAGGTTAGCTCGTCTCTGTTCCCTTCTGTTGTATCTGATCTGCATTTTCGGGAATTCACGGGTTACTTTAAGACAAAGTTTTCTCCTGCACAGAAGGATCAAGCAGTCGTACAGGCGGAAAAGACTTTCAGTCTTTGACTGTCGAGAAGCTCCGTGCCCTTCTCAAGGAGAAAGGCCTTCCAACGAAAGGAAGAAAGGCAAGTCCAAACATTATGCTTATGTTTTAATTGAAATCTCTTTTGCAACTCTTTAAAGAAACTCAGTCTTGTATTCACAATGTAGTGTCTTAAAGAGTCTGTCTTCCACTATATGATGTTAATTCCGGTTGGTTTATCTTGGCTCTTGTTTCGCAGGATGAGCTCATCGCGCGTCTGAAGAATGCCAACTGAAGTAAGTGCATCCAAGTTGAAGAAAACGCTCAGGTGAATATATGTATCTTTAGAGGTTTTCGGGTAGAGAGAAAAAGTGATGAAATTACTGTAGTTCTTGATCAATACAGATCCTTCGGAGACGAATTTGTTATCAGTAATGTGGACATGTTAAGTTATAAATCTGGATGGTTTGGCTTTGATATGTTTCATTTAAAAAAAAAAAAAAAAAATAGTGACTTTTTGAACATGAAAACACTGCCCGAGTGGTCATGTAAGCGGTTTAGATCAAGTTTATGTGAATTTCGTCTTCTCATCTATGAACCAAAGCAAACGAACCGAACCAGACTGTCATATTAAAAAACCAAACGTGTAATGGAATTGCTTTTGGTTAATGGAGAACTTGTTCGTCTCCTTCTGGGATATCGGCATACATTTAGATCGATAGTTTAATAATCATGGAATAATAATAATATATGAGTAGTGTCTAGTTTGGACTGTAGTGAAGATAGTATCATACGGCGAGCAATGGAGAATTAGGCAAAACAACATTGGACACGCTACGCCAAGTGAGAAATATAAAAATTATCCAGTTCCATTTCACCTACCAAAAAGATAAACAAAATAATATTTTTGTGTTAGATTTTGTTGAAAATTATATATATACGTAGCAATTTTCTATATTTTTGGTTATATGAAAAAAAAAATGAGTTCTATTTTGTTTTTTGGTATTCATTTATTAAAATAAGTTACATATTCTCTCAATTACAATAAAAACTACTAGAAAGTTTAATTATATTCCTGTGACACAAAAGTTCTTTGGACGGTGAAAATGACGATAAAATTGTGAGATTGAAAAACGGCGATTTTTATTTTTTTTTGGTATTTGTTGCTAATAAGACAAACAACTGTCTGACCATTTTGGAGATACTTCTGAGCATTTTTCCAATAAGTGGAGACTTGTCGTAATAATTATTAAATGCCGTATGGTTCACAACGAATTTTTATTTGGACCCAGTTCTTTGAACGGCGCCGTTTTTGTGCTCTCAACGTGAGTGGCTCACATCAAATCTCTTCCCCATATTTTGCATATGTGCTACTAAATCATATCAATTGACAATAGGTTTTAGTTTTCCTCATTTCTTTGTTTTTTTTTTGTTAAAGGGCCTTAGTTTTCCTCATTTCACATACAATATTACTAAATACACTCGATGCCTCGTTTTTACTCCTGTAATTCCTATAATATATATGAAACGTATATATAAATTATGTGTTATATACACGTATAAATATATAGTATTAAATATTAAAATGTGAAAGAACATTAAAATGTAAGCTATCTATAGTAATTTGAAAAATCCCTTTGAACGTTCACCAAAAGAAAATAGATAGATTTTTTTTTTTTTTAAAAAAAAAAAAAACTTTTTGGAGTAAGGTTATTAGTTTCTGCAAAAAAATAATAGAATTACGTTTAATTAAAGACAAATATAGTGACTGTCCGTAAAATAAAAATAAAAGTAAAAAGATCTTATTGTTATATTTCATAAAAGGGTCTTGTTTATGAGAAATTTCTTCTTTGTTACTATTGGTGTCCGTTTGTCCAACTCATCTGAAAATAAATATCAACCTAAAACATCTAATTCGTATAAGCAGAAGTAATTTAATTATACGTGAAGGATCTTGGCTATGGGCCTATGGCTAACAAAGAAATTCCATTATGAATTATTTTCTGTTTTACAATGTGTAAAATTTCATGATTGATTTGTATGGTTAGAATTTGTTGCTGTACTTCATTGATACTTTTTATGAATTAACTGGGAGTAAAAAAATAGTATACTTTATGATAAAAAATGTGAATAATTTTCGGAAACACGAGCCTGAGAAAAGTCAGTGGAAGTTCCGACTTTTTTCTCGATGAGATAAACTCAATTTTCAAACCACGAGAACCACGTGCTTAGAACTAGTAGTCACGAAAGTGTATATTTATTGTTTGATCATCCGGTTAATTTGTCATGCGTTTATCTGTTTTAAACTTGCGGCTGACGAATTTCATCAACGTGTTCGATCCAATCCGACACATACATGCTTACTGCCTAATACTCCAACCAACACTTGGTCTCAAGTCTACATAAAAATATCTCTATAACTATAAAATTCGAATTTTACAAATATTTAATATAGTTTGTGATTCAATAAGTTATATATAAAGATGAGAAACCCTACAAAATTTGATGCCTTCAGATCCGAATCCGAATTTCGACTAGAAAATATATTTTGGTCTCTGGTCTGATGGCATATTGGCATACACATACGAACCAGCTCATTAAGATACTAAACAAATGTGTATTGTATATAATATTCTTATATTTGATATTCACTTGATTCAACAAATCTCCAGGATCTCTCCTAAGAATCAAAGTTCATTGTTTGACAAAACCCACGGAACTTTCACTTATGTCATCACGTGCTGGACTAAACTAATTAACGATTAGAATACTAATAGGATATGTAACTTTGTACTAATATCCAATAAATTATGTAGTTAAGTTAACGAGATTCTAATTTAAAGTACTTCGTAATAGTACTATATATATTCCAGTTTGGGCAATTAATTTGATTATTTTCTTAATCACATGTTGCTTGTAAAATTATGCAACCAACAGCCATAATTATCCTAGATGTGTACGTTTCACACATTAAATCCGTGGAAAATTAGTTTGTTAGAATGCAATATAATTAACATATATTTACCATATACCTCGTTAACAAAATAACTATACATATAAATATATATATATATATAAGTATGATTACTTTGGTTTGAAACAAAATGTTTTTGCTTTTTAAGCGTTTGAGCCGTGTCTACATTTTCTTATTTAAAATTTCGGCTGGAGATTTGGCCACCAGTATGGTAGTTCTGGCTTGTCCTTGTCCACATCTATACATTATTCATCGATCTCCTTTTCTGTGTGATTGTCATGTTGCGTCGACGTGTTATGAAAATATTTTCCAATTTTACTTATCAATTTGATACTTCATCTATTCAAGCAAAAATGTTGATCAAGTTTAATTATTTAATAAGTGCTTTTGAATATATCAATTTGATTGCTCCCATAAGAGAAAACCGATTTGTTGTTGTTGTTAGTAAAAACGAAATCCTTAATTTTCCAATTCATAGTGGTCAAAGTCTATACATGTTTGACGAAATTCTTTCTAAAAATAGCGTAGATGTTTAACACAAAAAACCGAGCTTAATTACACATTTTGTATATTTCGACACCAAAAAAATTACGCATTTTTTTATTATTTTGGAAGTGAAAATTTTCATTTTGTTATGAAAAATTGCATGCCACTAGCAAAAGTAAATTATAATAATAAAAATTCCTTTAGCAGATTTTCGTCTACTTAAACAACTTGTTACTGTCAATATTTGGGTTGAGACATACATATATAGCTGGATAAACAAATAACATAAACCTATCTTTAAAGAGTACAATATTATATATCGACTGAACAAAACAAAGTAAAGATATAAAAAAATGAATAGTATTTTTAAATTTATGTCCTTTTCTGGACTATGGTCGGAGCCACAACTTTTATTCAGTTTTTAATTATTGTCCTATATATATAGTTCTCATACATACAAAGAAATGAGAACATCAAAAAAACATAAATTACCAAAAGAAGAAAGAAAGAATTCCAAGATGGTAATTCTCATTGCATTTCTCATTCTATGTATAATCCTAGGGTTTATGTTAATCTTCTCCTTTGCAACAAAAACCCTAAAACTTAAAACCACATCATCATCCTCTAATCTGCCTTCGTATCCACTCATCGGATCTATCCTCTCCTTCAACAAAAACCGGCACCGTCTTCTCCAATGGTACACCGACCTGCTTCGTATCTCTCCGTCTCAAACCATTACCGTCGATCTCCTCCTCCGTCGCCGGACTATCATCACGGCCAATCCCGAAAACGTCGAGCACATTCTCAAAACAAAATTTTGTAACTTCCCAAAAGGCAAACCTTTCACCGACCTCCTCGGAGATCTCCTCGGCGGCGGAATTTTTAATTCCGATGGCGAGTTATGGAGCTCGCAGCGCAAAGTCGCGAGCCACGAATTTACAATGCGTTCTCTTAGGGAATTTACTTTCGAAATCCTCCGTGAAGAAGTCGAAAACCGCCTCGTTCCGGTGCTTTCCTCTGCTGCGGACTACGACGGAGGAAGGACGGTGGATTTTCAAGAGGTTTTAAAACGTTTTGCTTTCGATGTTGTTTGTAAAGTATCGTTGGGTTGGGATCCGGATTGTTTGGATTTGACCCGACCCGTTCCAGATCTTGTCGAAGCTTTCGATGTAGCAACGGCGATTAGCGCTCGCCGCGCGACGGAGCCGGTTTACGCCGTGTGGAAGCTGAAGCGTTTGTTGAACGTAGGGAGCGAGAGGAAACTGAGAAAAGCGATCAGGACCATACACGTGTCGGTCTCTGAGATCATACGCGCCAAGAAGAAGATCCTGCGTATCGGTGGTGAGGCGGCGGACAAGCAAGACCTCTTGTCTAGGTTTCTCGCCGCCGGTCACGACGAGGAAGCCGTGAGAGACTCGGTAATCAGCTTTATTATGGCGGGAAGGGATACCACGTCGGCGGCGATGACGTGGCTTTTCTGGTTGTTGAGTGAAAATGATGACGTGGAGAAGAAGCTTCTTGAGGAAGTGAGAAACAATGGATCATTAGGGTTAGGGTTTGAGGGTTTGAAAGAGATGAGTTACACGAAAGCTTGTCTCTGTGAAGCAATGAGGCTTTACCCACCAGTGGCTTGGGACTCAAAGCATGCAGCAGACGACGACGTTTTGCCAGAT